GAAAAGAGAAAACTTTACAGCCATGTATGCTGCATGCATGCACGCATGTCACTCTTCCATGAATGTCAGTTCTAAGTTTTGGTTTTAACCTAGCGACCTAGATCAAACAGCAAAGATTAGCCACCAGTTACGTATTACGTACTCCTGGTGTAATATGACATCATACCATTGTAAAATGACGTCATCACCTGTTGTAAACAATAGGTAAGACCCTCCACCACACTCTGCAGTGTTGCCCCGGAACACGCAGTCTCGGATTACGACACCACTCGACTCTGTCCCATTCCCATTCCCCGAAATCTCAATCCCCAGTCCACCGGCATGGGTCTCGGACCCATTTTCATCAAAGACACATGTCTGGAATGTAATCAGGTGATTGGAGGACGAGGATAGGGTGCAGAGTTCAGTAAAAGCTCCGCCTCCAAATTCCGTGGCGAAATTGTTGGAAAAAGCTGCCAATTTATAACGTCCACGGTAACCGTGGTTGACAGAGTCGACGAGGACCGCCAAGCCACCACCTCTACCGGGGAAAACCCTGTCATTTAGTGCCTGAATGAGGAGATAAATTACATCATCAAGTAGAGTAGGAAAATGACGTGTTTGCTACTGTTTAGAACACAATACAACATGAATGTCAACGTGAGGTGTCCTTGTTTCAGGGATAAATTGAATGCATCAACTGTTCTTGGGGAAAGATGTGTGTCCTACTTTTCTAGCTAATTTCAGGGGTGTCCTTAGAGAGGGGTTCCACTGTACTAGATTCCTATGTACTATATCATTATACTTCAGACGTTGATGAGTCAGCCAGCAGAGCTGAGTTGTTGTAAAAGACGCAGCTTTCAACAATGGCTGTCAGATTTTCTTCCTCATCTGCTGTGATGGAGTAGCCTGGAAAGAGAGTGAGTGATAGGAGGAGAGAATTCGCTGGTAGAGGAACAGAGAGTGGCTTTCTTACCCAGAGACAAGCCAGCTGCATGACCTCTGAGCTCATCGGTTTTGACCACACCCACCGGTCCATTGTGAAAGAAGTGGCAATTAGCTATGGCAACGGAGCGGCTGCTGTAGACATCGACTGCTCCTTGAGTAAACCAGCTAGACGGGGGATGGAGGGAGGTGGGGTCAATCATGTGAATACAGTTTTCGCAAAGGCAATGACAACCTTATTTACTGGGGCTTGCCTTTTGCGTTGTATTGTGTTGTACTTGTTTAGTAGACAAGCAAAAACAAACCAAGCAGAGGTCCAGTTAGGACTCCAAGCTTGTGGAGTATATGCTTCTTTACTGGGAGCCCTGTCTGCTGCCTTGGTAAAGCTCAGTATGTTGCTTATAGACTCTCAGTCTGTCGTGGGTTCAAGTCCCACCCACCCAGGGAGGGAAGCTCTTCTTTTCGAGACTGTTGTGCTGTACATGTGTCGCTGGAATTGTTGGCTTCATACAATCTGGTTCATACCCCACTCAAAGGCTTTGTGATAAACCACAAAAGCAAAATCTCTTGCAGACTGAGCATGAGGTAGCCAAATGTACATGTTGCTACTAACGATATGTTTTCACCCACACCAAAAACCGGCCTACTTTTACCTCATTACCATAGTAACCACAACACAAATCATGTCGCTTGCACATATATTATGATAACATCAACAACTTAGTGTCTGCAAAAATGTCAACAAAAAGTGTTGCACGTTTTCCATCTAATATTATGACCCATGCTCAATTAACTTACTAACTTACAGGAAACACGAAATTGTTACACTTGGGACCATGACAACTACAATAATCCGTGGTTGCCGTAGCGATGTCGTTAGGACTGTCGCTAAGGACATTAAGTGCTAGTAGATGGGTGGAGAGATAATACCCGTGGCAACGCAGCAGGTGGGGGTTCGAATCAACAACACAACACAAGACAAAGGCAAAGGCAAACCTCTCAACGACTGCTCTTGGGCACAGTTCACTCCCACTCAGCATGCATGCATGTAATACCTGAGGCACATATTACTTTTCCTCACTTCCCTCATGTAAGTAGTTAGTTTCCAAAACAAGAGGGGAAGGAGCAGAGAATGAGGGAGGTATTCACTCTCCATTAATGGCCAACCCAGTCTTCCAACGGAATGTTCAGAGCTCATCTTCAGTCGTACACAATACTATTATGGTCTTCTGTGGTTTTGACAATTCCCCTTTTATTGTCCAGCAAAGGAGAATGGTTTCTACTGCACTGGTCACGGAATCTCCCTATTGTAGTACATCTACTGACGTAGCCAACAGAGCATGCAGAGCCACTCTGTGTTCTTAGAGAGGGCTCACCACGTGAGCTACTGAGCAGCTCAGCTGGCGTGGGCGGAACCACTCTACGGAGCAAGCAGAGCACTCTGTGTGCTAGAGAGGGCTCTACCACTGAGCTACTGAAGCAGCTCAGCTGACTAATCACTGTGCATCATAAGTGAAAATCAAAATACGCTGCACTAGAGCATTAGTGATTGGAGACGTTCGTCACATTACACATTTCCATCCTTTCAATTCCTATCCTCCTCATTCCTCCCGGGACATTCTGTCATTCAAGTGTTGCCATCGACACCAGGCTCCGTCGCAACGACAGGACGTAGAACGGGCCTCGACGAGTCACGAGTAGGAGTTCAATAATAACTACGAGCTTTGAGTCCATAGTTTATATTCATCTGCATGAGTTGTGCCGTCAGCTGCATTAGTACACACACACACCACAGAGAGCGAGAGGATGGACAAAGTCCAAAGTCTTGGATGGACTACACATGAAGCTATAATAGTGGAAAATATTGGTGTATATATGACATCAGAGTGTGTGACATCATAACATTTTAGCAGCATACAGTAAGTTCTTCTTATTGAGGTGGTCTAATAACTAATAGAGCTACTATGTAGCTAAGTCAGATGCACTGAGCAACGCAGCTTTACCATCAACGTGTTTATTTACTGTATGGCACCTAGTTGGCCAGTCGTAGTGGCAATCGCGTTGGAGAGGCAGAGGAGAGGGGGAGGGCGCAGCAGCAGCAGACTGGATCCCCTTTCTTATATATAAACGAGGTTTTGGGTGATCGTGACGCTCTGGTCATCGTGTGTTGTCCTGCAACAGTCGGAGCACGTCTATGCAGTCGTCGCAGCGCATCCGACGCCTCGGCCACTGCGCTCAGGACGGCTTGGAGCGAGTTGCAGGTGGATTCGCGGACGCGCGCGCGTCGCACGGACGAGCTTTGCGGGTCCACGTGTGTATCTGCCACGCTGCAACTGCAGGAGTCCGCCAATGCAGTGCGAGGGGAGAGGAGCGATGTTGTCCTACAGCCCGCACAGGACCAGGAAACAATCGAGCAGGATGCCCACACATCGCGCGATCAATAGTGGGATAGATGGTGGGCATGATGACTGACGCTAAGCATGCGCATTAGATAAACCACATCATTTTATTCGAACTATAAAAGCCCGTCATGTGTAATCGCGAAAACATTCAGTTCGTAGAAAAGTTATTTAGCGCGAGAAAAAGTGTTTTATCCACAGTGAGAAGATGGCGTACCGCCGATCGGAGCACGTCCGCACCTCGGGTTCGAATCTGTCTCCCGCTTCCTTCCCTTCGCTGGATTCCATGACGACGACCCGTTCCTCCTTGTCCTTCCCTTGGTGGCCAGGTGGCGACCTCACTCTCCGGGGCCAGCTATCCAGTCTGGCTCGCCCTGGATTGCCCATCAGCAGTCTGTGCGTCCATCTGCTGGAGCGCTACGACGAGCGCGTATCCTCAATGTGCTCGCACGCTGTCTGTCGCCGTTGCCCCTGGGATGCAGTCCTGGACAGCGCGCGCCGATGATCGAGAACCCGCATGCGTAAGTTTCTCGGGGCGCCACGGCGATTGCTGGGGGTGGTTTTGTGGTTGCCGGTGTAGCTATCTAGTCAATAAAGATGAGAGGGGAAGAGGTGCGAGAGATAAAGGAATCAGATGAGAGGAGATAGAAGAAGAGACGGAGATGGACTGGAGTAGGCTAGACTGGAGCAATGAGAAACGTTTTGTGCGAGATTTAGAGAGGAGGGAGAGGAGGAAAGATGAGCAGGGGAGAGAAGGATGTTTTTATGCAGATGTAGGTTCAGAGATATCAGCAAATGTAGTATGTGCACGCATATAGAGTCAGTCGCAAAGCCAAACTCTACTTGCACTACGCGCTTTGTATATAATAGCTGATGTATGTATTTTGTATATTTTCCTGGTGTGGGTGAGTGAGTGTTAGTTTAGGTTTGTTTATAGTGAAAATGAAACCAACTACAAGTATACTGTAGTTCTACTTCAGAGTCTATCACATGAGTTCCGATTCTAAACTAATACGCACACTGCTTCCTTTTTATCTGATGTTCTACAATTGAAGGATCGAAAAGCAGAATCCATGGTCGTCACATGACACGTGTGCTACACAACCAAATTGTATCTGCATATCTTTGTTTCTCTTTCCATACATCACGTTCCTCACAACTCTAGCCAATGTTTGTTCCTTGCTATCAACAGCAGTCGGCACAGCAATCCGGTACACTAGAAACCACTCGAAAACTATACTCACGTCACTGAAAGCGTAAACAGCGTCTCCAAATCAGTTTTGTGTCTGTCTTTTGGTTTCTAAACTCGTGAGCTAGTCAGTGAAGCAGATGGCCTGTTCTTTTGGGAGTAGCATAGCCTTATATGGAATACTGAAACACTCTCTTTTACTAGTGTATGTGTTGTACAGAAAGAGCCGTTCATGTAACTTCAGCTCTCAACGACAATATTATACTAATCAAAATACTTCAGCGAAATCCGACTAATGCCACGTGATAAAACATTTCATGAACATGGTGCATTAAATACCTTTTAAGATCGGATAATTTGTTGCATTTGTTGCACATGAACCGTAGATTCACAGCCCATGCGAGAATTTGGCGGGTTTGAAACATGTATGTCTGTCTTAGACGTTTTGGTCTAGGTCTTACTACACACAGCACACTGTATCTCTCCCTCCCTCCGTCCTCCCTCGCTCTGCTCTCTCGTCGCTCTCTCTCTCCCTCTCTCTCTTCTCACAGCTCACACTCAACTGACGTGCCCCAAGTGTCGAGATGTCACGGTCCTCTCTGAACTGGGGTGGACGCTTCTCTCTCCACCCCATCAACCTTGACCGTTCATGGTGGGTGTGGCTTAACTATGTCGTCGTGACCGTCGTGTGGGCGTAGTCGTAGTGGGCACTAATTGACCTAGTTTGGTGAATTCAATTGTGGTGTTAATTATTCAATGTTATAGCTCTGTAGTGGTCTAGGAAGGTGTTACATATCTCTCCTCATTCTCCTTCCTTCCACGGCAAGTGGTGGACTAATCGGAGAGGAGGCGATGAGTCACTGTGGATGCAACTCTTTCACTCACCATCATCCAGTAGTCCGCTGCACCTCTCTCCTCCCCATGGCTCACTGTGAGTTAACTACATCTGGTTAATCTATCTCTCATAATTAGGACAACTTGGGGACATCACAGTCATTTATTCAGAGGTGGCGGTTTTTCTCATGTGCTATATATACCATAACCTGCAAAAGAGTGGGGCAGAGTCATGGTTGAGCTTGTGGGGTCGTCTTAATGAGTTTTGTGTGGCCTTGTTCTATGATTAGCTACCTCTCAGTAGCTAGAGCCTTAGACACACACGGATGATCTGATCTAGTGTGCACACATTCATTGAAGACATGTACATGTTAAGAAGTCGATCGAGCATCTGCCTTTCAAACTGCGGTACATCATTATGGTTCGCATTATGCCTAGATTACGTCGCAGATGGGCTGCTTCAAATTGGACATGTATTAGTCCACATTGACATTACAGAGGATGCTATATTGCACCAAATACCACGCAATCTCTCTCTCTCGCTCTCTCCTCCTCATTAGCTGACACATCCAGGTGCCGTGAGCACAATCGCCGACTGACTATTTCTGTGACAAGTGTGACGTGTTGTTCTGTGCCACATGTGCCATCAACACCACGGAGGACACAAGGTAGATCATGGATACATTTAGCATTAGCAGAACTTTTTTTGTAATAATCGGCAGTTACAAATTTTTGGTGCTTTGATAAAAAAATTGTGTAAATGGTGATTCAGTGTATACGTATTTCTGTTCTGAGGGTCAATTAGTAAGATCATTTTCTTGCCCATTTTTTGTATGTCGGGTTCTTTTGACACAAAACGTAACAGCACAAGCCTTTGACAGGAGATGTTTCACTATCCGACATATTCCCGCCACTCTACAAGTGGATGCTACAATGTGTGTGTGCCGTCATTTATATCTAAGTTCTCGTCAGACTGAACAAACAAGTTATGGGCTCGTCGTTTGTATGTAGCATGTTGGTTTTTCAGAGACATTGAACTGTGGGACTTAGTCGAACGTGATGTCTCCTAGTCATGGGTGAACAACACTGCTTTGAGAGTGTGTTGCCACGCACAGGGCTATGTTTGCTGGAGTCTGTAAAAGCGGTACACAGATGACGTAAATTTGGTTTCTCTCTCCTTCCTCCCCTCCCGTACCCTTTTCCTAATCTTCTCTCTTCTCTTTCTCTTCTCTCTCTCCTCTCCCTCTCTCCCTCCTCTCCGGGCCCTCCCTCCTCCCTCTCCCGTCCTCTCCATCTCGCCAGCCAAAAGAACGCTCAGAAGCTACAACAGAGCTTCGCTCACAGTGCGTCGATCCTCTAGAGATCCGATACTCTCCGGACAAACGTCGCGATCGACGAGAACACCCGGATCTACACGCAGGTCAGGAACTCGGCGAGAGCACAACCAACCGCATGCCCAGACACTCGTTTCAAGAGTTGCGCAATAACCCTCAACTCGCGGGAACTGGCCCTCGTGCAGTCTCTGGAGGGAGTGATATCGAAGAAGTGCATGCACTCCACACCAATGCATGCAGCTTCAGCAGCTGAGAGAGAAGTTGACGCAGAGCGGAGAGCGTGTCTCGTCTACTCCAGATCAAAGACCACGACTACACGGTCCTTCTGAAGAGAAAAACAGATTGCCGCGGAGGTCGATGCCGTCGTGAACGAGGTCGACGGACTCGAACGAGACCCGTCGAGAAACTGGGAAGACGGCCAGAGTGTGTCCTGCGCGAGGAGCTGCTCAGGAGGCAAGCGGGTTTGGCGAGATTACTGCACTCCGACCCCTGCAAGTTCGTCGCGTCGGACCCGACTGAGAAAGGTTTACAGGTCGGAAAGGAGGCGGAGTTTGTGGTTGAAGCTCACGATAAGTACGGTCAGCGGGCGTTCAAGGGAGGGAACAAGTGGAGGTCAAGATTTTGGACCCCCAGGGGGCTGAGATTCCGGTTGCCATCGACAATGCCAAAAGGGGGAGGAGCCTGGTTCGGTACACGCCCAAAGAAAGTTGGGTTCCACGTCGTCACGATTTTGGTCGACTCGCAGAGAATTTCAAACTATCAATGGAACGTCATGGTGTACGGTTACCGTGACTACTCGGTGATGACGAAGCCTCGGCTGTATCTGTCGCGTCAGCAGATCAGCGACATGTCAACGGTCAAGAGTGTGTTTGTGTTGCCTCTGTCAGGGTATCTGGCCTTCTCTGACCAACTCTGTATCAGGACGGTGAACCTGGAGGGGTTGAGGTAAGACAGAGAGAGACAGTTGTACATATGCTATTACGAAACCTAATTACATTCTTGGCACTGGGCCCTATGTTTTACATGCACAGCTTGGCCTCTGTGCCAGACAAAACTATGGGTATGGTTGGTCCATGTTGCTTGCAGTAAGTCTATTTTCATGCACCGTTTTGTGAGTGCAAACAAACCCACTCTCTCATACACACTCTCACATCCATCCTTCTCTTCCTTCCCTCTCTCCCTCACCCTCTCTCCCTTATCCTCTCTCTCTCTCCTCCTCTCTCTCCCTCCTCTCTCTCTTCCCCGCAGGCTGGTAAAGAGAGCCATCGGCCTGGCAGGGTCACCCAGTGGCCTGTTCAGTATGCCCATGGAATCACAGCCAACAGCAAAGAACGAACTCTTCATAGCTGACAGACAGGCTTGCAAGATAACCAAATTGGCTCCTGACGGCAGGGTCGTTGATCGTACGGGAGGCAGGGAAGAGGCAGCGGGGGGTGAGGCATCCAGAGTCCGTCGCCGTGACAACCGACAGACTGTTTGTGGTTGACACGGGCAACAACTGCATCCAGGTCAGTGGACATGGGGTTAATTTACATCTGAAACAATGTGCTAGTTTGGCAATTTAGGTGAATAGTAGCTACTTAGAGTTTTTTGGCAATCAACCTGTGAGTTACGTAGTTTGGCTACACTTCTCTCTCTCGTTAGTAATGTGTTGTCTAATGTAATAAAAAGTGTGGGATTTAACAGGAATCTAGTCTGAGGTGCGGTCAACACCATTTTGTTGAAGAATGTATAATTATACATAGATACAAGTTAGTGGACAGAGCAAGTTTTTGACCTTTCCAACTAATGTACAATCATAATGTTCGCATTATGCATTTGCCCAAGATTACATCACCAGATGGGCTTGCTTCAAATTGAATAATGTATTAAGTTTCTACTATCCTGGTGTGTTACAGGCGATGTCGTTGAAGAGTGGTAAATTCAAGGTCATTGGAGGTCGAGGTGTGCCCGACGGAATACAGCTAAGAGAACCCCAGGTTTGGAAGAGGGAGGGAGGGAGGGAGGGAGCATGTGCCATCAATTTCTTAGATACTACCATGACTCGATCAAGGACAGATTTTGATGACATCATAATGTTAACTTCCAACTTTCACAATACTATATACAGCTAGCTATAGAGTGCAGCTGAATGGACACTGAAAATGCGAATGGTTGTAGCAAGCATTTGAAACTTTCACTACAGTGCTTTGCATAAAGAGACAGAATTTTGGGATTTTTAACATTTTGGTCCATTACTCGGCCATACTATATGCTGTGCACACGAGAAACATATCAAAATGATCCGCAATCTTTTCTGATCCAAGTGATCAAATTAATATTAAACCATGTGATCGTCATGTGACACAAATGGCTGCCAAACAAAGGTCTTTCAGAAAATCGGTTAGGCTGATTATTTCCACAAGCCTGGGAGTTAAGACTTGAAACTTGTTATGCACAATCTTCGCTCCAGTAGTTGTTTTACTTCTGACTGTGCAAAAACAATCTGTCAAATTTCTTGACTCTTACGGAAGAAATGTATCATTATTGTCAAACTCTACCTGTACACAGGGAGTGGCAGTCGATGAGGTCAGAGGTCGTCTCTACATCACCGACGCCGGCTACAACTGCCTCCTCTGCGTCTCCTTGGCAACCCTCGAGCCCATCGCTGCCTTCGGGCAGGGCGGGGAAGTCCCTCTAATCAGCCCCACGTCTGTTGCCGTCGACCGTGACGGGTTTCTCCTAGTAACGTCGGCCAAGGCACACCTCCTCTTTGTCGTGTCTCCGCAGGGTGCAAAGGTCAAGCAGCTGGGTGGCGAGGGAATGCTGTTTAAATCTCCGAGCAGTGTCTGCGTGGATGGTCAGGGGAACGTTATAGTGGCCGATCCAGCAATCCCCTGCATCCACATCTTCTGAACACTCAACTCCACTATTTAGGGTCATACATATGTATACACTACATACATGTACACTGTCGTTCTCACTACAGGCAAACGCAGTTCTACCAAGAGGTAGTAATTGGCGTGTCGTTTAGCATGGGACAGTGTGGAAGTTTGTAATTTCTAGCACACTCTTGTTTGTTACGTGTTCATGTGCATGCATAGTGCCACTATTTGTATATATATGCAGGTCGTCATGTAATTGGAACTATGGGAGGAAAAACCCCTGGTTGGGGATTTCCCTCCTAACATCCTCACTGTTCCTTAGGTGTGGTCAACATTATGTCATGTATGTATTATATTATACACCATAATTATACCTCTTCCTTCCGCTCTTTATATCGCCCCATTATGCACATCCATCAAATGATGCACCTTACGTCTTCTGAAACTGTGTGTATACATGTGTGATTCAGCAATGTTGTGAGGTATCGTGTTTTCCCGATAATTTAGGAGTTAAACTACAATTTGACGTTAAAGGGAATGTAATTATAAGGGCTAAATTTAGAAAATGTTACTAAAAAACGGAAACCTAATTGCATTCTTGCACAAACGAGTCACACAGGGATGCAGAGTTAGAGAGTGTAGAGCTCGTTAAAGAATTCCAGGATGAAGTCGTTGACGACCGCCTTGTCTGGTATCTTAGCAACCATGCCGTAGAGACCGGCTGACCCAGTACGAGAGAGGGCGGGGTTTGCCTGGATTCAGAAGAGAGACGAGGGAGGAAGAGATGTGAAAGATGTGAAATCGTAAAAAAAAGGCAAAACAATTGTGAAATTGTGAAAATTTCACCCTCTATTTTAATGAGCAGGGGAGAGAGAGAGAGCTAGAGGGTCCAGAGAGAGAGAGAGAGAGAGAGAGGGAGGGAGAGACGAGGACACCTTGACAGTGGTGACAGCCTCTCTGAGAGCAGAAAGCAGCTGCTGAGCTCTCTCGGGAGTGTGTGAGGGGAGGATGGAGAAATGGAGACTATCCATCTGGCGCTCCATTGTCCAACCTTCGAGAGGCGAAGAAAAATCACTACCGTTCAACACCTCTCAAACTAAAATGAGGACACCTCTTGAATTAGGACAGCCTTTTCTCCCAAGAACAGTTCTGACGTGCAAATTAAACCCTGAAATAAGGAACCCTCGCTATTTAGGACACTTCCTTTGGTGGCAGAATGAGGGTTGTGTCGTGCTATGTGACGTACCGTTCTTTTCCATTACGTCGGCAACGGCAAAGATAGACACCTGACTGTCACATGACGTTACAGAGAATGCCGTCATTACCGGCGACCCACACACCTTCAAAACCCTGGACGAAAAACAAGAAAACCGTAAGATCTGGAGAGATGAGACAGCCAATCTCACAGGAATGGCTGCAATGCCCTGTTTGAGTGCAAAAGTCACATCCATCAACTTCCGCGCCATCTCTGTGTAGCCGTCAACACCCATGGCTTGTAGGATTGCCCACGAGGCTGCTATGATCCCTCCTGAGGGGGGCAGGGGGGCAGGGGGGCAGGGGGGCAGGGGGGTTGAGAGTAACAGGGTACATGTTGGCCCACATGCTACTGTTGTGGAGCACTGTGAAAGGACAAACTTGTATGTACGTGAATTTGGAGGTTGAGAGTTACGAAAGTCCTTCACGCTCCATTTGCCTCCAATTTCACATATATTATTTCTCAACTGAAAGTTTTCCACTGAGAGACATTTACAGGGACGTAAAGTTATTTAGCAGCGTCCTTTTATTTAAGAGGCGTAATACATAAATGAGATGATAAAGCTAGACATTTCTGGAACTTCTCATTCTCGTGTAATGAAAAACTTTGTTTTCTACGGGAAATCAAAAACCTCGTATATATGGGCCAATCAGATTTCTCAATTTAAACACGCTATGCACTATTGGTATGTTTGTACCTGGTCTACTGCCAGCCATGCTGGGTGACCCAAAGAGCCCACCAGGCCACTCGGCATAGGCAAATATCTGATACCTCCTCAGAGTCTCGTCCCGGTACAGTACCACACTCGCCCCCTGCGGAACGGAACAGAGACGTGACAAGGTGGAATTGGAACGCGACTGAACTGCCGCTAGTACTTGCCTTGATTCCGAGACCGTACTTGTGTATGTCTGCTGACATGGAGGTTACCCCCGGCAACCGAAAGTCAAACTCAGGCAACGAATAGCCAAGTTTCTCGACCCTGGGCGGAAACATTACGTAATTTGACATAACAACAGAGTCTGTAGGTAGATATTCTAAGTAAACATGACTCGTGTTTGCAATTACACAAACAAACTATTGGAGCAATACCAAATATGGATAGAAAGGAAGCCAAAAGAACTGGCAGCCCTGCTAATTGCATTTCCGGGCAATGTGCTATCTTTCATGTCAGTATGACAGAATTTCCTGCTCCAGTGTTGACATGATGTGCAGTGTACACAAGTCTCTCTATCCATAGATACTATAGTGTATTACAATGTAAACAGCAACAAGGTCACAAGGGCACAAGGCGAAAGCTAACAATGAGTTACGTACACGTGTTTCCATACTTGGCAAGCAGCAGTCACAGAATGAAAATGCACGCGACATTCTTGACACAGAAAATTTTTTACTTCCTCATGCCTATTATAGCCCTAGCCCATGTTCTCAGAGGATTTCCTCTGTCGTGCCAATGCTCATCATTCCACAAAGAATTTGAGGCATGTAACTGTTATGAGGTTCTGTGCATGCCCTCACCTATTAATAATGGTATCGTTACGTCAAAATTATCAGTTGTTATCTTTCTCTCATTTCCGTGTGTTTTTTTGCTTCACTACCACACATAGCAAGCCAGGGGTGGCCAGAGTTTTCAATCATAGGGGCTGCCATGGCTTCAAGCACAATGTCGTCGTATGAACTGACTAAAAAAGCGAGACACAAAACTTATCTCCTGGATAACTCGGAAACTAGAAGAACACAACCATTCACCCCCTCTCTCTTCTCCGGTAAAAGTGCTTCCTCTAACCAAGGCAGCATGAATCCGCCAAAGCAGCGTAGGCGATCGACGTGCAGTGGAGGTATGTCGGATGGCTAGTCCGAGATGGTGACGGATCCACATTCCATAGCCGTACTCTGGAGAAGCCGAGCGGCAAGCAGGAGTGTGAGCGGAACAGCACAGAGAGAATGGTGTTGTTGTTGATATTGCGTGGGACCGGTGGGAGGAAGAACACTTCCGAACTGAGACATACAGTGGACCACTCTAAAGAAAGAGCAGCCTTGGGAGAAGCGAATGTGTCAAGCTAAGATTCAGGGTCCTTTGTCCTTTATAGTAGAGGTGTCGTCTATATTATAGCATGCTATGGGCTCTGTGAACTGAACAAGTCCTTTATAGAGAGGTTGTCTTGTATATCAGAGAGGTCGTTTATTTCAGAGACGTCGCTGAGTACAAACTAGAGGCAGACAAACCTTCTCGTAGGCGGCCATATTGGGAGTGAGGTCAGGTCAGGGGGACGTGTACCAACCACGGTCACGTTGAAGTAGCTGGCGGCTTCACTCTTTGCTCCGAATGCCGGTGGATGTCGGTTGAGTGCTACCGCGCAGTCATGAGGATCAGAATGGTAAGAAGAGAGATAAGGGTTAAGACGAAACCTGACATTATTGCACTGCACTCTCCACGATATAGTCAAGGTATTCAGGATGGTTGTTGTGTCTGTCCTTCTTGCTAGCGTAAACCGTACGAATATGTGTTAGGACCACCCTATTACTACGCCACTGCACCTCTCCACGCTATAGTCACGGTAAGCAGATGGTTTGTTCAGGTCTGTCGTCCCCCCACTGCTTGCTAAAAGACAAAAGGTTAAGGCCACCCTTACTTGCCACTGCACTCTGCCGCTATAGTCAAGTAGTCAGGATGGTTGTTGGTCTGTCCTTCCACTCACCGCCCACTGCCTGCAAAAGTACAAGTTAGGTCTATATACGTTACTTGCACTGCCTCGCACAGCTGTAGTCCAGGTATTCAGGTGGTGGTTGGCCTGTACCTTCACAGGGAGCCCAGGAGCAAAAGTACAAAAGTTTGAGGCCACCCTATACATGCACTCGGGCACACGTGCTCATCCTCCAGCTCTAGTCAAGGTATTCCGTTGGTGGCCGCCTTCCACCCACTGTTGCCCTGCCTGCTACAGTACGAAATATTGTAGGCACCCCTACTTGCAACGTCCACCATGCCATGTCGACTCAGCATTCTTGCGAGAAAGATTCTAAAAATGAAATTCCTTGAAAGTATGTGATGTGGCACAAATGTTTTCGCTCCAACGTATCACGTGGTTATCTATGAGATTTTAGACTAACTCACGTTTATGACTGGTGGGTTGAAATAAGTGAGTTGTTCTAACGATAAATCCTACATCATACTCGGGCTGAGTGATGTGCGGCCACTAGGTCCGGGGCCTGTCCCTGTGAGGTCGTGACGGCACATCCGACTACTCTCAGTCCCCGCCTGACGATTCTCGTTGGAGAGGGCGTGGTAAAACATTCGAACCAGCGCGCCCTGAGTAATCATAAAAATCATCAGTTGTGTTTGAAAATGTTGTTACGAGGTCTCACCTTTTAATTTGTTGTTAATCTCTTTCTTATCTGGTGATTCCCCCTCCCCCTCTTCTCCCCTTCCTTCTTCTCCTCTCCCTCCTGCCCCTCTCCTGTCACTCCCTACCCCCCTCTTCCTCCCCCTTCCTTCTTCTCCCTCTCCCTCCTGCCCCTCTCCTGTCACTCCCTCCCCCTCTTCTCCCCTTCCTTCTTCTCCCTCCCTCCCTCCCTCTCTCGCTCCTTTTTCCTCTCCATCTTCTTCGTCTGCACTACTATTGTCTCCAAATTCAAACATGTCAAATGCCGTTTCCACGGCGTCGAACTTTCCGCCTTCCCTGGTGTACACGTATGCGAAAATCTTCCCTGCATGAGGGTCGGTCTCAACTCTCTTCCTCTTTTTCAGCTCCTGAATCAGTTCTTCTTTACTCAACCCTGCAAATCAATCACAGGACGTTGTAATTACTGTATAACTAGAAATATTGGTAGCCATTGAATCTGGTGTTGCTGCGTAACCAAAAGACTGTTCATTGATAATTGCACACACAAAATATGCACACATGGTATCAATGTGGATTGTCGCAGTCTCCAGGTCTGGTACGCATACTGATGTACGGAAATTGCTTGAAATGGACGTGAACTCCGAATAAGAGGTCTTCTTTGTTGTTGGTGTAGTTCTCATATGCGAGCCCCGCCCAATTTAGCTATCGCGACGTTACATGCGCTTTGTTTATGGAGGATCCTGTGCCTCCTGTTGGTGTATTCGAGTGGTGGTCCCGTGTCTTCTGCTATTGTTGAAGTAACGTGGACTCAACCCGGATCAAACTACTACACGACCGTCCCTTCACCGTTCAGCACGCAACGAGCGAAAGCGCTGGACTACCCCGACCTGCGGGAAGCCAGCGAACTCGACAACAGATCAGGGAGCTGGAAGACATTCGCTCCTCGTGCGAGCGAGCTGCGAGTGTTCGAGCAGCAGCGATCGAAACTGACGCAGATATCGAGTCGCACGGAGAGCTCGCCCGCTTCAAGAAGGAGCTCACTGCCGCTAAGAGGATCTCCAGGACAAGCGGGGGCAAGTTTGTCAAGGTGAATAGGATTTCTACGACAAGGTGGACCCGATTACCCAGACAGCGGCGAGCATGGCGCCTATCATCGTCCTACCTGCGGAGAACAAAATGTCAAGTATCTCAGATCTCGCCCAGCCTCGCGGAGCCCCTGCGGACGACGCCCAGTTCTCTCGCTGTACCCTTGACCTCTGTTTCAACCTAGCCAGGTGTCCACTCACTCGTCCGTTTTCCGTGTTTGTCTACAACGATGCAAACCCTCACCTCTTCCCCGTTTCATCTCGCCACGGTAACGTCGTGACTGATTTCGTAACAGACTTGAAACGAACAGGTTCTTTCACCTCCGACCCCACCGCTGCGTGCGTGTTTGTGGCCATCCTTGAAAACCGAGCCAGCTCCGGGGAAGACATGCCGCGAGATCTCCAGACCAAGATACTATCTCTGGCCCACTGGGGTGGCGAGGGTGCTAATCACGTTCTGATCGAACTATCCACCAGTAGAGATACCGCGAGCTCGCTGGATGCAGCTATCGACGGCGTGCGATCTATTTCTCGTCAGTCATCGCTCCCGGTCAAACCGTGTCGATCCGATTCGCAAGTCCTTCTCATACCTCTAGCCGACTTCGGAAGTAGACGTGGCGAGACGTGCCCCTCTCCTCACCGGTGTCGAGAGAGAACCTAATGCTAGTTCCACGGTGAGTACGCCCCTCCTCGTCACCCCAGTCCCAGCTCCCTGGCCCCTGCGGACGTCAAGAGTCTCCAGCAGGCACTGGACGGAGGAGAAGATGCTATCGGAGCGCGGTGCTCATGAACACCGGCTGCAGGCGGTGACTGCAGCGGCGAGTGGATGCTGTGCGGAGGGCAGAGTTCGCGACGGAGCTGTGTCCCATTCAACGTTTCCACTCGTTCAGCACAGGAATGGACGGACGCAGCGGCGTGCGCTCTATACCAGTATCAATAGAGTCCCTCATCTGTGGTCCATTCCCCGTCCTCACTGGTAATGGGACGCTCCTCGTTCGAGCGAGGTATTGATGGCGTCTTTCGGCGCCATCTCCATCCTGCGAGCGGGATTTCAGACATGCACTACTATTCTGACGCGTCGTGAGGGAGACGATATCAAAAATTTCGTCTCAACGGAGAAAGCTCGGCACACCTACTTCAGCTCTCCCCTCGCCATCGTCAAGACTACCGTTGCCATGGTGAGATCCCGAACGCTCCACCCACCTCCCCTCGCTCCCGAATTCGTAGGCCTTTCTCTGCTGTCGAAATCGACGATGCGTAACAAGCGGACTCCCTCCCCTCTCCTCACACACAATTTCACAACGTACTCTTGGGATTTCTGGAACGAGCCTCCGGGTCCCTTCATTTCCTACCCCTCCACCCCCTTCAAACGCGGCCCCCTCTCTGGATACCGGTTTAGCGATCCTGGACGAGTAGAGCGATCTGAGCGTCTCCCGCACAGCACATGTCGATGCAGGCGGAATAACGGGACCCAATTTCGAAGACTTATTACTAGGGAATTCCCCCGAGGAGCAGTTCACCGTGGTGATGTTGACGTACCAGAGGAACAAGGTGCTGATGGAGGCACTGGGGAGACTGGATGATGTGGCGTTTCTCAATAAGGTAGTGGTTGTGTGGAACAACCCAGAAACTCCACCGGGTGATTTGGAATGGCCCGACATCGGAGTGCCCATTGAGGTGAGGTGTATTTCCAGTGTGTTAGGTTTGCCAAGAGTACTTAGTATTATAGGGATCAGGATCCAGCATTATACCCATACATTTGAGATTTACACGTTTCACTTTCATATAATCGCACAAATTAAAGTACACGTGTCTCTTTTGACGTGCTTGAAAATGAGCAGTACGTCACAACAGCACGTAGTTCAGTGAAGCATTTCTCCAAGCATGACAAAACTTGTATGCAGTTCAAAGGTATTCCGATCCAGACACCTGCCTACCTGTAACTCTTAGTGAAAGGTGCATGGTAGTGTACAGAGTAGGGAGAAAGCGAGTCTGACCTAAGTCATGCTGGACTGCTGGAATGCAGACTGAGCACTCTGACAATGCACATGACTGAGTCACGAAAGCACACGCACAGACAGTTGCACGGTAGAGGTCACTGTTCGAATCGCCCAAACGCCCCGAGTCGGTTATTCAGAGCACCTTTCCACCGCTTCTCTTTCACACCGAACAGAAGTCATCCACACGCTACACTTTATATGTACTGTATTCCATTCTCTCTCTCTCCCTCTCTCACATCTCTTCTCTCTCTCTCTCTCCCTTTCTCTCTCTCTCACCTCTCTCTCCTACTCTCCTCTCTCTCTTCACGCTCTGCTCTCTCTCTCTCTCACTCTCTCTCTCGCTCTCTCTCTCTCTCCTTCTCCTGCAGGTGGTACGTGGGCAAAAGAGCACACAGTCTCAACAATAGATTTACTGCCATTCAAAGAAATAGAGACTGAGGCTCTGTCTGTCTATCGATGACGATGAGCATCTCCGACCAGAGATGAGATACAACTTTGCCTTCAGTGGGGGAGAACCTCTATCGTAGTATAATTACAGAGAACTAATCCACACTCCAGGTGGGATCGATCAATACACATAAGGTGAAACACAAAGTTTGGGTGATATATAAGAAGGTATTAAGCGAGATAGTAAGCGGTGATTGATGTTTGAAAGACGAAAATTATGGAGAAGAAATGAAAGGGGAAAGACAAGAGTTTGGAGCATAGATAACGACGACCATGAACAGTAGGGTTAGGAACTCATATTCCACAGACATGTGGTACAATTACCTTACGTATCTTGAAGTATTTATTAACAAAAATTTTATTCAATTATTTTAGTATTTTATTTATATAATTTTAACCCTCGGCGCGCATGCGCAGCGAGCGGTACAGTAGTTGAGAGTCTGCTGTCCGTGTCTGTGTCTGGCTTGGCTGTTAGTTCTACATGCGTACTCCTCGAACGTCCTGTTCGTCCAGAGAGAGGAAACGATACCCTCTACCCAACGGCGCGACGAAGGTCAGGAAAATACAAGACGGTTTTCTCTGCAAATGAAAATGCTCCGTTGCAGCTAGAGCACGGAAAGGCCAATATGCAAATACGCAACGGACGGATGGGCCTGCATCGACAGCGTGCTCTGCGACCTCGGAGGCACCAGAAGATGCAACGCAGGCGTATCGCACTCGCATGCTGACTAGTAGTAGTAGTAGGCCGCGTCAGACTATGCGCGAGATGGCTAGAGCCCAGGAGTAACAGCAGAACAAAACCAAGCCCATCAATTAGTGCGACGGAGCGCGGATCGGTTTACTCACGCGTGCGCGTCACAATGTTACGCGAGGGTTTGCACTTCAGTGCTTTCATTCCTCCTTAACTAACGTCTTGTCCCTCGTAACTGGCTCTAATTGGCTCTGTGAAACCCCTACCCCACATCTCTGTTGTGCAGCGGAGTGATGCGGAAGCTAGGGACAGGATCGGGGTTCCAGTCGTTTCCATGCCGACGACGTCAAACGCACGAGACCTGGTTGTACACTCTCTAACGTATACGTGTGAGCTGTCAATGGTTCTGACAGGAGCGCCTCTTCCACAAGGTACACATGCATGTGTATACTAGTGAGAGGAATGCAATGCATTGTTGACGATGAGCGCTAGGACACCCTCTCTGTCTCCTCTCAGTCGAGCAGTTCAATTTTTTATCTCACACGCATCTCTCTCCCTCTCATCTCCCCATCCCCTCTCTGTCTCCCTCAGATCTATTCCTCCTGTACTCTGAGCTGATGCCTCAACGGAGGTCGAGGACATGGTGACCAGTACATGAACTGCGAGACATTGCCATGAAAACTTCGCGTCTCACACGTCACCAGAACACCTCCCTCAAGGTACGCCGCATTGGTATATATACATATGACACTTGTGCAGTGCAACTTGGCACAGATTGTTACATTTTGTTAGTTTATTCACTGGTAACATAATTGAGTTCCAGCACACGTAAGATTTTAACACACTGCTTGTGAAACCTCTGATTAAGGGACACTTTAGGGAACATTGTTTCCTTTAGACATCCTCGTCACCTTATGCTTTGTAACATTTTTATCCGACTAGATAGTAGATACTTTTTCTTCTTACCTCTTTCTTCTATATTTGGATGTTGTCTTTATATGAACCAAGTTCGGAGAGTCCATTTTTGAGGTTTAACTGTAATCAAGACATGTTCTTCTATTTGATGTGTGTGCAACCTTGTTCTCCTGTATGTTAATGGTGATTTCTCCAGGTGACGTCTCGTTGGACATTCCGTTGCCCCGGTTGCCCGGATACGCTCTCCACGGACGACACTCATTTCCAGGAACGTCACGTGTGCATGAAGCAGCTCAACGGTATCTATGTTTACATGCCCCTCCTCTACACACAGTTCAGAGTCGACTCGGTGCTTTTCAAACCCGTCTCCCTAGCAACCTTCAAAAATGCTATCAATTCATCTAGAATAAATATTTTATATTTTTTCAGTTTGGCTGTTGTTTGTCTTATGTGTGTGTGTTATGTTTTCATGTATTTTTTGTAAAGATTCATGCTCTATGAAGTAAATTTCATGATGTGAAAGTAAGCGGAGGAATCCGGAGAGTTTGACGGAGATGTGTGACCTCTTGTCGCGAGGTCAATTTGCGAGTATAGTGCGAGCCCGCGCGAGGACCAAAGTTAACAAAGAAGGTGAGATCAAGATGAGACGGAGAGATCTTCGGCGCTGAAGTCGTGCGAGAACTGGACGCCTTCCCCAAAGTAGAGGATGACTGCGCCAAACCCACAAGCCGCGGAGGAACTCTCTCTCTCCTCTCCCTCTCCATCATCTCCCTACTGGTGGTGTCAGAATTCTTCTACTACCCGGGACGGAGACTAGCTACAAGTACTCCGTCGACACCGACATGGGGCAATGCTCGTCACGATAGACATGACGGTAGCCATGGCGTGCAGACATCTTGGGCCGACCTCATAGACCACGCGGGCGAGAGCATGCAACTGCACGACGTGATAAAAATGGATCCGGTCAGTTTCCAACTGAGCGATGCAGGCAGTTACTGCGCGAAGCAGCGTCTGCAGGAGCAGTACAAACCACGCCAAGGCCCTGGGAGATTTGGACAGTGATGAAGGTATACGAGACATCAAGATGCCTCAGGGAGTGGAAGAAGGGGAGACTGGCAGGCATGCAGACTCCACGGGGCTTTTCCCCGTGAAGAAGGTGGCTGGGAACTTCCACATTACGACCGTCGCTCGATCCCTCACCCTCAGGGCCACGCCCACTTGACGATGAACGTTCCTCACGGCGCTGTAAACTATTCTCACAGAAATCGACCAGCTGGCGTTCGCCCGCCCATTCCTGGTGTTCTGAATCCCTTGACGCCGCCCACAAACTAGTGGAAGATCGCAACCACCAATTCCAGTACTACCTACAGGTGAGAGCTCATACAGTGGATCCTCTGAACAAGTGACACTTTGAAGACATCAAAAGTTCCTTTATTCAGAGGTGTCCTTATGTATGGGGCATGCATCAAGCAAGCACAAGTGCAAAGGTTTCTGTTTTGAGAAGTTATGGTGAAGAGAGTGCCTTGTTCACTATTGCGCAATTCAAATAACCATGTGGGCTGACTTTGCTTTCCATCCAACCCATTGCACCTCATTTGAAGAAATATTCTTCACTTGTTTATTCTTGCTCTGCAGGTAGTGCCAACGAAGTTTCGAACACTCCACAACTACTGACTACCAACAGTACTCAGTGAGAAGAGAGGAACAGAACCATCGACCACAGGCAAGGCAGCCACGATGGCCGGGGATATTCTTCAAGTACGACATGAGTCCACTCATGGTCGAGGTCCAGGAGACTCGAAGACCATCTGGCAGTTTCTGATACGACTGTGTGGAATTGTGGGCGGGATTTTCGCCACCTCGGGCATGCTCAATTCATTTGTAGGGTCTCTGACTGATGGAGTACTCAGCTGCCTTCTTAGGGGGAAAGGTCAGAGTTCGTCGACATCGGATTAGTGTTGTAGTAATAAAATAGCCGATGTTTTTCAATTTTCATGATATTATATATGATGTACAATTTTCTCCTCCTACTATTGGTCAGGCAACATGCAACACACTCAAGAGTTGGTGACGCAAGTAGATACGTAACGTTCACTGGATTACGCTACGCGAGCGTGCGTAAAACGAAGGGGGCGTAACCTGGACAAGCAAGTGTTCACTCAAAAATGGCTCAGCAGCTACGACTCCAAGGCCGTACACGCACCATACAAATAAGCGATCCTCGTGTCCCATCAGGACAGCTACTTATGGTAGTCCCGAGTTGGAACGTCGTAGAGAGCACCTGGATCTCATCTTCCCCCACACCCTCTCCTGGAGATAGCCATGGACTGCCTCAAAGACAAGGAAGGTCAGCGACCGACGGCCGAGCTGCTGTGCTCTCGCCTGATTGCTCTGAAAGAGAGTGCTGCCTACCAAGACAGCCTCCAGCAGACCCCAGAGGAGACGACAGGTCAGGCACCTCCTGCCAGAGACCCAGGAACTAGAGCAACAACTGAGGGAGAGTGAGTCGAGAGTTGAAGACCTCACCAGAGAAGTGCAGCAACTGATGCTGCAGAACGAAGAGCAAGCTAGAAGCATACAACAGAAAGATGAACTAGTTCGATGCAAAGATGAAGAAAATCAGCAACTTCAACGACAGATTCGAACACTTCAAGCCAGTAGACGAGAGAATGAACAGGTGGTGGCTGCTCTACAACAGAGTGTGGAACAGAAAGATGCAGCACTTCAGGCAAAGGATGAGTTGCTGCAGGAGAAGGAGAGAGAGATACAAGAACTGCAGCAGAGAGTGAGGGAGAGGGAGGAAGTGATGTGGCCACAGGACCTCTGAAACTGGAGTGGAGGGATGGACCACCAGCTCCGTTTCCAACCTGCGGATTTTCAGTAGCAGTCAGTGGAGAGATGGTGTACTGTGTTGATGGTGTTAGTTTTACTAAAGTGCTATGTTCAACTCAAGGACAGGGCAATGGACAGTTCTTCCAGAATGCCCCAAACAGTTCTTCTCCATAGCAGTAGTGAATGGACAACTGACAGCAATTGGAGGGAGTCAATCATACGAAGCCACAAACACTCTTCTCAGTCTCCCACAGGACAGACCAGGCATCTTCCAACAGAAGTGGATTGAACAATTTCCACCAATGGCATACCGTCGGAATGCCCCAGCAGTTGCTACCACCAACACATCACTGATAGTAGCTGGAGGATGGGTCGCAGAATGAGAAGAAAGCACGCAGTAGAAGTGATGGACATTCAGACACTACATGGTCCACAGTAGCCCGAGTCTACTCATCCTCTCTGGCTATGTGCCTACAGCCACCATCTGTGGGGACAGACTCTATATTGGTGGTGGTGGGATAGTTACGTGATGGGTCAACAAGTCAGTGGGTAATGTGTTGAGGGTGAAAGACCTCCTCAGTCACAGCCACAGTCACTAGCCACCAGACCAGTTCTCTCCAGTAGTCTCCAGTGTGGAAAAGAAGTTGCTCCACTTCAAGTAGAGCTGTCCTTCTCTCGTCACCTTCCAAGGCCAGTTACTTGGCAGTAGATGAGGGATCCACATAGCACCTCAGAAGTGAGGCAAATGATGCAACCACCAACTCTTGGAGTGTCATTACCACATGAAAATGAAGCGACGTTATTGCCTTGCAGCAGTTCTTCTTAACAACACACTGATGGTGTGCGGTGACATACCAGCAACTACATCTGTTGAAATAGCTTCTGTTCCCTTATAAAGTCTTGCTGAACCATTAGTTTTTTCTATTGATATTAATCTTTGATACACCAATGTTGATCACTAAATAGGTTTGTCATATTATCTGAGTTAACCTGCTAAAGATGATGTCATCGCAATAAAGCAATCTGTCAAAATGTTAACCTTTGGTACGCATGTGCAGCGGTACTTTGTCTGTTACCACATTTTCTGGTACACAACAGAGTGAAGAAGTGAAACCGGCATATCATGCAGTGCACAGTGCACACCGCATGCAGTTTTAAAATGGCCATGCATGTTCATAGAACTTCTGTGTTCAAAAGTTAAACTAACGATGAGCCTTCAAATTACCACTGGATTACAAAGACCAGATCTCCTTCTTTTTTTTTACCTTGAGGCTACGATCAGAGACCAAGGGTCGTAATTTATGATGATGTAATTATGATGTCATCACAGTAATAGATAGTATAAGTGAGAGTTTCAGGAGAAGACGACAGTGTCTAGCATGGCTCCCAGTGACTGGGTGATGTTGGCAGTCAGCACTCCTTCAACCTTCTCTTCCAGGTGACGCTTTGGGTCCTGTAGTATAGTATAGTGGAGAGGAAAGGGTTAAAATACTCAGTAGAAGGGGGAGAAAGGAGGGAGAAAGAGAAAGGGTAGATGAGTTAGGTAGGGTTAAAACACTTAATAGAGTGAGGTGAGTAAGGAAGGGGTTAAAGCAGCACTCAGTAGAGAGAGGGGGAAGTGAAAGCGTTAAAACAATCAGAATGAGGAGGGAAAGGGGTTAAAGCTCTCAAAAAGAAAGAAGAGAAGGAGAGGAGAGGGAGAAGTGACTCACCTGTTTCCCGACATTCTTGAGAGTCTTCTGTTCACTGGTCATCGTCTTCTCGTCCTCCAGAGCCTTGTTGTAGGCTTTGGACAGCTCCAGCATCTCCTGCAGTTCACATAAATCATATCAGGTTTTACAAAACAAAGGTCACAAAAGAACTCAGTACACTACAGGGGAACAGGGCTAGCTAGCTAGGGGTTAGACTAGATAATAGATCTGTGGTATATGGACATACCTTTGTAGTCTTTTCGTTTTCCTTGGAGTGGTCTTGATAGTCCTTCAGTTGGAGACCTGCCATCCACATCTTCTTGTGGAGGTTCAGCAGCATCTGGGAGGGAGGGAGGGAGGGAGGTATGGAGAGGGAGGGAGGGAGGGAGGTTTCTAACAGTTAGACAGGTAGTCCACGATATCTACATGTGTTAGAAGCCTGAGGATCCTTGTAGCATTCTCACCGGAAGAGTGTAGAAGGAAGGAAGTAAGAAAGAGGGGACCGCCTCATGGAAATGTCATAATTTGACACCCTTTAGCAAAAGTGAAGCTATGTAATTAATTTGCCAATAGCTTCCCGCCATATATACATATAGCAACTTCATGAAAACACAAAATTTGGTGTTGGTGTGCTGAGCTCATGGCATGAAGCTTTTTTTCACAAAATATGTTTTTAAGTATTTATTGCAAGTGTTTAGTTACACAGATCCTTACCCTCTGCTCCAGTTCATTCTTCCTGTAGTTGATGGGGAGGGAGTAGTAGTGCCTTCCGAGACCATGGATTAGGGCCTGAATGGAGGGTTTCTGGAGGTGCCCCAGGTTTGAGGTGGTTTGACGCGGCTCGTGACCCATCGCCTGCATGCGAGGGTCCGTCAGTCGAAACGCATCTATCACCACTTTACCTGAGGACAGAGAGAGAGAGAGATTCAACTGTTTTACTTCACACTTGTGAACGCTGTATACACAACATAATGTCATACAAACTGTTCAGTTACTGTTGAAGGGAGTATGGCAGCATAAAACTCTAATTGCATTCTTGCACTGGGCCCTATTGTTAAATTTAGTCTTGTGTACTGACTTAACTTTTAAGCGGTACCCCTCCCTCCCTCCCTCCCTCACCCTTCACACTCTGAATGGGGTCCACCACCACCGCCACAGCTCTGGTTGAGAGGGTCTCGAAGCTCTGCTGGGTGTTGATGTCCACTCCAGAGAGCCAGCAGCCGAACCCAGGGTGGGAGTGGTACCACCCCACCACCATCTCCGGCCTCCCAGTCTGCTTCAACATGTCCAGCATCTTGGCCTGGAACACAGGATCCACTGCCTCCACGCTCACTCCCTGTGAAGGGGAGAGAGAACGCTCACATCTGGAAGTACAGTGAAACATCTGAAAGAGACCCTCTGATATCTCTTTATAAGGGACACTTGGTTCGCCATTAGCATTTAATAGTTTCAACCTCTGAATAAGGAACACCTCTGAATGAAGGACAATTTGTTGTCCCCAAGGAAAAAATACCATGTGCCTCTCTATAAAGGACACTTGGTTCTGCCCCATACTAATACATAGGGACACCTCTCTATAAAGGACACTTGGTTCTGCCCCATACTAATACATATATAGGGACACCTCTCTATAAAGGACACTTAGTTCTGCCCCATACCAATGCATAACTGTAAAGTTTTACTTCTGAATAAGGGATACCTCTGAAAAAAAGGACAATTTTAATGTCCCCAAGGTGTCCTTTATTCAGAGGTATCACTGGTCCTTACTGTTCCACTCTGAGGCATGGCAAAGACATCAATCACAGTCACGGTGTAGTCGTCCACAAACTCCCCCAGCATAAGACCCATAACTTCCATAGGCACTCCAGCACGTCCATGCTTCAACATCTGCAACGGTGGAAATGGAAGTGAAATCTTAGGAAATGGATATCTCAAATAAATAACACCTCTCCAATAAGGGACACCTGGTTCCATAACTAGAACACATTTTTCACCCACTTCACGTGTATGTATTACATAACAGTGTGTGCGGAGTGCCTGCATATAAAGAAAAATCACGCATTCTGACGCTCACTTCACTTGCCAATAATGCATTGGGAGGCCCAAATAGAGTGGCCCGTACTTTGCCTTGTGGCATTGTAGCACAGGTATAATAGTGTGTACTTTGAGGAGAGCTAGAGATGATATGTAGACAGTTTCTGCAGTGTCCATGAGTGGAGTGTCAACACCAGGTGGAGGCTGGATGGAGAGAGAGAGAGGGAGAGAGAAAGAAGGAGAGAAAAGGAAGGGAACTGTAGCACTGGCAAACAAGAGTATATACCATAATGAGTAGTTATTGACCCGCTGGATTGTATGTAAGTAAAGGAAGATATCTCACAAAGCCAACCTGGCCCATTCCTCCCATTCCCCCCATCTGTAGCAGTCTCTCCATCTCTCTGCTGTAGATCTGCACCGCTGTAAACGTGGTTGTGGCCTCGGTAATAAGCCACGCCCACCACTTGTATGCGCATGCGCGATCGATCCACTGATTTGCAGTGCATGTGTGCAAGGTGAAGAAATGGATTTGGTAGCCAGAGCCAAGAGGTTCAGGGAGATCCAGGACCCTATCGAGAACCTGGACATGAAGGAACAGTGCTCCTTCGGGGAACGGATACGAAACTACCTGTTTAGCTTCGCAACAGAAGCTAGCTGGTTCACGAACCACGGCTCATTCGGAGCGGTTCCCTGGCCCGTGTGGGACGCACACTCCCACCTGCTGAACCGAGTTGACGAACACCCCGATACCTGGTTCAGGAGAGACTTGAATCCGCTCTATTTCGCCGCCTGCGACGCTGCAGCCAAGTTTGTCGGAGCTTCAAATGAAGAGGTGGTTCTAGTAGACAACGCTACGACGGCCGTCAATACGGTCCTGCGGAGTCTGCGACTGGGAGAGAAGGACGGAGTGATGGTCACGTCTTTTTCCTACGCCGCATGCTCTATTGCGGCTCGTGCAGTCTGCGAGTCCACGGGAGCAAAGCTGCATGTGATGGAAATAAACCTCCCCATAATCAGCAGGGAGAGCATCGTCCAAATGTACAGGTAAATAGACACTACATCTGCAGCTAGCTTTTAGAATTTAGCACTTTGTAAGCTCTCTGATGCCAAGCCAAGGCTTCAGCTTGACAAAATGCTTTGCATTATCCTACTACATTCACAATTGAACCCTCTCTCTGTGCTTGCAAGGACATGTGCAAAACTATGAGTGTCTTACTTTTTTTGCCAGTTTGAAAACTAAGCAGCCCTTGTTGGAATTGTACAATTTCAGCAATGATTTGCGTAATGTAACCTAATATTTGTGCGCTCGCTCACCGAAGGATTCTTGATCTAGCTATTATAATAATTATACAACCACTACGTACAGGGAGTATCTGGACGAGAATCGTGACGTGACGTTTGCTCTGGTGGACCACATCACCAGCCCATCTGCAGTAGTGATGCCTGTGAAGGAGATAGTGAGGGTGTGCCGGGAGAGAGGGGTGAAGGTGATGGTGGATGCTGCTCACTCCCCGGGGCAGCTTCCTCTTGATGTGAAAGATATCGGAGCCCAGTTTCTCACTGGTTGGTAACCATACAATAAAATCTTCACTTTGGGTGCACTTTTTGTATAGTAGGTATCCAGTGTATTGCTATCTAGAGGGACCTACACCAACTCAGTCAGTTACTTTTGCCTCCGTTCACTGCTGCAGGTAACTTCCACAAGTGGGTGTTCTGCACCAGAGGCTCAGCTCTGCTCTATGTACAAGATGGACTCCAGAGCTCTATCTACCCACTGGTGGCCTCCCATGGCTACTACGACAGTTTCAGGGAGAGGTTTGTGAGCCAGGCCACTCGTGACATGGTCTCCTTCTGTGTCACTCCAACTGCCATCAGCTTCTTTGATAAGATCGGGGGACTGGTAGGTTTATATCACTGTATATGCAATCAGTGAATTGGATGAATAGAAATGATGCCTTGTTAACCCTCGGCGCGCATGTGCAGCGAGGGTTACGGTAGTTGTTTCGTAAGTGTGTCTGTCTGTCCGTCTGTCTGTCTGTCTGTCCGTCTGTCTGTTACCACGCTTTCTGCCACCGCGCGCACGAAATCAGGTAAATAGCGATATGATCGGGTTCAGTACTACACTGGGTTGATTTTTAAAAAAGGCGATTTTCGTAAAACTACTGTGTTTTAAAGTTATGGCGTGAAAACCAAGTGAACAAGCCAATATGTAAATTAGCACAGGCTTACCTCGACCGCGTCCGTTCGCTCTGTGTGTCTTAAAGGCACAACAAGTCACAACGAAGGGCATGTATCGACTCACGCATGCTATTTACTACTGTAGCTAGCCCGTGCCAGACTCTCCGCGAGCTACTAGCGGGATACCACGAGTAAAGGCATAAATAACCCAGCCCATCAATTAGTGGTACCGCACATGCGCAGTTCGCCGAGGGTTTGCACTTTAGTGCTTTTCATTCATCATGGTGTTACTACACACCAGGTAGCTTTGTTTTGAGGGGGAATTCTGGAACTGGAAATCATCTGTGCCTTCTACATGATTAAAAACTATAAATAGGAAATCTGGAAAGTTTTCACTGAATTTTTACCACAAATCACAGAAGTATATTATACTACCACTCAAATATTTCTCAGTATAATACCTTAGCGTAAGAACCACTGGCTGGATCTGTCAGTTATATTCTAAAGCTGTGACGGAGTACAACACCTCTTTGATCTCGTGGGCTACTGACATGCTCTGCGAGCACCTCTCCCTCTCTCCACTCCCAGTCCCGCCCGAGATGAAGGCTCCGTTCATGTCATTAGTGGTCCTCCCACCCTCTCTCGGTCCTCCCACTCCGGAGAACGAGAAACGACTCATGGACAAGATATTCTCCGACTACGGTGTCCAGACTGTCATCTGTGTGGTTGACAGGAGACTATGTTGCAGGTGAGCCTTTGTCTTCCTCCCGCTTCCTTCCGAGTTTTGACTTCCAGCAAAGCCAAAGGTTTTGTCTTAAATTACAATAGATGACACATGTGCATGATGTGTGAGTTAGTTCTATAATGTGCAGGATCTCAACACAAGTCTATAATATCAGACAGGACTACGAGAAGTTGGCTGAAGCACTCGAGAATGAAATAAAACAGACCAATAATTGTGTATGATGGAATTACATGAATCTCTTATTTTGAATGTACACAATGGTGATTTTTCTGGCTTAGCGTAAACTGTGACATTATGTAAGGTCCTTCACGAAAAATCGGAACATCTCAACAGTTTACAATACTACGAACTGAAGCACTCGACAATAAAACTAGTATTTCTGTATTAAATTTAATTTTCGTGGAATTGATCTTTTTGGGTCAGATCAGAGTGTAAAAAACGGTGGCCCTTCTGTAGGAAGAGCAACACCTATGTCTCGTTCCCCCCTATTTTCTCTCTCCTTTACCCTCTCTCCTCTCTCCTCCTCCTCCTCCTCTTCTTCCCACTCTTCCATGAACTCTACTGCATCTGAGTCCTCATCAGAATCCATCACTTCACAACCCTCTGCACTGTCCCACAGTCCAGTAGGAACAGTGTCTCCTGCTGTCTCCCCTACTCTGTGTTGCAGATCTGAAGTTACTGAAGCAGAGGCCTTTGAGAGGTGTCTTGGTTTGTTAGTTAGAGTGTTGGTTGAATGGTTGACTGGTGGTGTGGCTGAAGCCGCCTCCTGCATCATTACCAGCAGTGGATGGGGAGGAGGACTCCGCAATTGACGCTGTATACATACCTACGTACGTGGGTCAGAGAGATATCAGCTAACCAACAGAAGACAAGAAAATTCTCACTGGGGGAGATGGTGCTGTGGGTACGGAGACGGTGCTAGGCGTTTCCGCGGAATACTTCTCTTCCCTTTTCTCCCTCAGTGCCTTCTGCAGCCCAATCAGAGCCTGATGCCCCGCCGCAGTCTTTGCGGTGCGGGGCGTGGGACCGTAGCCCGAGTAAAGGGCGGGGCCGGCGGTAACTTGCACGAGGAAGCAGGAGCGGCCGGGATACTGGAGAGAGGGAGGCGGACTGAGGCTGCCTCCCACGAGCTGGGGTCGAGAGATCTCCAACTTGTATCCCAACTGGTGAGCTGCACTCTTCAGGACAGCTTTGTACTTCATCGTTTCCTAACCTCCCCACGTGGGCGCGCTTATAGAGTTTCGCAGGGTGCGCTTCCTGTCGACTTGGATCAGTAGTTTTTTCCCACTGAGAAAAGTACTTTACAAGAGCACTACACTTGTTTATGGATAATAGCAAAGTCGTTGAAACTAGAAAAGGTGAAGAAGTAATAGAGAATTTTTGTGTCTTGGTGGTGTCCTGATTTGTTATGTGTTCTGATCCCTTCGATCATACCCAGCTCTATGATGCATAGCTAACTCATGTACTGTCTTTCTCTTTCTTTTGCTTTTCACTGGATCATGCACCGTGAAAATTATTAGCAGTTACATTTAGTTTCCTCACCCTTCAAACGAGAATGATTACAAGATATTATGGATGTCGGAAAGTGTGTATAAACCTTCTGGGAGCACAGTATAACAACAAACTACAATTCTATCACAATAACAAAAATTTATAATCTGACACATGAATGACGCAGAAAAAAAACTTATTACAGAGTAGGGAAAGAGGCATCGGTGGCAATTCCACACTGATTATAGTTGTTCCTGGTCATCATGATGTAGCCATTCACTCCCCAGTTTGTTCCCCAGCTGGGGAAAAGAAAATAATCATAGCTATAGTGCATGTGTCAACTACGAGGTAGGAAGGCAGAGGCACAAATAACAAATCAACTACACCCAGGACAACTCTCTTTTTCCAAGGAATAAAGAATAGCTGTCCTGGGTGGGATTCGAACCCACAACACTCTGCTGTCTAGGTGAGCGATCTGCTGACTGAGCTACCAGTACGAGAAATGTAAGTGAATCTGAGGTAAGAAAGAGTGTTTGCATGCATCACACACCTGTTCTTGACTAGCCAGTAGTCCTTCCCATTGTAGGTCCCGTACCCAGTCACCAGCATGGCATGGTTCAACTTGGAACTGTAGCTGTAACACCTCGATGAGCTGTACACTCCACTCGAATAGTACTAATGGCAAAGAGATGGAAACTATTGCCACAAGTGTGGGTTTGTTGAGCTTTGAAATCTTCTGCAAAGAGTTTTGCACACGTGTTCCACCAACTTTTGAATATGATTGAGGTGCTAGCTATAGCGCTAAAAGCACTATAGTTGAAAGTGGACCAACTTATTCAACGTGAATACTCTGTTGGTAAGCATATTGTGCATGAAATAGCTCTTTGTCAACATACTCTTACTGCAGGGCTCTCTCTCACTCTTACTCACCCTGAAGGCATTGTTGCTGCCGTCCACAGCCACCGAGAGAGGTCCAACATTGGCCACAGCTGACTGGAGGTCACTCTCACTCCCACTTGATATCTCTATACTCCCTGACATTTGAGCTCCCAGTCCATTGGAGGAAAAGCTGCACGACTGTTGCTGTGAGTATAGAGGTAAAGAGAGAGCAGTATGAGAGAGGTTAAGGAGAGAGAGTGTGTGTCCCCATCTTCCTTCACACATTCATCCATCTTTCTCCTACCTTCTGTGTTAACCTTATTTCGTTCCAATCTTTCGTCTTTTCTAGCTCCGTTTATCCCTTTATGCGTGGTCATGTGCATGTGTGTGTGTGTGTGTGTGTTGAAAGCTCTATAGTGTCAGCTATAAATTCGCATCCTGCACTGCATTGAGCAGAGAACAAGCGCAGTCTTATGTCACCATGTTGTATCAATGAGGTCACTTTGCACTTTTCAAATACTAAACACTCCAGAGACACAAAGTAGCTACCACCTGTTTTCAATGTAAATTTGTTCACGCATTACGTCGTGAATGGTCGATACATGGTGTAGCTAGCTCTACCTTTCCCTTGAAGGGGTATGAATCTGCTGTGTCGACTCCGTCATTGGACACAACGTAGAGGAAAGAGTTGTACATGTTTCCACCCTGACACCCATGGTTACCGTACGGAACTGCAGACAGGGACACGCAAAAGAACACATGAACAGTAGTCCAGCACCACTCGCTTTCTACCCTTTAGCAGATTTTATATCTTGTCTCTGTACAACATATAACCGTACGTAGGTTTCTAGCTAGATGTAGTTTCCCTGTGTACATAATTTCCCTACATTATGTCTATGGTGTTCTAATGTGTACCACATCCCTTCCGTGTGTTTCTGTGGGGTGATTTTTACCAGAGCAATCGATGATGTTCTGTTCACTGAGTTCAGTCAGTGATCCGTGAGCCAAGGCCCAGGCTCCCTCCAGAGCTCCCATTGCACTATAGGCGTAGCTGGCCCCACACTGGTCCTGCAGGTGCATGCAGAATATTCACTCCTACTTTTCTCCTTGTGACATTGAAGTTTATGGCCTAGCTATGCTCGCATTGTACCTGGTTTTTTGATGTCATTGACAGCGTTCTTGGTCCTCCAGTCAACTGTGTCGGGCAGGTCCCCAGAGTAATGTGACGCATCAAACACTTTGGTGTAGTTCCCGTGGTCCATTCCCTGCATACTTCTATAGTTCAACATCCCCTCGTACTCTGAATCAGTCTATAAGGTAGAGAGAGGGGGGAGGAAGAAACAAGAGATGTGAAAAAGGTGTTTGTGCTGGCTTACGATGTCTCCGAGATGGTTCATGGCGAGAGTGTAGCCAAAGATGTGGGAGTTCTTGTTGTGTGCGTTGATGTATTCTCTGTTGGAGAGCCACACGAGATGTCTCTCCAGCTCCTCTCTCTGGGACTCGTAGCTCTTCCCGTGCTCCGTCTTCCACAGATCCCACTCCTCTGGGTGCTGGTACTGCACCTCTGTCATCCCAATAGTAAAAACACACACTGCAACCACGAGGATCTTCATTTCTCTCCTTCTCTCTGTGAAAAATCAGCACCTTATGACAGAACAAGGCCTCCTTTATACCCGTCGGGCTAAGATTACACAATTGACAGTACAAGTTGGGTACAGTTTTGTACAGATCCTTTGTTATCAATGCTGTTGACTGGAGTCCTGACAAGACTGGTCTATTCACAGTCACATGCGCTACAGGGGCATCAATGGAGCCAATCAGTGTACAAATGGATGATGGTTCTGCTCATTCTGTCACCGCACACAGCTCCACAGCTATTCTGACTCCGTACTATTTGCACATTTGCCTACACTCGCCTGTTGTAATTGGGTCTTGTGCACACACCTCGAAAGCCATTGGGACCCGTTTCACTTCTCATGTTGAGAATCCTCTGCAGCTTGTGTGAGGCGTTGTTAGCAGACCACTGCAGTTTATTTTCCAGCAATTTTCGCTTCCATTGATGCTAAATGTGCTCACACTGAAACCCTAGTTACAGATGTTTATTTTTTGCTTTCCACTGCCACACCTATAGTCGGTAACTAAGCAACTTGAACAAAGTAGTTGAATAGTCAACTTATACGAATATTATGATTTTGAAAGGCCGCCACTTGTTCCTGGGGATGTGTTAACAATTCAGAAGGAAATGCTTCCAGACACGGGCTGCAAAGAGACACGTGTATTTTCAGCATAGGAAACCTGTAGACTTGTGGGGTTACATTAAACCATTTCTGGATCCTAATCTCCCTTCAAAAGACTCTTGTTCAGAGGGCAGAAAAGTCTTGTCTTAGTACATCAATTAATGCTTCGTTGCCCGGTAGTATATTTTCAATATAGTTTATATTCGCATTCAGTCCACCTCAATAGATATTTTGACTCATACTTATACATATCATATACAAAATAATATGTGTGGGTGGCAATATGATAATATTGACAATGTTCAATTGATATTCCACTACACGCAGTGAGGGTGTTGGTCCTACAGAGTTGGGTAGGAGGCGTCGGTTGCAATTCCACATTGATTGTACTTGTTCCTAGCCATGAGGATGTAGCCATTCATTCCCCAGTTGGTGCCCCAGCTGTTGAGAGAGAGGGGGAGAGGGGGGCGTGAGAAAGTGTACCAAATCTATGTGATTGACTAAAAGAGTTTGTGGTATAATGTCCAGTGTAACGCTTCAACCTTCAACGCCTCTGCATTGCTTCAACAATCACGAATGATTATTTTTCCTGCCACCTACTTGTCATCTTGTAACAATGCAGGGATTACTCAAGTCATTATTGCACTAGAACAGGCTGTAAAGAAAACCAAGAGGGCGGCGTTATACCTAATAAGGGGCTTGTGTGGGGGAAAATGTGCATGAGTGTATATAACAAATCATATCAAGCATGACTTTGTTTACCTTATGACATGCACTAGTTATTCCCTGCCTTGTCTCCTCCTTTTTATATCATCCTCATTTTTATCGATTTATTGTGTGTGTATTGTATGTACCTGTTCTTGACAAGGTAGTAGTCGACTCCATTGTAAGAGCCGTATCCAGTGATGACCATGGCATGAGTCAGCTCACTGCTGGAGCATCTCGATGAACTGTACACTCCCTCTGAATAGTACTGCATGGGTGGTTGGGCGATAATACCATGTGGTTTAGAAAGTCAAACCACTAGTGAAACAAAGCATAGCTTGACAAATCGGAAGAGGAATAATTATGAACAACATTTAGCCAATGTATAGAGGTAACAAATACGGTGGAGCCCCTCTAATCCTGAAAAAAACATTATTAGTGTGGTGTGTTTAATTCAGGGGTTAAAGAGAAGAGAGGTGTCCCCACTATGAAGTAACGATCCCACTTTTTTCTAAAAAGCCGACCAATATGCCAAGCTTCTTCTTGTTCTGGTTCAACTCTTTTCAACGTGAAACTAGCATTCTCAGGAAACTATGGCTATATACATTGAACATACTCTGAAGCCGCTGGAGGAGGCATCAACAGCGACAGAAATAGGTCCAACATTGGCCACTGCGGACTGCAGATCTCCCTCATTACCACTCGAGATGGAGATGGAGCCCGACATGGTGGCACCACACCCACTCTGCTTGTAGCTGCAAGATGATTGCTGCAGGAGGTTACAAACAAACACTGATACATACCCAAACTTTATTAGCCCAGCTCTCTCAGCCTATACAGTGTGAAAGTGCATTTGTTTCCTTTCAACTTTCTCCTTAGTGGTCATTAGCTGTGAACAGCATCTATAATTGCCAAACCCAAAAATTTAGTGAAAATTTGTGAGGCATGAATAGTTACTTCCTTCAATGGCCCAAACACTAGTTAGCCGCATTCATATGAAGTGGAGGATTATTGTGTGCTACACTGGTGTGTGCTAAGTGTACACAGTGTTAGTAGATAACTGGTGCACATTATGCGCTGATCTGCATAATGGATCGGTACACCCCTCACCTGTCCTCTGTAGGAATAGGCAGAGCTAGTGTCAACTCCATCATTAGCAACAATGTACAGGAACGCATCGTACATGTTGCCTCCCTTGCAGCCAAGGTTTCCATATGGAACTGAGCATACACGCACATAGAGGGAGTGAAGTCAGTTTCATTATTGCAGGGGTTTCCTCACCAGAGCAGTCAATGATGTTCTGCTCACTCAGACTGGTTAGTTTACCATTGGCCAAGGCCCAGGCTCCCTCCAGAGCTCCAACGGCACTGAAGGCATAACTGGCACCACACATTCCCTGAAAGGATCAGAATATTTTGTGCAATTGAGTATATACTTGAAGGCTGCTATACACTTAAAACTACAGTCTTGTCGTCTTATGTAGAATCACTGTGACTAAAGTGTCATCCGTTCTTGCCGATGCTTTTCTCTGTAAAATTTCAGCCTTATTCAACCAGTTTCTTCCTATTAGGAAAGTGCACGTTGTGTTCTGCCCATTCCTTTAGATGTGTAGTCAATTGCCCTAGTACTGTGGCTGCCAGAAATAGTGTCAACTTTCTATTTGGATGAGTTCTGACCTGGTCCTTGATGTTGGTGATAGCATTGTTGGTTCTCCAGTCCACAGACTCGGGGAGATCCAGAGAGAAGTCTGCTGGGTTGTGGAGCTTGGTGTAGTTGCCCTGTCCGGTGTTCCTCCTGTATGTCATGTACCTCTTCTCATACTCCACCTCAGTCTGTGGAGAGAGAAAGTGGGGTGTAGGGAGGCTTTTAGAGCTCTAGGTATTAGAGTCTTGGAGTGTTTCTGTGAAAAACTACTGGCTTACGATGTCTCCGAGATGGTTCATGGCGAGAGTGTAGCCAAAGATGTGGGAGTTCTTGTTGTGTGCGTTGATGTATTCTCTGTTGGAGAGCCACACGATATGTCTCTCCAGCTCCTCTCTCTGGGACTCGTAGCTCTTCCCATGCTCCGTCTTCCACAGATCCCACTCCTCTGGGTGCTGGTACTGCACCTCACACCTCACCACTGCCAGTAGCACACAGAAGACGAGGACTGACAACATCTTCATCTTCTTCCCTTAGCTCTGTATTCACCAACTGAGAGTGAAAGCTGATATGTTTCTCTGTGAGAAAGTGGGGGAGCAAACTCTTATAAACCCTACATTGCAAAGGAAGGCATCTGTTGCTCAATTTGTATGCCTTATTTGCGCTTCTGTAGATGAAAATGCCTCAAATGACTCATAATGGGTCTTTATGGTGACTTTTGTGTGGAGCTTTTAGGCTTTTAGTGTGTCTGCTGCAGAGTGGGGGGTAGCTAAAACGTGTCCCCTGTTAGCTACTCTCTGGCATGTACAGTTGAAATGGAGTGATGTAGGCCTAGTGTTGTCTTAGAACAGACGATGGACTTTCCGTGTGTGTGAGCATTCGGGGGGACATGTAGCTACAGGCGTCGTGCATTAATTAGTCAAAAACTCCTTTTTATGTTTCACCAAGTCTGCAACGATAGCTGCATAATAATTATGTCAGCATAAATGATGTTGGTCATAGTTCTCTTGGTCGGAGGAACTGTGTGTGTGTGTTTTGCAAGTGGTTGTGTGCATTGTGTATGTTTGTGAGTGTGTACTACAACACATTTCACAGTCTTAACACATTGTGGTTACAAGTTCATATGTATTTGGAGATTCCTTTTAACAGCCTTGTCAGCTAGAGACCGGGCAATCCCAAGGATATCGCTCGTGTCGAACATGAAGCTCTCGTCAAACTTATTTCCCACCAGTAGCTACTCCCTTCACTCGGCACTGGAACACTCCTCCGTTGGCAACACTCAACTCCACCTTGAAATACATCTCCGTTATGCGGAGAATGTGTACGTATAGCTATATTTTGTGTGTGTGTGTGTGTGTGTGTGGAAGAGGGTATATACAATGGTTGGATCTTTGTGAGGAGCGTCTCTTTGAGATTGCCACATATTCTGGTCTTTTCATATTTTCACCTCAATAAGGCTGTCAATGACAGGGTCTGACAAATCATTCCACTGGATATAAAGTGTGGAGCTAATTGTTCCATCGGTTGTGAATGAAGTCTTTGACACAGAGTGTTGTAGGTCTACATCTGTGACTTAGAAATATTCCCAGTCAGAAACGTGTAGAGTCGAATGGTAGAGAGTTGCTTTCAAGCATTGATTAGCATGTTTCCATGTTGTCTGGAGGTAGTACACCTACACCATTTGCTTGTGTCGTCTGCCATCTGGGTAAGCCCCTAGTCATTCATTATGGCTGAGGTGACTTTAGATGTGCTATCTGGAAATGATTTGTTGAATGACATAGATCATGGTCTTTACATGATTTGTTAAATGACATAGACTCATGGTATATAGTATGTTCTTTACATAGACTCATGTTACTTATAAGATCATGTTATCTTGTATGTTCATACGTTGTTTGATAAAATACGGTAGCTACTCTGAATGTATTCTGAAATTTCACTGCAACACACCGTACAAAATAGTTTCCAACACATCTTCTACTGCACATTATTATAACATCTCAATTCTACAATGGAATAATTTCAGAGGCTGGGGTAGGAAGCATCGGTCGATATTCCACACTGATTGTATGAGTTTCTGGACATCATGATGTAGCCTCCAACTCCCCATCCCTTGCTCCAACTGAGTGAGAAAAAAGGAAAAATGAGAAGGAGCAGATGAAGAGGAAAGGGAAAAGAAGAAAAAAAGAAGAACAAGAAGAAGAAAACGAACAAAGATTAAAATGGGTAAAGATGAAGAAAAAGAAGATGAAGAAGAAGATAAAAAGAAGGTGTCAACATAAAGTTTGTTTGTCTCTAGTTGGTTTGGAGGCTAGTGTCACACCTGTTCTTGACAAGGTAGTAATCGGCTCCGTTGTAGGTGCCAAATCCAGTCACAAGCACTGCGTGGTTCATTTTGGTTCTGGAGCATCTGATGGAGCTGTACACACCTCCAGAGTAGTACTGTTTGTGTGTCGGCAGAAATGAACAGTGCATGAAATTTTAGAATGGTCTCAGAGAAGGAGATAAGGACAGTGCATGAAAAAGTGCAGGATACACAATTTAGCTTCAAAGGGGGGACCCAGTGATTTGTGTGTGTGGGAGACAAGCACAGTGCATAAAAAATTTTGAACGGGCAGTTTTGTCTGTAAGAGCTTGCAAGGAACTCGGTGAAATGTTGGTGTTGTTTTGTGTGGTGTGTGTCGATGTGTGTCTTGACTGACTCTAAAGGCAGAGGAACTGGCATCAACGGCTGTAGCGATGGGTCCGACGTAAGCCACGGCAGTCTGGAGATCTTGCTCGTTCCCACTGGCTATCTGGATGAATCCTGTGATCTCTGCCCCAAGACCTCCAGTAGTGTACTTGCAGTATGATTGCTGCACACAACAACACCCAAGATATGGAGTTATAGATAGAACTAATCTAGCACTCACAAACATACATCATTTGTAGTTTCCAGTTGGTAAACCTTACACACAAACACTCTACCTGTTCTATGTAGCCGTAGGCATTGGCAGTATCGATTCCGTCGTTGGCAACGATGTACTGGTAGGAGTTGTACATGTTGCCTCCCTTGCAGCCGTGGTTACCATACACAACTGTGAGGAAGAGGGGGAGAGGGTTGGATTAGTCTGAGGTCTGAATGGTGTCCGGCAAGGTTGTAGCTATGTACACCTACCTGAGCAGTCAATGATATTCTGCTCACTGAGAGGCTGCAGCACACCATTAGCCAGAGCCCAGGCTCCCTCGATCGCTCCAGTGGTAGCAAAGGCATAGCTAGATCCACACTGACCCTGTATGCGTGTGTACAAAACGCAATGCTCCACTACACTATTGCCCTTCGTCTGTTTGTTTGTTTGTTTGTTTACCTGTCGTTTGACAGGAGTTACAGCCCTCATTGTCCTCCAGTCTACGTACTCAGGGAGAGTACTGCTGTAGGGAGTTGGGTCGAACACTTTACTGCTGTTGTGCTGGCCGACTGGTTCGTAGGTCAAGTAGTGCTCTCTGAACTCTGTATCGCTCTGCATGAGGGAGAGAGGGGGGAGAAACGAGTGTTAATGATGGGGGTTTTGGGTGAAAAGGAGGCTGACAATGTCTCCAAAGTGGTTCATGGAGAGTGTGAATCCGAAAATGTCAGAGTTTGCATTGTGTGCGTTGATGTATTCTCTGTTGGAGAGCCACACGAGATGTCTCTCCAGCTCCTCTCTCTGGGACTCGTAGCTCTTCCCGTGCTCCGTCTTCCACAGATCCCACTCCTCTGGGTGCTGGTACTGCACCTCACACCTCACCACTGCCAGTAGCACACAGCAGACGAGGACTGACAACATCTTCATCTTCTTCAAACTGCTCCTTAGCCCCAAGCTAATACCAGTTGAAAGAACCTGCACTAGTGTCTGCTGGTGAAATCTCAGTATTTTATACCCAAGCCAGGGTAGAAAGGTGGCATGTGTCAATTTGTACCTTTCATGAGCTTCTGTTGAAAAGGAAACAGAAGGTTTGAGCTGTTGGGTAGATGTGCTGTGTTTGCAAACACACTTGTCACAGAGTGCCTTTTGAGGGGGAAATGTTTAATTTCACAGTAACCTGGTTTCTTGTAACCAGGAAATGTGTTTGGGAATCGCCGAGCAAATTGTTTGATTACCTCCAATGTTCCCCTGTTTGTGGTGCATGTGCAGATATTAGTCCAGCGTTGTTGGAGAACCTGCTGCACATTTTCTGAGCTCACATGCTGACACGTGCAGCCGACATTAGCAGCCTGTTCTTTCTAGAAACACAACCATAAACAATTTGCTTTTCGTGAAACGTAGTGACAGCAGATATGTAGAGAGTTGTTTGCCGATCGGCATAACATGTTTTGTTTACAATCATTCATGTGTACATTGGAGTTTTGCACTGTACAGCAACGGTTGAAGTAACACTGTGTATAGAGTTGTGTTAGCTGATCTGCACCATTATTAATTAATGGAGTCTGACTACATGTTTTACAACGTGAAGACCACTTGTGGGCCCAGGTAATGGGGTAGCTAAGTTAAAGTAAGCAAATGAAGTGACTGTTGTGGTAGACATTGAGCTAATTAAACAATTTGTTTTGCAGCAGTGGATGTACAGTTGCATGCACCTCCAAGGCATGATTGATGATATCAACTAATGTCTGACAAATTGGACAAGACTAATTAATGATGAGTAGACCAGCTATGAGATGAGCAGTTCATTAGAGAGCTAGATGACAGGGTACAAAGCAGCGGTTGCAATTCCACACTGATTGTAGCGATTTCTTGACATGTAGATGTATCCCTTCATACCCCAGTTCGTGCCCCAGCTAAAGGAAAAATATAACTCTCAAAGTTACACAGTAAAATAGTGTTATGTACCTGTTTTTGACAATCCAGTAGTCGACAGAGTTGTATGTGCCATAGCCGACCACTAGCATGGAATGGTTCAACTTGTAGCTGGAGCACACGGACGATGAGTATACACCACTCCTATAGTACTGTGGAAGAAAAACACTTAGGATCCGCTTAAAGTAAAACCTCTGAATTAGGGAGAACTCAATGACATTGAAAGTGTCCTTTAATCCAAGGTTTTCTTTGTTCGGAGGTAATCTACAACCAAGTTTCCCCTATAGAGAGATGTCCTTTATTCGGAGGGTCTTTTTTCAGAGGTTCTGACTGTAATGGTAGCTCCTCACAATGAAAGCCTTGTCAGATGCGTCGATGCTGATGGCTACAGGTCCAGCATACGCCACAGCCATCCTCAGATCACTCTCGCTGCCATTTCTTAGTGAAATGACGCCAGAGATGCTTGCTCCAATGCTCTCTGACTTGAAACTGCAGTAGGCTCGCTGCATGGAGAGTAGGCAACATGTATCAATATACCATTAGTCAATGCTGTACTTCAAAAATATTACAGTACGCAGCTTCTGTCATGGAGGCAAACTCAGGCCTTGGAAATTCAGTGCCTTACACACTGCGCTACTGCAACTCCCAGTCAAAAACTTTCACATTTCCTCTAAGTTACTAATGCTGCCAGAAGTCCCGTAGTGTTTGTTGTATGTCAATAATAGTGTGCTCACCCTTGCCACATAAGGGTAGGCCTCCTCGGTGTCAATTCCACCAGTGGAGACTGTGTATTTGAGAGCCCCGGAGACTGAACCAGACTGACAGCCTCGGTTCCCAAATGAGGCTGTACAATGGTGGAGCATGCATATGGCACACTATTAGCCTACATATTATTGGTTGAAATGAATGGGGTTCAGTGCAGTGATACATATCATACTGCTTGAACTTTATGTGGTCTAGTGCAGTATTAGAGTGATATCTATCCTTCCTTGTTGATACTAGTTGAATGAACAGTATGTGGCGTGGTATCCTTACTAGAGCAGTCAATGATGTTCTGGGCACTCAGGTTCCTCAGCTGACCAGTTGCAATAGCTGTGGTGCTCTCTATCGCACCGACTGCCGAGAACGCGTAGCTCCCTGCCCCACACTGACCCTGAGACAAATGTAACACTAAATTTCTCACTTTGACTCAGAGCATGAGCAGGAGCTTTAATACGGGGTTAACCAGTCAGGCATTAGTAAACTATTACAATAGCCCTTGCAGTCCTTTCTTTTTCTTTCTTCGGGGCTGTACATTGACATGCGTCAGTGTAGCTAATGTACCTGATCTTTGACTGGAGTGACAATTCCTTCTTGTCTCCAGTCAACATATTCTGGGTTATCGTCCTTTGACCAGCCGAGACTGACTAAAAGTTCATCGGTCAGTACCTGGTGACTAGAGGGCTCACTGGTCCTCTGGCTGAGATATTGCTCAGCAAATTCACCGTCTTGCTGTGGTGGATGGGTACACACGTAAGATGGTGGAGCATTTGTGTTTTACTTACTCTGTCAGCAAATTGGTTCACGGAGAGTGCAAACCCAAAACTCTCTGCGTTTTTGTTGTGTGCGTTGATGTATTCTCTGTTGGAGAGCCACACGAGATGTCTCTCCAGCTCCTCTTTCTGGGACTCGTAGCTCTTCCCGTGCTCCATCTTCCACAGCTCCCACTCTCTCCATAACTCTATCTTTTGCTCACCACAAGCTATTTCAGCTGTGAGACTAAACAGAAGAACTAGTAGAAATCCTCCGTCCATTGTTTTGTGAGCAAACAGAGTTAAACAGTCATCTAGCTCTAGATCTAAGTTGCCACCGCTTTAAGTAAAGGTGGTGGCGGTATGCAGTTTGTGTGTATGCATGGTTATAGCACCGTTTGCTGGGCTAGCAAATACCATATTCAGGACTAAGAAGACGAGGATATGGACGTGAGTTGAGAACTTTCAGTGACCTTGGAAATGTGGTGTCATCTCCAGGAGAATCCGGGGGCACAAAGGCTTGTCTCTCGATCGTACAATTCACACATGTTTCCTTTACACTAACACGTGATACAATTCCATTAACTTGTACCTGATGTTGTCCGTGTGTAGTTAATTGGGACCACACAGCTATGAGATAGTATAGAACGACGTACAAAATACAGTTGGACTGTGTGTGCGAAAGTTGTAACTACGACAAAGTGATTGTCTTCCAAATATAAGTGTCTTTAAGTTTTGTTCAGTTGTGAAAATTCAGCTGACGGAACAGATCGTGAGTCAACCCACGCAGATGGTCCGTCTAGTTAGTTGAGGGTTGGAAACGAGGCGTCGCTGGCAATACCACACTCATTACTGAGGTTTCTTGCCATGAGGATGTAGCCGTCGACCCCCCAGTATACACCCCAGCTGCATGTATATAACAAAGTAGCATCTGGTTAATAACACTATACCTCTGTCTGTTAGGGTTGTGTATAATACCTGTCTTGACCAGCCAATAGTCTCGTTGGTTTGTGGTACCGTATCCAATGATGAGCATAGCGTGCGTCAGATTGGACGCTGAGCATCGCTGAGAACGGTACACACCGCGATAGTAGAACTGTGGGGAAGGAATTAGTTAAAACTGTTGCTGAACTATGTTGGCTGTTAGGGGTAAGATGTCAGCTTAATAGTCGACAGGTAAAAAGTTTATTGGAGGTAAGTGCTTGTAAAGACAGCATATTTAGTTTGGGTTAAAATGCCAAAGACATGCACTTGTTCCAGTGTCAGTATTGTTTACAGATGGTGGTACATGATGTAGGGCTGGCTCTGATCTACACACTGACAACATTTTCACAGCAAATGGCCAATTTCTCCCAACATTGTGCCTCATGCACGTGTGTGTGTGTGAGTGTGAATGTGAGTGTACTCGAAACGTGCGTGAGCTTGCATCCACTGCCACAGAGATGGGTCCGAATTTCGCGACTGCAAACATCAGCTGGGTCTCGTTCCCGGACGTAACTCTCTTGAACCCGGTCAATACGGGCAACAGAGAGACTGGCGTTGTACTGACACGAAGATCTCTATCAAGAAAAAACAAAATTTACTTCCATACGTGAATAATCCAGTGGCTAAAGTGTAACCATCACTTTCTCACTGAATGGAGGGAAAATATCTACACTACACTGCAACACAGTTACGTGGCAGGGAAATCTTGAAATGACACACAGGTTTAAAATATGTGGGCTACTGTATAGTTACACAGTACTACTGTTGATGTCGACAGCCACTCACCCTGGCCTTGTAGGGATAGTGAGAAGCACCGTTTATCCCTCTGTTTGAAACCATGTAGCGAAAAGAGGCTTTCATGTTGCCTCCATTACAACCATCATTCCCATAGTCTCCTGCAGTGTAACAAACAATAGAGCAATATACACCACACATATTTCACCATCCCATTTCCCCATACAACACCCCATAATTATAGTTCACGTTAATGGACTACTTGATTAGTTGAACTTTTTCCTCTCTCTCACTTTCACTATTATGCAACACCTTGTACGTGTTACGGATTATGGTGTTTGGACTGTTATGTAGTTAGACATTTTCTGACTTTGTAGTGATACGTGTTGTACACTGCTCCAGTGTGTAGCGTTGCATTTTCTGACTTTGAACTCTGTGGTGCCGTGCACCTGAGCAGTCTATGATGTTCTGGGCGCTGATGTTCACCAGTTGTTCGTGTCTCACTGCCCAGGCTCCCTCCACTGCTCCCGCAGCACTGAAGGCATAGCTGGAACCACACTGACCCTGTAAATATAACATCATGTACTAGGCAAACCGAAGTCCCTGTGAACCAGGCACATGGCAACAGAGGCAATATTTCAGTTTATCAATATGCTCACCATTATAATCTCATTCAAGAGTCACAAACGACAAAAAGGGACTAGGAATTATCCAAGCTTTATATATCAGAAGAGAGGTTAGAGACAGTTCACGATTCTTATTTTATCACTTGAAGGAAGAATATGCCTCATACTTTTCTCACATCTGATATACTAAAGAACAGAGTAAATCTCAAACCTGTTCCTTGATGTTAGTGACGGCTCTACGAGTTCTCCAGTCCATCATCAGTGGAAGATCCTGAACACCTTCTACCAGTGTCGTATCCCTAATGTCACTCCTGTCTCCTGGTCTGTAGGTGAGGTATACCTCCTGGAACTCCTCATCCATCTATACCAGGAGTTGAGAGAGGTGGTGATTTTGACACTCACCAGTGGGAGGAACATTTTAGGATAATGTGTGTTTTGAAGAAGATTGGAATGGGAAATATCAGCCTTTGTCTAGGAGTTGTAGCTCAGTAGTTAGTGACTGGGTTAATGGTCACTAGGCCTTGGTTCGACTCCAGCCAAAAGGGTGATTACGCATCATCAAGGTGGATGAAAGTCAATTCACATTATGTTGGCTCACCAAATCAGCAAAGTGATTTAGCCTCAATGAGAATCCTGTCACGACAGAGTTCTTGTTGTGGGCGTTGATGTATTCTCTGTTGGAGAGCCACACGAGATGTCTCTCCAGCTCCTCTCTCTGGGACTCGTAGCTCTTCCCGTGCTCCGTCTTCCACAGATCCCACTCCTCTGGATGCTCTATCTTGCCCTCCCATGCCTCCACTACCACTATCACAACCAACAGCCACAAAAACCTCTGTTTGTCTCTCATACTACCCTATCAACTATTAACCTAAAGAGTAGAGTTTTGCTCTCCCTTGGTGCCCAACCAATGTTATATACCAGGCAGTTTAATGGTGTGTTTACTGTTAGGAATCTCTGGCAAACTTGCTGTTTGGGGCATCTCTGTTGTTTGAAAGTGCCTCAGAATAGGTTTGTTGGGGACCAGTCACTTTGTAATTTGTAACCCAATTGTAACCCTTTAGAGTGTTGCTGTAGCTATGGTACTTGGAGTAATGGTGTGTATAATAGGTGTTGTAGCCTCTTTTCACCTCCCGCTGGCCTATTTACACGTGCAGAAATAGGGTGCCGATCGCCACCATTACACATTTTCAACACTGCCTGATCACGTACTCTAGTGATATCCAGGGCTGTCAACAAATTGGAGGTAGTAGATTCAGTGGAATACCCTATTGATTCCCACATGCGTACAAGCCACCGCCTTTGACACGTGAATGGAGAAACGCGTACATCACTTATCACATTGTGCACAGTAGAGGTGTGGCCGTTGGCCATTTAAAATCACATCCCAATAGATGAATAGAAATACTTCATTCAGAGAAAATGAGGTTGAGGGTGACTATGAAAGAGATGGTGATACAACACTATACAGAGAGGGCAGTGTATGAGCGGGTGGGTATTGATTGATTGAGTGAATTCAGATTTGGGGGAAAGAAGACCAGCTACTGCGTTGGCCCAGAGTTGGGTAGGAGGCATCGGTGGCAATTCCACATTGGTTGTACATGTTCCGAGCCATCAAGATGTAGCCATCCATTCCCCAGGATTCACCCCAGCTGAAAAATGAACCGTCACATATCTGATTGAATCACCTTCGGAGAAAGTGCTATTACCTGTTTTTGACAATCCAGTAGTCCTGATAGGTAATGTTGCCATACCCAACTAGCAACATGGCGTGGTTCACTTTCAATCTTGAGCAGTCTGATGAATCATATATCCCCTTCTGATAAAACTGATATCAGAAATAAATCATGCACCATGTAAAAGTGATATACAGTCGTTTACCCTGAAGGTGGAAGAGCTGGCATCCACTGCAACCGATACCGGACCCTCTTCTGCCACAGCGACTTGCAAATCTTCCTCGTTTCCCAGTTGTATGATTTTGGTTCCGTTTATTCTCGCTGCGACTCCGGCCTTCACAAATGCACACGAAGACTCCTGGGGGGTCATAGTAATCACAGTGATTATAACAGGAGCTCCCCCTCAATTAAAGGCGGCTCACTACTCCAGTGTAGGGATAGTAGCTGGCGTCATCCACTCCCGAGTTCTTGTACACATACTCATAGGAGGTATACATGTTGCCACCCAGACACCCAAGATTCCCATACATAACTGGAGGCAAGGAAGAAATCCACACTTCAACCATGAACGTGAGGATTCTATGAGACTTTTTAAAACCTGTTTTCAAATTCATCCTCTCCTTCCCACTTAAAACTATGCTCAGTTTATAAGCGTGGAAGATCATGGGACTTGTACGGTGTGATGTAAGGTGCATGCAGACAGTTGGTACACAGACCTGAGCAATCCACGATGTTTTGGGCACTCAGGTTTCTCAGTGAACCTCTCTTGATAGCCCACGCCCCCTCTATAGCTCCGACTGTACTGAAGGCATAGCTGGAGCCACACCAACCCTACAAACACCAGCAGTGCACACTGAAAACCTAGATTAACACTCAAGGGATGATCAAACAATCAGACGCAAGCTAGAATCACAGTCAAGTGGTACTCCATGAATTAATTTGACAAGCTGGTTTAAGTGGGACACTGGAAGTTTGAGGGTGGTTGTTGTATATTACCTGGTCCTGTACTGGAGTGACAGCGTTGACCTTTCTCCAGTCCACCTCATATGGGACACTGTCTCTCACGAGACCAGATGGCGGCTGATACTGGACCAAAGCTCGTCTCTGTCTCCTGGTGATCCTTCTGTAGGTCAGGTACTTCTCCGCAAACTGCTCGTCTGTCTGAGAACACAAAGATTTGAGAGACAGTTTCACTACTGGCAGAACCGCTAGTTGTCTCCATTACAGAGAACTAAATTGGGGGAGTAAGAACAAGTGGGCTGCAAAGTAAACATCACTACTGCATAATTTCTCATTCTCAGTATGAGTAGCTTTACGCATATCTAAAGGAACTGAAGGTGGTATAGATTAAGCTGGAAGTGACAATTTCAGCAGCTACTGTAGTCGTAGCCGAGTCTTTCAGAAAGCACCAAGTACAAGGTAACAATGTTGAAAAAAGGGGAACAAGCTACACGGCCCTAGCTGGCTGGCAGTGGTGACAGCAGTACACAGTACCAGGTCTCCAAAGTGGTTCAGTGCCAGGGAGTATCCGTGTACGTCGGCCTTCTTGTTGTGGTTCTCAATGAATTCTCTGTTCGTGAGCCAGACTCTGTGTCTCTCCATCTCTTCTCCCCACGACAGATACCACTTCCCGTGCTGAGCTTTCCACATTTGCCACTCCTCTGCATTCTCCAGACTGGTGCTAGCAGCTAGTCCTAGTAGGATACTCAGCACCCACAGCAGACCCATCTCTCTCTCACACAATTAGTACACTGCAGCCAATTTACTGTGGAGTCCACTCTTTCTCTACCTAACACAGCTAGTGTGGCTAATAGGAGCAAGTATCAAGTGGGGAAATGGTTTTATAGCCAGCCGTGTGTTGTTTGTTTGCAAATACTGCGTGTAGACCAGTGCCACTATCTAAGAGTCTACATCTCTGACTGCAAGCTGCTGACCCTGGCAAACGTGCCACATAGGCTCCACGAGGCATTAGTGTTGAAAAAACACTGCCATTGATTGATACAATGGCCCTAAATCGGCCAGCTCCCTCCTATTGTACCTATGTACTTTTCAATGTATGTAGTGAATGCTTTGATGAACTCTTCACTGCTCCAATGCGGCCATCATCACAGTTTATCCTCATTTTCATTGTTAGTACGATGTGAGGGAATGACTGCTCAGACCAATTTGGCTTGAGTTATGCTGGTAGCTAATTGCATTGATGGTTCATTCACACACTTTGTTGATACATAACATATTTTCAAGAAGTCAACAAACATGCATAGAGCATTAACAAAACAAGCTGTATATACGTCTCATTCTTATCATACCTCTGTTAAAGCACCCAAATAGTGATGTTTAATGTTCGCACTTCGGGCTAAGAGTTGATGTAGGTTTTGAATTGACTGTTGAATTCAATAATTTTCATAAGTCTACAGAACAAATGGCTAGCTGCATAATGACAGACCAATTCTACCGAAACAGACACATTGAGAGGTACAACCGAAAAAAGATGCCAATCACACACAAATTCTGCAATAAATTGTAATAATTATGTCTGTTGATCTAGAGAGTTGGGTAGGAGGCATCGGTGGCGATTCCACATTGGTTGTACTTATTCCTTGTCATCAGGATGTAGCCATCCATTCCCCAGTTGGTGCCCCAGCTGTAGGGGAGATAACATAGAGCTGAGTAGTATTTAGGTACCAGAGGCTTATTGGTTTTTTCAAGCAGTGGTAAATGGCTTAGCTACCAGACGCTTATTTTGCAAGCTGTGGTTGATGTTACCTGTTTTTGACAAGCCAGAAGTCAGAGCCACCGGTGGATCCATAGCCAGTGACGACCATTCCGTGGTTGACGTCTGAACTGGAGCATCGGGAGGAGCTGTACACTCCCTGATAATAGTACTGTGGGGGTGTATATATGGAGAGGGAGAAGAGGGACAGAATGAAAGAGAAAGGGTTGAAGTATAAAGATGATGCCATCTCTGCGTCACAGAACATCACATAGAGAGACTGTGATGTGATGTGGTACTGTGTGTGAATCCACTGACGGTAGTTGTATGACATGCAAGAGCTGCTTTCCTCTGAAAGAGCTGCAACTGTGCGGATACTAATTTGTGTCATTGTAAGAACCGGTGTGAGAAACAGAGTTACTATGGTCGCAGAGCAAGTCTCAGACATTCATCCTTTCATGTGTCCCCCTTTGCACCAATTGGCTCCAAGTACATGACATGTACAATGGAGAGACTCAATCCCATTCAGTGACTTTGCTTTTGTCAGTCCCCCTCTCCCACTACTCTCCCTCACCCTGAAAGCCGTGTTGTCGGCATCGACAGCCACAGAGACTGGTCCCACGTAGGCCACTGCTTGCTGAAGACTAGTCTCATCTCCAGACGGAAGTCTGATGACACTCGACATTGTTCCCCCACAGTTGTTCTTGGAGTAGGAGCAAGATGATTGCTGCAGCAGGGAAAATTGGAGTGGGGTGGATATGGAATTAGGCGTGAAGAAAAGTCATTTTCGCTAAAGCTGCCTTGGGCACCCTCTTTACTGAGCTGGGTGGGATTCAAGTTTGCTTGCAATTCTTGTTTTTGCTTCCTTGCCTCACTGGTGATTCATTAGAGGTTATAAGTTGCTCTAGGTGGAAATTTAATCATTGACATTCTATTCTTAGGGCTATAGGCAGAGCATATCTGTCCCTAGGCATAGCTTAGCTGAGCTAGTGTGGCCTAGCTGAGCTTGTGAGTCTCACCCTGCCCTGGAAGGGGTAGCTGCTCTGAGTGTCAACTCCACCGTTAGCGACCACATACTGGAAGGCGTTGTACATGTTTCCACCATTGCAGCCATGGTTACCATATGAAACTGGGGTACATACAAAACAAACATGTAGCTATTTGTGAAATTGTGCTTGAAACCATTTCGGATGTTGTTGTTTACTTTGTAGGGCTATAAATTATAGGCAGTGATTGTGAATGTGGAGCCAACGTACCGGAGCAGTCAATGATGTTCTGTTCACTGAGAGTGGTTAGTCTCCCGTGAGCCAAGGCCGAGGCTCCCTCCAGAGCTCCCATAGCACTGAAGGCATAGCTGGCACCACACTGACCCTGTGTGTGTGTGTGTGTGTGTGTGTGTGTACCAGAGCCATATCGTAGAATGAGAGTCACGAAAGAAGTATATAGTGTACAGTGCAGTCAGAGAAAGTAAAGTATAGGTGCAGGGGAAGCATAGATAATGACAGTCGAAAGGATTTTATGATTGTATGTAAAACATGGTCAAAGAAAAAACTGCAGAAAAAGCATGTAAAAACGGGGTCAAGTTGATCCTCAGTTAAGGCCTATTGATTGACATGTATACGCTGTAGTATACCTGGTTCTTGATGTCTGAGACAGCTCCCTTGTTCCTCCAGTCAATGGACTCAGGGAGATCTCCTTCATAGGACGAGGAGTCAAACACCTTGGCAGAGGTGAAGTTACGGTTGCTCATCTTCGTCAGGTACATGTCACTGAACTCACTATCACTCTGAACGCAGATGAAGAATAGCAACGTGAAGCAGCCAATACTTTATCTTTAGATGTTTAGAGCTAGTTGATGTATTAGAGCTTTTTAGTTTTATAGCTTATATTGTTCCCAAACACTTACAGGGCTGTTGGTTACACAGACAAACTCAATATTTTATCACGCTCACCATGTCTCCGAAATGGTTCATCTTGAGAGTGAAACCAAGGATGTGGACGTTCTGGTTGTGGGCCTCGACGTACTTGCGGTTTGCCTGCCATATGACGTGTCTCTCCAGCTCCTCTCTCTGGGACTGGTAGCTCTTCCCGTGCTCCGACTTCCACAGCTCCCACTCCTCACCGAGTTGGAACCGAGGGGCTCCAAAAGCCAGAGACACAAGAGACAGAACTGCCAATATTACGACCTTCATCCTGACTATCACAGTTGAACCACTCTTCCAATGAAAGACAGAAAAATTCTCAAACACCAGTGTTGTGAGAAGGCACACTCCGGCTTTTATACTCATTCTTACTGACCTGCCCACATGACAACCTTTGAGCTGTTGCTCTGTAGAGTGGTCTATTGAGAAGGTGTCGTGGTGTGCATTAGTGACCAATTACCAAGAGTGAATTCCCTGGTGACTGGCTACTGTTGCAGGCATTGACTGAGACGCCTTTACTGTTTTGAGTCTTGTACGCACACAGAGCGGGCTACACGACTATGATTTGTAAATACGAGGTCCACGCATGGAGCCTTTCACTGCGGACGGCTTTTTGTTAATGGCTTCTCAATGAAGTGTTCTGTTAGGGGACAGAGGCTTGGACTGGATCATTTAGACACTCGGTGCTTTGGTGGTGATGTAGTTGACTTGTTTGCCTTGCCTTGCCTTTCTACCTCGCTACCAAGTTGTTGAGACATGTAGTAAGTCCGAACCTTTTCAGACTTAGTAGCTGTTACGGATACCTTTTTGTGTGTGATGCTGCTGATGCAAACCTTTTGTGTTGGGATATCACTCCTGAACATTGGGTACACTGTTTCACCAATGCTAAAGCCTCTTAGCACATTATGTATGTAGGTGATTAGTTTTACCATAGTAACCAATAGGTGTTCCATTTAGGGGGACCCTTAATAACTATTCTTGAAAGCATGTTAATTGCTTTCATTAGTTCTAACTAATGAGGGGAATGCATATGTTGGGGTGTCAGAGAGTCTGTGAGACAAGTAATTTGTGTGTGTGTAGCTACAACTGCTCATTGTTCTGCTCATTGTTCTGAGAGCAGGGTGTATGCTTTGAGCACTTCATCTTCCATTTGACGTTCATCAGAAAATAGTATTTTCGAATTGGTTACATACATGATTGCATATTTTTCACACACAGTGCTATGATGGTATATATAATACAGTAACAGTTGAGAGGTGAAAAATTGCTCTATCATACACAATGTGATAATTTTTTTAATTCAAAGTGACGGGAGAAACGGTGATTGAACTAAAGTGTGGGGTACGAGGCATCGGTGGCAATCCCACACTGATTGTACTTGTTCCGTGACATCATGATGTAGCCATACATACCCCAGTTGCTGCCCCAGCTGGCAAAAAAAAAGAAAAAAATCAGACACGTTCTAGTATCTCTAGTGAGGCTAAGAGTGTGCGTTCTTATTAAGGCTAGGAGGCATGCTGGTTTATAAGAAAACGTGACATTTCTTTATTGAGGCTACGAGAGTATGCTGAAAAAACCATAAGATTGAGGCTTAGAAGAGTGTATGTCGCACCTGTTCTTGACCAGCCAGTAGTCCTGGTTGTTGTATGTGCCATAACCAGTGATGAGCATGGCGTGGTTTAGCTCAAAAGCTGGAGCAAGTGGCTGAATCATACACCCCAGACGAGTAGAACTGACCACACATAAAGATTGAGCATAAATAAATAGTTAGCAATGATCATACTTTGGAGGCTGATATTCTAATTCTAGTTATAAAGTGGTACTTCATTAATCTTACTAACGGATAACAGAACAACTTAGGCATGAGCTCTAGAACAGATCATTAACCTTACCAGAAGTCATATATACATTATCTTCTACTAAAGAGCTCTGCCTAAGAGTTGATTCATTGCTGAGAGTTTCAGCTGTTTACCCTGAAGGCATTGTTGTTTGCGTCGACACCGACAGAGACAGGTCCAACGTAGGCCACGGCCATGAGCAGTGCAGTCTCGCTAGCCTCTGGAATGAGGACACACCCAGACATCTGGGCTGCCATCCCTGTCTGCGTGTAGCTGCACGAATATTGCTGGAGAGAAAATCAGGGGGACTGCCATTATAGCTATACACTGAAACCTCTGAGTAGTGGACAGGATTCAAAGTTTATTCAAAGTGTCATTTATTCGACGTAATGCATTAGTGTGGTGCAGAACCAAGTGTCCTTTATAGAGAAGTGTCTTCTATTCAAGCGGTCCTTTTTTCTACAAGCGGTTTACATGATGAATCCATAAGTAAAGAAATGCTCAGAGAGAGACTTTGAAGTTGGTTGAATGCATACATTGCCTGTATTTCAGTGTGAATATCAGACGTACCCGTCCCTTGTAGTTGTACGAACTCTGAGAGTCGACCCCTTCGTTGGCCACAACGTATTTGAAGGTATTGTACATGTTGCCTCCCTGACAGCCATGGTTGTTGTAGGGAACTGGAAGAGTAACACACACCCCCATAATTAGTACCATACTGAACTCTAGGTACAAGTGAGAGAGTTTGTGTCTCACCAGAGCAGTCAATGATGTTCTGTTCACTCAGTAGAGTCAGTTTCCCGTGAGCCAAGGCCCAGGCTCCCTCTAGTGCTCCTATAGCACTGAAGGCATAACTAGACCCACACTGACCCTATAGACACACATGTATGACATCACTATGTGAGTAAGTGAAGCTGTAACCTGGTTCTTGACAGCACTGACGGCTCCCTTGGTCCTCCAGTCAATGGAGTAAGGGACACTGGATGAGAACTGTGAAGAGTCGAATGTCTTGGCTCCAGTTCTGTTACTTTTGTCTTGGTCATAGGTGAGGTACAGCTTATTGAACTCTGCATGGGTCTAGCAATGCACACATGCAGTCACACGAGGCAAACGTGTCAGCATTGAAGCATACTGCGGAAACTGTCTAGCATGCTATATGGTTCTGAGCTTCTGATGGAATTGATGAACACAAACACATAATACTGTCCATACCAGGTCTCCAAAGCCGTTCATGGCAAGTTTGTATCCGAAAATATCGGCATTATTGTTGTGAGACTCGATGTACTTTCTGTTGGAGAGCCAGACGAGATGTCTCTCCAGCTCTTCAGGTTGAGTGAGATAAGCCCTCCCGTGCTGCGACTTCCACAGTCTCCACTCTTCAACAAACTCATAGTGAATCTCAACTGCTGCCCCACAGAGCAATGCCAGGCTGGCTACCACTAGCAGCACCCTCATTTCTGCCATAGACACGGGAGCCTAGGGTTGTAGGTCTAGTGACTCTGTCTACGTATCTGTCGCCGTGTGACTCAGAGAAAACTTTTAAATGGTAGAAGTCACTTTCATCTGGTGACCAACATCCCAAATTTGTTGCTATTGAGAAAGCAAAAGGTTGCAGTGAAAGGCCCCCTTTCACTCCTCATTTTCAAGCCCGAGTGGCTTTCAAGGTTATACACGAAGTGCTTTAGTCAATGCTGTTTGGAAACATGTGAGAGTTCCAGGTTTAATGTTTCGTTAGAACAGAAAAGGTCCATTTGACACATGCTTGTCATGAATGTGAAGAGAGTTGGGTGCACTGATGGTAACCTTGTAGTTGGCGATTTTGTTGACACACAGATTAGTCTAGTCAAAGACTGCATGTCTAGCGTGTTCTTCATATGAGAGTGTGTGTGTGTTTGTATATAGCACCTTCACTCTAGCAATGCAATTCCTTGACTACCAGGGTCTGAGTTTCCACAGGCAAGAGAGAATCAGTCAGGATAAGTCAAGCATAAAAGATCCTCACTGAGTTTTTAAAAAACTCACTTTAGTTGGCAGTGCACTACGCAAACTATAGCAGAGGTAAAGGGAGTTCTTATATATGCTGTGAAGCCGATATATGGGTTTTCTTTGTTGAAGCTGGTTTTACACTGTAAACCAACATGGGTGAAGACTCCACCTTCTGTTGCGAAGCTGATGGCATCATTAGCAGTGACATGTCGACTGATCAAATTAGCTCCAGTCTGTCTGTCTCTCTTTAAATAGGGAAATCAAAGGGTGAATATTCAGCTGCTCGTGTTACCAAACAGAGGGGCTGATGGAGGGTCACTAACTGTGGACAGAGGAAGCTGTTAGTGGCAGGAAGAGGAGGAGGGGGAGATGTCCGTCGGTCAACGGCCACTCTGTTGGCACAATAAGTCCTGAATTGAGTCAGTGTTTGACATGTAGCGAGGCCTTTTGACCCACAACTGCGATAAAGGCACATGTTCCTAGATACACAGACCCTTGCTTCTCAAAACACCATATAAAGTCGGCCATCAATTGAGTATATTGTTCCCAATCGATTCTCGTGTCTACTGCGATACTGCGTGGCGGTATATAAGATATCTCTTACATCGGGACAGGCTTGCCTAGTCAGTTAGTAATACTTGTGTGCGAGTGAATGCTGAAAAATTTCGAAGTATTTTGTTGGCTGAAGTAAGTTAGAGTATATACGCATGAATCATTGAACTTTGAATGAACGCACACACCATTGGTGCAGAAGGGAGGTAGTGCAGCATGGTTCAACTGATGCTAGTGGTAACATCACTCCTGCTCTGTCTGCTGGCACCCTCCCGTGCCTCTCCTGTCTCCTTCCAACAATATCTAGAGGAAGAAGAAGTGGAGGAACAGTGGAAACCAGTGTACCAACTGTCGCGACAGTGGCAGGCCTGGAAATCTGAGCACACGAGGAGCTATATCTCCGACAACGAAGAGCTAGAGAGACACCTTATTTGGATCTCTAATATGAAGTATATTGAGGGTCACAATGCTAACGAGAACATGTTTGGATATCGTCTGTCAATGAACCAGTATGGAGATATGGTAGGCAGCTGAGGGGAGACAACACTAACCCAAATTCAATGGTTCTTGGAGTAAATGTTTGTTGTAATGTGAATTTATATATACTTATTGTTGGTTTTATGATTTGCAGCTACATCTAATACAACACACACACACTCTAATTCTACTCCCCACCAATTGTTCAGACAGATATTGAGTACAAGACAAAGATCCTCACATACCGCAAGACCAACACCTCTTCTGGGGGATCAGGTGGCCCTAAAGTAACCCCCTATGTCCCTGACCCTCACCTGAGTCTGCCTGAGGCTCTGGACTGGAGATCTCGAGGTGCTGTCAGCGCAGTCAAGGATCAGGTGATGACAAACACACGTACACACTCTGTCACTGATTGCACTGTGTTTGGGCTTTTGACCAACCATTAGTGTAGTTTACAACTGTTGAACTAGTCTTTAGTGTGTGTGTGTGCGTGTGTGTATGTCATTCCTCTTGCAAACAGATGTAAGTTTCAGTGAAGACTATCTTCAGGAGCTACCATTACAGTGAAACCTCTGATAAAGGACCCTCCGAATAAAGGACACCTCTCTATTAAGGACACTTAGTTCTGCCCCATACTAACACATTATACTTCCCCTGAATAAAGGACACCTCTGAATGATAGACACTTTCAATGTACCCAAGGTGTCCCTTATTCAGAGGTTTCACTGTAGGTTGTGTGGTTGTCTGCAGGGGAGCTGTGGAGCTAGCTATGCCTTCAGTACCACTGGCAGCATTGAGGGTGCCGTAGCTCTTGGCTATGGCAGACTTGTGTCGCTCAGTGAGCAGAACATCATTGACTGCTCAGGTTAGTCACACCTCGCTTCATCATGTGGTAGCAGAAGAGCATGTATAAGCCAAAGAGTAGTTAGAAACATCTTTAGACAATTGTGAAGCACACATAAAGTTTATTAACAACCTATCTAACACACAACTGAAGCGTTGGCTGATAGTGCTGAAAAATCTGTACCTGCCAATTTAACCCCTTTCACTCTCAAATCCCACAGTTCCCCTTGGCAACAACGGCTGTAACGGAGGCAACATGTACAACTCATTCATGTACATTATCGACAATGGGGGAATAGATACATCATACGCCTACCCTTACCAGGGCTCTGTGAGTCCCATACATCATACGCCTACCCTTACCAGGGCTCTGTGAGTCCCATACATCATACGCCTACCCTTACCAGGGCTCTGTGAGTCCCATACATCATACGCCTACCCTTACCAGGGCTCTGTGAGTCCCATACATCATACGCCTACCCTTACCAGGGCTCTGTGAGTCCAATACATCATACGCCTACCCTTACCAGGCTCGTGAGTCCCATGACATCATACGCCTACCCTTACAGGGCTCTGTGAGTCCCATACATCATACGCCTACCCTTACCAGGGCTCTGTGAGTCCCATACCTGCTACACTACCTCTCACGCCTACCCTTACCAGGGCTCTGTGAGTCCCATATACATCATACGCCTATACCCTTACCAGGGCTCTGTGAGTCCCATACATCATACGCCTACCCTTACCAGGGCTCTGTGAGTCCCATACATCATACGCCTACCCTTACCAGGGCTCTGTGAGTCCCATACATCATACGCCTACCCTTACCAGGGCTCTGTGAGTCCCATACCTGCTACACTACCTCTCACGCCTACCCTTACCAGGGCTCTGTGAGTCCCATATACATCATACGCCTATACCCTTACCAAGGCTCTGTGAGTCCCTTACCAATATGAAGCCATAACTAGGTGTGAGTTTAAAGAGAAAAAAGCAGCGGTGTTTGTGTATCTCTCTCTGCAGCAAACGGGGTGTAGTTTTGACCGCTACGCCGTGGGAGCTGACATTACAGGGATCATCAGTATCAGAGAGGGCAGTGAGTACCATCTCCAGACTGCTCTCGCCTCCGCTGGACCCATCTCCATAGCTGTCGACGCCAGTACCAACTCCTTCAGAGTAAGTCTGTTTTTCATGCTTGTGTGGCGACTATTTGTTATTATGTGTACGGTCTTAATGATTAGTAAAGCAAATCTTCACATGGTGCATCTCTGTTTGTTGTTACGTTGACAATGGCTGTATTGCTCTTGAGTATTTTTCAAAACTACTTATAGTATACCAATAGTAAAAGGAACCAAGGTAGAATGCGAAAATGTGTGTGTTCTCCATTAGTGCACTCTAGTGATGCAATGGCCTTTATAGCATCTACAGAGTGTGAATGTGTGGCCTACATGTTGCTGTGTTAGTGACTGGATGATTCAAGTATTATGTGTCCTCTGTGTGTGTCCCAGTTCTATGATGGCGGGGTGTTTGACTCGTTCCGATGTTCCAGTACTGACGTCAACCACGCCATGACTCTCATCGGTTACGGCACCTACAATGGGAAGGAACACTGGATGGTCAAAAACAGGTGATTTCCCAGGGGCTTACTCATTTTGGAGGGATATATAATTATGACTTATTGTTTTAGCAGACAGCACAAAATTGTACTAGAACTGACAACCAATACTTAATGTTTACCATAATATCGCCAAATTTAATAGTTGCTAGTGCGTACCTAGTATATAGATTTTGGTATTAAGTGGCTTATCTGTTTGTGTTAAAGCTGGGGTACCAGTTGGGGTGTGGATGGCTACATCATGATGACCAGGAACTACTACAACCAATGTGGAATTGCCAGCGATGCCTCCTACCCAAGTCTCTAATGAGGACTCTGTATTTTTGTTGTCATTTGGATTTCGAATTTTTGTCTGATTGGACAAAAAATCAATATTATTTCATTGTGAGAACTAATGCATGAGAAATTGATTCAATAATTGAGAGTCATTGACTGATGATGTGTCAGAGAGTTGGGTAGGAGGCATCGGTTGCAATGCCACACTGATTGTACTGGTTCCTGGACATGAGAATGTAGCCCTCCATTCCCCAATGACTCCCCCAACTAGATGAAAACAACATCCATAAGTACACAATGAAGATGTCCTACGGTAGCTATATAGCACATGTTATGGAAGCATTGTGTGGATATATTATACCTGTTTTTGACAAGCCAGTAGTCTTTCCCAGAGAAAGTCCCGTAGCCAGTGACAACCATGGCATGTTGAATGTTGGAGCTGGAGCACCGCGATGCGTCGTACACCCCAGAGGAATAGTACTAGACGTAGGAACAGTATGTTCGCTTCATTATAACAGTGAATCAAGCAATATTATTCCTCATTATCTTCCCTGCCGAGGCAGTGGTTGGGAGATAATAAAGAATATTGCTTAAGACAGGCAAAGTGAGGTTTCAGGAAGATCAGACAACTCATGTACATTTGTTGAGGTCAAGGCAAAGCAAAGGCACACAACGCATAAAACTATATACAGAACCTGTATTTTTGCCTCTGCCAATTGCTCTGGATGTGTATAAATTATTATAGTCAATGTCCCTAGTGCTAACGCTGCCGTTTCATTCTTCACTTTCTTCCCTATAATCTCTGGTTTAGACCAACCCTGAAGGCTTTGTTTCTTCCGTCCACAGCCACTGCGACGGGCCCAACACTGGCGACCGCGGCCTGCAGCTCTTTCTCATCTCCAGTCGGTACAGCCACAGAACCAGACATCTTTGCTCCTACTTTATCCTTTGAGAATACACAGCTGGATTGCTGGACAAATGAAAGGGAGTACAGCTGAACATTTGAAAGAGGACACCTCTCTATGAAGGATACTTAAATTACCTCTGAACATAATGATACCTCCGAATAAACAACACATTCAATGCCCCAGAGGTGTCCCTTATTTAGAGGTTTCACCACATAAAGTAGAGAGTTGCCCCTATTGTTACAGGAAGTTAATTACCTTGCCAACGAAGGGGTAGGAGCTTGCAGTTGTGACTCCATCATTTGCAATGATGTACTGGTAGGCATTGTACATGTTCCCACCTTTACATCCGTGATTTCCATACGATACTGTGGTAGCAGTCAGATAAAATTGTCCCAGCAAATACGATAAGATAGTTTGTGTCTCACCAGAGCAGTCAATGATGTTTTGTTCACTCAGTAGAGTCAGTCTCCCGTGAGCCAAGGCCCAGGCTCCCTCTAGTGCTCCTATAGCACTGAAGGCATAGCTGGCACCCACACTGACCCTATGCATGATTCAGAGAGTAAGCATCCCTAATGCTAGTAAACATGCCAAAGTTTTCACACAAGATATTGTCAAACAGAACAACAGAACAACACCTGGTTCTTGATGTCGCTGACTGCTCCTTTAGTCCTCCAGTCAATGGAAGATGGGTGGTCTGACACAGACGAGCTGCTCTTGAAATACTTGGTGTAGTTGTTGGTCTTATTATGGGTCCACTTGGAGAGATACAGACTCTCAAATTCAGTATCAGACTAACAAAGAAACAACGTTAAAAAGCATGTGAATTGTTTACCATTACTATGAGTTAGGTAAAGATTGAGCTCACAATGTCTCCAAAGTGGTTCATGGAGAGGGTGAATCCGAAAATGTCAGAGTTTGCATTGTGTGCGTTGATGTATTCTCTGTTGGAGAGCCACACGAGATGTCTCTCCAGCTCCTCTCTCTGGGACTGGTAGCTCTTCCCGTGCTCCGTCTTCCACAGATCCCACTCCTCTGGGTGCTGGTACTGCACCTCACACCTCACCACTGCCAGTAGCACACAGCAGACGAGGACTGACAACATCTTTTCATCTCTAGCATAAGCCACCTACAAAACACTCTGATCAGAACAGCAGTCTAGCTAGCATGCTCTCCCTGTCTCATCACATCTTTCTTAAGTACTAGAACCAAGGGAACTGGTCTTTTGCATGAATTGGCTGTTAATTACTCTCTTGATCTTCTGTCACACGAATGGCTTTGTCATTCATGAAATCTGTAGGGCAAGTCTTTTACTCTGTTCTGGCAGGCCTATTTACAGGTAACCAGGCAAATGTGCGACTCCCTTTTTCTATGCTTTGAAGATTCCCTTTCACCATAGGCCTTGGAAGACGATTGCTCTATCATCAGCTTGTAGAGGCCATAACGTAGAACTATGAAAAAGAATTTTTGTCAGAGTTTAGAATAATTAATAGTTTGTCTGTGTGCTACAATACATGTAAACATCAACAGGGTTGAACGGAAAGGTCAAAATAACAGAGACACTCACAATGACTCGGAAAAAGAGCTGCCCTGGGCGGGATTTGAACCCACAGGGAGGCAGAGTGCTTAATTACTGAGCAACTATGTTTCTGGGAGTTGAGTTGAGGGATAGCACTTGTAGCGTCTTTGACCTTCTGACAATAGGCCACACTGACAAACATAGGATAACACAATATGCAAACTGCTAATGACCAAATAATCAGGTGAGTTACATCACAGAATTAAAGTATAGAATGTTGTGATATACCGGGCAGCGAGCAAGCTCAATCGTAGCATGACACTATCTCTGCTGTAAGCAGGGGCAGGAGGGCCTGTTGAATACCCAGCAATATGCCACACAAACAGCGTCTGTACTCTGCTCTAATGGCGTGACAAATTGGTAGTACTCCGAGCATAAACACCTCCCCACTGTCTTTTGTCCGGGTACTTTTGTTGCTCAACAAGCGCTCTACAAGGCGAGTCCTCTGAACACTGCCTCCACAATACAGCTGAGAACAAAAAAGTCTTTGTAAAAGAGATGGCTATGCTCGTATGCTGCAGACTGTGCATTAGTGCTGGTGCAGCCAAACTCTTAGTTTATGGACTACTCTGAGTGAACAAAGTAGTTTTTAGCAGAGAAAAACGAGTTGCTATATAGTTAAGACAGAAGTTTTTTAGTGTAAACTAGAGAGAAGTAAGGGAAATGAAGACATTTTGTGGAGTTCTGCTGTGCTACCAGCTAGTGATAGCGTCAGTGCTGGCTTTAGATCAGGTCCTGTTGGTTGAAGAGTGGCTTCAGTGGAAGAACCAGCACAAGAAAGGCTACAGAACGAAAGGAGAAGAGAGAAAGAGGCACTCTGTCTGGTTGGCTAACAGAGAGTTTGTTAGTAGCCACAACTCAGAGTGGGAGGAACATGGCTACTCTCTGTCCCTCAACCAGTTTGCTGATCTGGTGAGACACTTTGTAGAGCTGCAAGTTGGCAGCAATAAGCCTGGGTTTAGCTAACGCACAGTGAACAGCATCTAGCCATGGTTGGTGCTATATATTGGATTCCTGGAATTCTGCTGCAGCAGAAACTATAGTTTTCCATGGACCTGTTTTAGCAATTACGATGGCTAGAAAGTCTGATTAGTTATGGTTTTAACTGCAGCAGTGTTTTCTGGTTGCATAGATAGAGGATGCACACACACCAAAGACAAGCTGCGGCTGTAGTGCAACAGCCAGCAAGTACAGGTCTCCCGCATACATCTCCATGAATAGCTATGTCATCAGACCCTACATCTTTCATGTATGGATGAGAGGGGACATGAATTGGAGGGTCTGGGGCCCTATTCAGATGGATATCCTCTCAGTCTTGTCACCAGGTTCTTCGTGTGCAGAGCTACAAGAGACCTAACACCCCCTCCCCCCTCCCCATGATTGAGCCTCCAGCACAGCTGCAGTGCATACCTTTAGAAATATGTCACAAATGAAATTTGTGATGACAAATCTTTGCCGGTTTACCCCATCGAGCACATTACACTATGTGTCCTAGTATAGTTGCCAAGCTGACATTACGAATGAGACATCCTCATGTATTACACCTCTATTCATACATATCTCAACAACCTCATCGAACATCTGTTACACTACTCACTGTGTCCTAGTGTACAACTACCAGACATGTCACTAGTAGAAATGAGATTTGGTGGTGCAGTGTTCCTACACCCATCGCCCTACATATCTTTAACACCACTGATATCTGGCACAGTATACATTACCAATAATACATGTGATATATTTCTGCAGACTGATGAGGAGTACACAGGGCTCCTGGTTGGTCACAGCTACCCTGATTACGAGGATAACCCTCTCGTCACCAAATTCAGAAGTGGGAGAGATCTCACCTCCCACGACCTCCCAAACTCAATCGACTGGAGGACCAAGGGAGTTGTCACATCCATCAAGAACCAAGTGAGATTCATTAACCCTGAAGGAGTATAGCTATTATACCCCTTAATTGATAGCGAAACAGTTTTACAGTGGAACCCCTCTCAATCATACCCCTGAAATAAGAGCATCTTTCCCTCCTCAAGAAGGACTCTGCTTTAATAAGGACACTTCTTCTGTCACATTGTGCCTGGATTAGAGGAAAAAACTAGTTACTAGTGGCCCCTTCTTGGATCATAGTTTTGTTTCCTTGAAAACTTGAGTGTTTGTTAACTGTTGCTTTGTTGTATGTTTGTTCTCTAGAATTCCCGACAGTGCAACTCCAGCTATGCATTTGCAGCAGTTGGCTCAGTGGAGGGGGCCTGGGCCCTGACCAGGGGGTCTCTCACTAGACTCAGCGAACAGAACATCATTGACTGCTCTGGTGAGGATTACAATACTGTGTATATAGCTAATAGCGGAGTGCTTACAACACTGTCCAGCTTATTTTATTGGTTAGATTTCTAGTCCAAGTAAAGCAAAACATGACATTAATAATCTTTCTCGTGCTCACATGCAATGTTGTGTGCTGTAAAGCCAATTTGTTTCTGGGATCAAAGAGAACATCGTTTTGCTCCGACAGAAAGTCCACTGTAGCTAGGTACGGTAGCGACCTCTGACTTCCTAGTCTTGCTGATCAAAGTGTTGAGGAGGTAGAGAGAGGGTCTGGTGAAACTAACACAGCAGAGTTGGGCTACAATATTGGCCTACTCAGCACAAGTGAGTGTCCCAGACCTTCTCTGCCTGTCCCCTCTGTGAGAGTCTCATACTCCACATCTCCATGTTGAGCGGTACCTCTGAATACCTGACAAGTGTTTTTACTTACAACATTCTATGGTAGAGACATTGAGGTTTGTAGGGGACATAATGGACTGCAATAACCTGCTACATCTCTCACTTAACTAATAGAGTAGGTAACTATATAGAGAATGGAGAGCTCCCATGTTGTCAAGTATAGTTTTAAGATGGCTTGTAACTGTAAACCATTACATATTGAGTAGCAGTAAATATGAAAATATGAAGTGTGTGTCAGTACAAAAGCATTAGCTGGCATTTTTCACGTTGTGCACTGGACAAGTGAGACAGATTGTTCATGCTAATGAGAAGTTAGCGAGCTCCAAAGGTGGCCTTTCAATGCACACAGACACTGGAGCTCATTTTGTGTTCATATATACTGCAACAAAGAGCCAATTTGTTCGGGAGAGTGGTGTCCATGGTTCCAGCACTGTAGCACCACTGGGATCATCGTGAGTGTCGTGCTCACTCGGTGTATGCCAACACACTCAGTCTGTCGCACTGTTTTCCCACCACTCTCCCCCCATGTTGTGTGCACGTTCTCTCTTGTTTCTCTCTCTCTCTGTTTCACACATGTGTCTGAGAGGTGCACCTTCTCTCTTGTTTCTCTCTCTCTCTGTTTCACACATGTGTGAGCTCTTTCAGTGTCTCAGTCCACTCATTATTTCACTAGTACAGAGCTCTCCTTTATTAGTAGCTCACTCAGTCCCATTATTGTCACATGTACTGAGCTGTTATATAGACTTTTGGTATTAATGCAGTGCCGTATGGAAACATGGGCTGCCGCGGAGGCTCTGTGTTCAGTTCCTACCTCTACATGGTCAACAGCGGAGTCAGCACCTACAGCTGCTACCCCTACAGAGGCAGGGTGAGAAGAGATCACGTGATGCCTGCCTGAATCACGTGAATGTCATGTGATTTCTCTCTCCCAGCAATCCTACTGCAGCTACACGAGTAACTGCACCTGTGCCAAGATGTCTGGGATGGTGCGAATAGAGTTTGGGAATGAGACGGATCTGCAGGCTGCACTGGCAACCGTGGGGCCAGTGGCAGTGACTATTGACGGCAGCTCTAAAGCATTCAGAGTGAGCCTTAGCCACGCCAACATAGCTATATGGAACATTGTTAAAACTCCAATGATTTGTCCATGCAACATGCTGCATTTCATAATACTGGGCCACTATATCCATACATTAAGGCTTTAGAGACTTTTTCAACAAAGTTGCTCTGCTCTTTATATTGTGGCGAATCGTTCAGTTCTACAGCCAGGGAGTGTTTGACTGGTCAGGGTGCTCCAGCACCAAACTCAACCATCCTCTCCTCCTCATTGGCTACGGCTACACTTACGTGGAGAGTGTGTACACTGAATACTGGCTGCTGAAAAACAGGTGTAGTGTGGCTTCATATCCAGTCATCAACTTTATCCAATGTCTCTGTGTCTTCCTCTCTCTAGTTTTGGAACCAACTGGGGAGAGGACGGCTACTTCAGACTAGTACGGAACCAGTTCAACCAGTGTGGAATTGCCTCTGATGCCCTCTTTCCCACACTATGACAATTTATCCAATTGTAGCCAGATTCATATAAACATTCATGCATTTTCTAGATCATAGTTACTCCTCTGTTTTTGTAAGTATCTATATACGTTGTACATGCTTTGCTATAGTTATCACCACACCCACAACACAGGCCCTGTTGTGCAACTTCACCGCTTTTTATTTGAAACCCCACTCTCTTTATTGTTTTTCAGTGGCTATAGCTAATAAGAAATAATGTAGTAATAGTCATACGCTCGCCATCCCTTCACCTATACTCTCACTCTATCCCTATATTTGTGGGTGCAATTGGTCTAAAACTAGCTTGCTGGGGTAGCTATGCTGCAGCTCATGCAGAAGCATGTCCATTCTGGCCAAGTTTAGGATAAATGAAGTCACTTGGCCCAGTAATGGGCTCCTTTTCTTCCTGAAACAACACCGTGCCAACACTGTTGACGGCTGTTGAGTCTGGAATAATCTGTTGAGCCACGACAGACGCACATGTTGTGTTGAATAATAGTCTAGTCACTGCCTACCCCTTCCTTCCTCTCTCCCCCTCTCTTGTTGCCCTCTCGCCCCCTCTCTCCTTCTTTCTTGGCATGGTGGTGTCAGGAGAGATGTGTTGACTTTGTAGGAGGGAAGCAAACAATAAACATTATGTGATTCAATGCCGTCTCTTTCACCAACTCTGGCAGTGTGTATGTTTCACTGTCCCAAAGACACCACCTGCGATATACTAAACGAGCTAACAAGTGACACAGTTGCCAAAAGTAAACGATAATTTGGAAATAACTGCTGGAGGCGTCACTGGGCACGCTAGCTATAGCTAATACATTTTCAGCGAGCGGACTAGTCTAGCTGCCAAGAGTGTAGACAGGCAACTACAGCAGCGATGGGCGAGTCAGGAATAGATGTCGCCATGTCAGGAGACTACAGCGTATCTCCAAGTGAGTGTTCCTTTACTGTATATACCTCTAGAGAGAGAGGTTGTCTCCAGTAATAAGTGTTCTGTGGGGGCTTGAAAATGATTATTGTGTGTCGTTGTAATGAGTTCCATATGCCAGGCTAATGGAGTCTTTGTAGTAGATGAGGAGTTGAGGATGAAAAGGGGCAGCACGTGTAGTGTGTGCACTGAGTGGTGGTGGCGGATGCTTGAAGTACGTATACTTAGCTAGCTACTGCATTATCAGCGGATCTCATCTAGTAAGGAATGTCTAGTGTAATCAAGCCCTAGTGGAGAGAGAATAAAAAGCGGATCCACTGTAATTGGGCAGAGAGATAGAGAGAGAGAGAGCGAAGTGCAGTTGGTAAGTTGCAAGCAGAAGTATTTGTAGGGTTGTTTGTATGTATGTGCGCAGCCCCGACCTCCGCTGGTGCTAGGTTGTGTGGGGGATTGTGTATACAGTGCCCCTTTGGCATGCCAGGTCCCCGGCGCTAGTACACATGCAACAGCAGTAATAGCTGTAAATAGCTGGAATTCTTAGCTCGTTGAGTGCCGCATCAAATGGCCACGATCAGTCGCAGATTCCCTGTCGCATGCGCTGCCGCGCTTCTACCGCAATTGTTCGCTGCCGTTACTGCTGCAGGCAACCGTGAGTTGCCGTAGATTGGCAATAGACCCTCATAGCAGATAGCTCACGAGTACCAATCTAAAAAGCCTGCATGTTATACTGCAATAGATATATGCTCACTTAGAGCTTAATTCTGTGCATAATCTATATAGCATGCCCTTTCCATGGAATATCTACACTTTGTGTCTGTTGCATGAAACTGTGTATGTAGCCATTCTCTCTGCCTGCGTGCCTGGCTGTTCTCATCTGATTCCCAGCCATACAGCTCTGCTGTAGCTCAACACAGCCTCTACATCCACAGCTATGACCACACACATATTGATAGCTAGCTAACTAATGCATTAGATTTCAGGCTCTCGTACCAGTAGCTCGTTTTTCCCACTGTTTTATGGCATATGGAGAGGTAATGACTGAGTGAGTATGGTCATAATATGATAAATTACCTCTGGCATTACTATAAGTGTATGGCTTTTACATCTGCAGTCAACAGCAGTGTGGGCTTAGGGTCAGGGACCAGTGCTGGGTTCTCGCTCCTCACTTCAGCTACTCTCACTTTACCCACGTTCACACCTTCACCGACACCCCTCGTCACATCCTCACTCCTCCCCCCGCCCCCTCTCCCATCTCCACCTCTGCACGACCCCCCAGAAATGAGTCTTGCCCCTGTAATCTACCTCATTGCAGTGCCCGTTGCACTCTGCATCCTCCTGGTCATTATGATCACCCTCATTTGCTGCATCATCTGCTGCTATCGACTCCGCAGGAGGAAAAGTCGGCGAAATAAAAGTAAGTTTAACCAATGGTCTGTGATCCATAATACAGCTACCTCCGAAGCATGGCAAGTGCAAATCCGGCTATATATAGCTGAACATTTAGGACAACCCTTTCCCGGTCTTCTGATATGGACTTGAACCCACAATTCTCTATTAGCAGATCTTCCAAAAACTGAAACAATTTCTTTCATTGGCCGAAAGAAATTGCACAATTGTGTTGATTCGGCATGTCCCACTCTTCCTGCGAATGTGAGCTAATGGCACACTGTTTTCTTAGGACACCTGAAATACATTCCGACGGCTTACACTTAGTGTAGGCTGATGTGTTGGAATATGCTCAGAATCTTAATTTCTCTCTCACACTATGTACTGTGTACTGTGACTCTCTCTGTCTTGGTTCACAGGTGAGAGGTTGAAGACCAGGAGCAGTGGCAGCAGACTGGACCGGTCAAAATCTCTGGAGTAAGTCAAACACACTGAATGGTAGGAATACACAGGCAACGAGGGAAAGAGAAGAACCAACTTGTGTCAGCAGTTTTAACTCAGGCATAGGCTTAGAAAGAAAGGGGGAGACCTCTGGGTGTGTTACTCAGTGCAGAGTGCACCGGACTTCCACTACTGATGCCTGAGTTGCAACTACTCTTTCTCTCTTGCAATATTGTGTATTTCTACTATTCTTCGGTGTATGTCAGTGACACTGTGTATGTGGAGCCATGCAGGCTAGAGTAACGATGTGTGCACACACCACAGTCAGGTGTAGCAAGAGCTTGCCAAGATACTAGAAAGAGAGAGACCCCATGCATACATCTTTCTGTTTCTCTGCTGACGAGAGTGAGTATAATACGTTGGCATAATAATTATTATAGCAGGTCGTCCAGCCAACACATTTCCTATGAAGAGCTCTTTCCAACTCCACCAGTGGCCCATTAGCTGTTTACATGTACACTGTGTGTGGTTTGGCTATAGTACATGTTTAGCAGACTTTCCACCCTAGAAACACTATACTATATACGCTTCACCTTCACTTTGCCCAAGTGTATATACACCCTGGACACTGTTTGCCTGGGCCCTAAACCAACTGAGCAGATGGTGCTCTTGTTAGTTTACACATGGAGAAGCCTTCTTTGGCTGACGTTTTTTCAGTAAAGCCTCATACATTAGTTGGGAGCTATTATCCTGCCACACAATACAAACCAGTGGTGGATCCAGGGGGGTTGGTGGAACCCCCCTTTTGTCGTTTTGTGTGCATGTGTCGCAGGTCTCGGGTGCGCGTACGAGTGCTGTAAAAAACGTTCTGGACAGCGGAACCCCCCCTTTCAACATCCTAGATCCACCACTGTTACATGTTCTCAGAGAAAGTACTGCAAATTTCCCAGAGTAATGTTTGGATGATAGTCAACCTTCTCAGCATTATGTCACCGTGTTTTCCTGCTTCCCGTGTGCCAACATAATGTAGTACTCTATGCCCTACAATGTAGTTGAGACAAACCAAGTACTGCTGACATTAGATAAAAACATTCCCAGATTGTTTCCACCATTCGCCCAAAGAGAGTTTTCGTGAAGAACACTTTGGCAGATGTTTCACAAACTGCAAAACTCGTTAAAGTTCCCTGCCCCAAATATTTCCCACCACACTTGAGAACCCCTTTAATCAGTAAACCAATTGGACAGAAGAAAGTTTCCATAGTAGAGAGGTGTCCTTATTGCAGGGGTTAAATAATTGCATGCAAGGAACTGTTTTGGGGGAAAAGATGTTTTAATAATAGAATGTAACTCTCGAATTCCTCACAGAGCGTATGGAGGGCGCAGTTCACACTCCATGTCCAAGACAGAGGAAGCCACCAAGAGATATGAGTTACAGACTCTCGACGGAGAAGGGAACAGATTCAGTGAGGGGAGTCTTGGCTCACCAACTGCACCCCTCTCCTCCAACATCCTCCCTGGAGCAAGTCGGAGCCATGCCGCACCTTGGAGCAGCAGTCCTCATATTAACTACACCCAACCGATGAGCCCCTATCATTATAACCAATCACCTTACCCGGGGTCCACCCCTCCCCATCAGCACCCCTTCACCTCGCCACGTCACACCGCACAACTCCACGGGATCCCCGAATCTCACGGGGATGCAAGTCCCCACGAAAAGTACACGGCGATGACAAAACACGGCAAGACTTCGAGTCTGCCTCATTCGTACAGCGAAGGAGTTTCTTTTGACCCTGCTTCTGTGTACGACGTTCCAGCCAGTGCTCGATGGAAGTTTCAAGACCCGAATAATCCTCGCAGCGTATACGACATCCCAAAAGGTGCTCTCATTGCATCAGGTCACTACAAAGTGCCTCCACTTGCCCAGAGTGTTCCACTGGAGGGGGTTTACGACGTGCCCCCATCGTCAACTGCCATTTACGACGTCCCACCCGACGTCTATAATACTGGTTCGGAGGTGTACGATGTACCTCCACCCACGGCCACTCGACCGCGCCTCAACTCTCAGCCAACGTCTCAAGAAGAACTGTTAGCAGCGCGCAGATCTCTGGTTGCAGTCTCCACTGGTCCAGACGCCGCCTTCGCAACAGCTGGTTCCGATTACAGTCACTACGATGTACCACGGCATTTCCTAATTAGTCAACCCCACATGAACCACTACCAGCAGCCAGCCAAGAGGCTGTCGCGAAGAAACAGTTACAGTCCGTCTCAAACTGCCAGGGATAGCTTGGTGTACGATGTACCAAGGACCGGCGGTCCTCCGACTGCTGTGAAACCTTACAAAAAGAGGAACACGCCCTCTCGAAATCACTCTATTGCCTCTCCACCCAACATGGCGTCACCGGAACGAAGACAATACCCAAACGAAGTGTTCTACGACGTGCCACCTCTGGACCCAGAATTTCTAGCCCAACTCGGCCAGACTAGTTCGACCTCGAGCGAGTCCGATACTTCCCATCTCACCAAGAACGGGGCTGGTGCTGCCACGCCCACCCAGCGAGGTCATCATATGTCTCCCAGTGGAGCTGACTCAGCAGGGAGAAGCAGAGCGCCCCCGCCAACCAAGAGAAAGCCAGGCAGAAGAGGGGAGAGTGTGATAATGTAAATAATAGCTCATCGCACAATTCCTGAATGATGTATCGTGTATCTATAGGTATAGTAACGTACTCTGTGGTTAATTAATTAATTAATGACATTCAGTTGTCTTCCTTTTTAGAGCCCACTCTCTGTTGAAATGGGATGTGTATATATATGTCTGTGTAATTGTATTGGTTTTCTGTGTTGCTGTTCATTTCAGTCAATCACAAGTTTACAATACTCCACTTCAGTTTCAACGTAACATGAACTAGTGTTCAAATTTACAGACCCCCAGGAAAAGCGATAAACTTGATGTCATAGGCTCCGAATTGAATAATTCACACCAGTAACTGAATTCCACACATTCAGTGTTTAACTCTCCTTATTGTAAACCCGGGATGACGTAGAGTTGTACAGAGTGATGGGACTGTTATCACTAGAGGGAAATGACTGTTTGTGAAAGTCAACGGCTGTGTTGACGAACATGTGACCTCTTCGAGAAATCGGTGGAGCGGACTAAGTCGTGTGCCAAGACCTATTGCAAGAGACTAAGAAAGAGTCAGTATGACAATCAGTGGGTCAGGATCAGGTGAGAGACCAATGGGTAGGTAATTAGTTTATGCACATGCACCTACAGGAGGCAATTCTCCAAGTCAAGTAGATTGTACGACTGATTTTGTGAGAGCCAATTGTACAAATGAAGTTCGATTGCCTTCCGAGAAAGCCCTGTCGGTGTTATTTGGAGCTGTGGCATCTGCTGTGGTGGTACTGGCTGTGGTCTTGGTGGTCGTTACCATAGTCTGCCAAAGACGACGAAGGGGAACCAAAGCCTACTATAGCGTGACCATACAGCCAAGAGACAGTGACACAAGAGGTCAGTACTGGACTGACACACACTATCATTCTACTTTAAGAGGCTCTCTCTATCAATGAGTCTATAAGGTCCTCTATCATGTACAGAGTGTATAGGTCCTCTCTATCATGTACAGAGTGTATAGGTCCTCTCTATCATGTACAGAGTCTATAAGGTCCAATGCTCCGGTGCTGGATCTAAGACAGGACCAGTTGGGGTACGTTGGATACACTCACTCATTTGAGATTTCAGATTTTATTGTGTACGTCTCACTAGGAGGTCAGTGGAGGGAGGAGAGAGCGTAGCAATGGTGGAGACAGTAACACAGAGTGCCTGCACTGAGCCACCATCAGAAAAGAGTGCATTGGTTACAGCTGAAGGCTTTAAAAAGGACTGTTTATCAGTAGCTGCAAGCAAGAGTCAGTTTTCTTTCGAGGACGGCACATCTCTGCACGACTACCCGGCCAGTGTGGACCTGGAGGTGTCAGGGAGGGACGAGGGAGAGCCGGCGAGAGCAAACATTATGGGCTACTGTGACATATACAGCAGTCAGATCCTCGCTCTACCCACTGAGGACACCACGCCAGTGAAGAGAGACCAGTCTCTAAGGCCTGCTCCAAGTTCTCACAGCTCAGGAAGACGACTGAAACGACACTTACCAGCAGCAACAGCTACTCCTACTCCCCATATCACAAGAAAGTCCCAAGTGTGGTATCACAAGGACTGGTTACTAAGAGACCCAGGAGTAACCCAAATCTACCTGGGTCAGAACCTCTCCCCACATCACTGTCTCCTGACATGACAGAGGTGGAGAAGTGGCTGAACCAGAGCCTCACTGACGTATTGGAAATGACTCGGGCCATGGCTCAAGAGACTGGTGCCAGCTACAATGACACCATGTAAGTCATTACCTTCGGCGCGCATGCGCATCGAATGTCTGTTCGTCCGCCCCCAGAAACGATATATACCATCTACCCAACGGGCGACGAAGGTCAGAAAATATGTGGGGTTTTCTCTGAAAATGCTCCGTTGCAGAGCTAGAGCGCTTCCAGCATTGTATGGCTAATGCAATTTTATCGCTGGCGGATAATGCGCATGCGCTTATATTAATTAGCACAAGTTCCGCTTGCTCTGTCTATCTTGAAGGCACAAGAAGTCACAACGAATGCCGTGTATCGACTCTCGCGTGCTATCTACTACTGTAGCTAGCCCGTGTCAGACTCTCTGCGAGCTACTTCGCCGAGGGTTTGCACTTCAATTTACACTGTTCCCATTCAAGTAATGGTGGTGGTCTGATGGATAAGCACCACCTCTCTTGATCGTGAGGTCCTGGTTCGATCCCGGGTAGTGTGCGCCTTTTTTACAATGATGTAATAGGAGTGTTGGTATATATGGAACGTTTTTTCATCAACTCTCAAGGCCAGCCCGAGTGGCTAGGTGGTTAGAGTCGTGGGGACTGACACCATAGGGGTGCGGGGTTCGTATCCCGATCCCGCACTAAAATGTCAGATGGTCCAGAGCATTGGCTGGGAACAGCTCTGGTACCTCCCCTTACCCACAAATCTACCACTGACCCATGTTTCTCAAAGGGCAGCGTATAGTTCGGTATAGCACTGCGTCCGTCCGTCTGGAGAGATGAAGGGCTGGCCGTTTTTTTTTCAACCTTGGGTTTGTTTTTTTTCACTAAACAATCCACGGGTAATACGAAAATTAATAGAGAGATGGAAAGGTTGGCAATTTTTCAACCTTATATATTTTTGGGGCTTCAAACAGAAATAGGGCTGGCCATTTTTTTCAACCTATTCGATGCATAACATGCTGTTCTTTTTTATGCATGGTCAAGACCATCAATTGTGGTGGTGCCACACTTGTGTATGGGTTCCACATTTCTATAGAGTGTGCCGAGGGTTTGCACTTTAGTGCTTTTCATTGATAGTTTAATTGAAATCTCACCAATGAAATGTTAGAACTTGCTATAGTTCCACCGCACAAGAGTTGCTAAGAGATTTTTGCTGTCCCAAAGAAATGTCAGAACTTGTTGAAACAAGTCTAAAAAGTTGTGTAGTTCTTAGTTCCTTGGCATAGTAGCTACCCTTCCTAGGCATGAACAAATAGCCAGATATCTAGCAAGCTGTTCAATGTGATGCCAGTTTATTAACTACATAATTATAGAATTGTGATGTTTCATATACATTAGGGAGACCTTTGAACATGGATCCTCCACCCAACCCAAACACAACACCATGGGGCGGCAAGGCTCCTCCCTCCCATCTCTCCTGGACACCACACCCACACCATATCAACAACAACACCTCACCTCTCATCCTCCCTCCTCTCCAGCCACACCTGCAGCTCCGAGTGTTGGAGCCTCTATTCGTGGAGGTACTATCGATCCCTCTCAGGTCATGACCCCAGCTAGCCCTCGTGATCCTCGACCACAGACCAACACTCTGCTGTCCAGCGACGAGACGACAGAGCTCAAAATCAGCCACGTTTAGACTTAGTTTTTTACCGTGTGCCATAGCAATAGTCACTTAAATACAGTTAGAAGATACGTAAGAGTTGTGCCTTACTAACTTACTCTACATCTGGCCTCAATTCATAGTCTTGTATTTCCACCTTCTCTTTCCACCATTGATAATACTTGCTTCGTTGGAGTGGAACCTATACCCTACACTCAGCTACACTTTGGGAGAAAAGTGTTTACAAGTTACTTGTATCCATGAGTATTATTTGTCAAACATTGCTGCAGAAATTGTGCGGCTAGTGTATGCAATAGTGAGTAGACAGCCATATTAGTCATTGTGTGATCACGTTTGTAACTGCCTTGTAAGTACATAGCTACACATACTCTGGGGACTGATACTAGACACATGCACCAGTCAGCAAAAAGGGATCCACTGTCAGAGTGAAACTAAGGGCTGAAACCATCTAGACTTCACCGAGTTTTACTATTCGCTATTGTCAATTAGTTGAGGTAAACTTACCAACATCAAGTCATTGATCAAGTCATCAGTTGAAATGAATGGATCTAGTCTCCCAAGACTGTGTCTACTACTGGTGTTGGTGGCAGTTGGGCCAGCCAACAGTTCTCTGAGACTCTACGTCACCCCAGACTCCTCCTCCTCTCCCTGCCCTCCCACCACCACCTGCTACACTCTCCAACACTACACCCAGAACTCATCCTCTTACTTTGTACCTGGAGCAACTCTCCTGTTTCTCCCTGGTACACACTCTATTTGTTCCCCTGTCCACGTTCATCAGTCTGCTGCATCAGAGGAGCCCCTTCAATTATTAGGGATGGAAGACGAGACAATCATCAGTTGCGAGGTGCCACTCTCTCTGTCATTCACCAATTACTCAAGCCTGACCCTGTCCCAATTGGTAATCAGTGGTTGTGGTACTCGTCAGCAGCCGGCACTGCTCTTCAACTCAGTGCAATCCCTCCAACTGACAAGCTTGAGGATCCTCAATAGTTTGTCTACTGATGTGCTAGCTGTGGGTGTAGCAAATGTAAGTATCACTGACAGCAGCTTCAGTGCTGGGGATGAGAACGCTAACACAACAGTTGTTGGTCAGTGTTCTAACAACAAGGCAGGGACACTGTGCGATGGTTGTAGAGAAGGACTTAGTCTCACTCTTGGTCACCCGACCTGCAGGCAATGTTCTAATGAACATCTCTCTCTCCTCTTTGTTTTTGTTCTCAGTGGACCACTTATACTGGCGTTTATCATGATTCTCGATCTCACAGTTGCTAGAGGCACAATCAATGGTCTTCTCTTCTATGCCAATATCGTGTGGATAAATCGCTACCTGTTTTTCAACTCGCAAGGAACATCATTTGCGTTTGTGTTTCTTGCTTGGCTCAACCTTGATCTTGGAGTGGCGACTTGCTTCTACGATGGACTGGATATGTATGCCCTCACCTGGTTACAGTATGGCTTCCCTCTCTATGTCTGTCTCTTAGCTTTACTACTAGTAGCCCTCTCTCATTGGTTCCCTCGTCACCTCTGGCTGACAAAGATTCTCGCCAGTAACTCAACCTCAGTTCTGGCAACAGTGTTTCTTCTCACCTACACAAAGATCCTGAGAAATATCGTAAATTCTCTCAGAGCCACTCGTGTTGAGATGAACCAGCAGCCAAAGCTAGTGTGGGCACTAGATGGAAACTATGAGTACCTCGGTACCCCTCATGTCGTCCTTTTCACAGCTGCCATTCTTCTAATAGTGATCCTATGGCTACCGTACACACTCACTCTTCTCCTAGGGCACAGAATTTTACCAAAACTCTCGCGAAATCGATTCACTGACAACGTGAGATGTGTACTGGAGACCTACCATTCCCCTCTGATGCCCCACAAGAGGTTCTGGGTGGGTCTCCTACTGCTAGCTAGATCTGTTCTCCTCCTTGCATCGGCCCTTGTACCATCAGACAGAGAAACTCTCAATCTTTTACTGACTCTCCTGTTGTCCTTGCTCCTCCTCTATCTCCTCACCAAGTGGGGCAGTGTCTACAGGAATAGACATGTGGGACAACTAGAAGCATCGTTTGTGCTCAACGTGGCAGTTTTGGCTGCAGTCGAGATGTACACAGTGTCTAGTGGAGTAGAAAGGAGAATAGCTGTCATCCAGACTTCAACTTTCGTCGTGTTTATCAAGTTTCTCGTCGTATTGATGTACCACGTTTACAGTCGCGTCTGCCACGTGGGTTGTGTTAAAGATTTTGAGACTAAAATGAGGCAACTTCTTCCCAAGTGGCTGCTGGTGAACAACCCCAAGCAAGTGAGGACAATCTCCCTCACAGAGAGCCTCAGAATCCAGGGAATCGATTCTAACGAGGGGGGCCCCTCTCTCGATTCTCAATCTCTGCCGTCGACCATGAGTTGGGCAGGAGGAGGAGTCTGTGAGGGACAGGGCACCTTCAGTAGTGGCACAGAGCAGGTGGGAAACTCTAACATTGCCAGCACAGTGAGGAGGGAAGCAGAGAAAGAGACAGAATTATCACAGGTCAGAAGACAGACAAATGAAAATGCACCGAGAGCTAAAAACGGTAACCTACACCAACTTTATCTTGATACAGTGAGCGTAAAATCTATCCCCTTTCTCATTCTTTTTTTCTCTTTCTTTTTAACTGCAGCTCCAGGTACCACTGCTTAAATGATGACTAGAAATGATTGTGTGATCAAATTTGACACTAAAAAAAGTTATAGTGCACTAGGCAATATGGACATTAGAAAAATAGAATTTGGAGGTTCTGTAATGTTTGTAGTTTTTCAAGGTGACAAGTATTTCGGCATAGAGTCATTTCTCCATGTCTCAGAGGTAGAGAAGAGCTCCTCCAACAAACCACACGTGACCTCCACATTCCTGCGCAGTGCAGATTCGGGAATATAAAGTAGGCGGGGCTTTACCTACGCGCATGCGTATCACGAAGCAGACGTCAATGGAGCTCCACGAGAAGGCAAAAGATCTTCTGAGCTCAGGACAGTTGGAGGAGTCCTGCCGACTATTCACGAGGTTCATAGACGAATGTGGAGACTCCGTCGAGCACAGGGCGGCTGTCACGGACGCCTACAACAGCAGAGGTCACATCAAATACCTGAGTGTGGATTTCCCCGGAGCCATAGCCGACTACAGCACGGCTATGGAGAGAGATCCTGGCTTTGCCGTGGCCTGGTATAACAGGGGACAGGTCCGCTATCGACTAGGTCAGCTCCATCTCTCTCAACTTTCTCTTTAACGTTTGTTGTTTAGTTCACTGCATATTGGTCACTACATAGCTCTTATTATCACCCCAATTTATATTTGGAAAGGCTCAGCTGTCTCCAGATATAGATACAAAACAAATGTACCACTTTAGTCATTAAAATTATAGTGAAACATTGGCCGAATTATTTTGCCTTCATGCATATTCAACATCTACTTCACCGGGGAAAGTTTTAGTTACATTCTCCTGCCTGTACACTGCAGGTCATCTGTGTCTCTCCCTACTGCAGGCAGGTATAAGGCAGCAGAGGGAGACCTACTGCAGGCCCTAGAACTGGACCCACACTTTACCGATGCCCAGTTGAACCTGGCACAGGTACAGAGGGACTTGCAGAATGGACACTCCTTCAATACCAGCAATCACTGATCCTTTAGCTCTCTTTCATCATTTTCAACGACTTTGTGCTATGTATTGCTTGTGCCATTTTATCACACAATAATTAAATAACAAAATGGTCCAATGACTTGATTCAATGGGAAATGTTAGTACTGTAGGGTGGTGCAGAGAATAAGAGGGAGAATTGTCTTATGAATATTGGTAATTGTTGTGTATGTCAGTTCTTTTCTTTCCGTGATAACCCATTCGCTCTAGCTGGAGCATGGTTCTGGAGTGAGGGGACGAGAGGGAGCACCCTACACTCCCTGACTGCGTGTGAGGTAATCGACTGTCCGTGTAGTAAGACACCTTCTCTGGCAGTACTTTCTTCTCAACTGGCACTCCCTATACAAGATGAGGGAGAGAGGGGGACCCTGTGATTAAGAGAATAATGACATGAAGGATATCTACTCACCTTTAGATCGTACTCTGCAATGAACCCCCAGCGACCTTCCCTGACGGAAAAAGTTGGGAGTAGCTAAAATGATTCTAGAACATTGGGATTGTATAGGCCTATATACCAGTTTTTGGCTGCAGTCGTTTCCATGTGCACGGCCTCTTTCCATATTCTCTCCTGAGCCACTGCGTTACACTTGGAGCTCTCGGCTTGCAACTTCTTGTCTGCCTGCATCACAGTGTGCGATCGTCTTTCCCGCGCCAGCTCGGGTTCAAAAGTGTGGGTGGGGCAAGTAGGTAGCTGTGCAGTATGCGCATGCGTAATCGGAAATTAGATTCCGGAATTCCACGGCGGATTATGAAGGTGTGTCGTAGAGTCAGCCATTCTGTCGTCCAACGAAGTGATGGTTAGTAGATATGTGTTCATAACTAAGACTTCACTAAAAACGCGGTTGCTTTATTACACAGCCATTCCAGTTACTTGTGCTGTTACTGTTGGCGCTGGTTTCGGCCGGAACGGCAGGTTTGCGGACGATAGAAAAACAACTCTACCTTCTCCCTCGTACAATGTGTTTATTCTGATATGTTCCGTCCGCCACAACAGAGGACTGTGCCGGGGAGGGGACGGTGGAGCTGGTGGGACTAGAGGGAGTGGAGCATGCTGGGATAGTGAGAGTGTGTCGAGGTGGAGTCTGGGGAACCGTGTGTGCTGAAGTTTTCACTCCGTGGAGTCAGAAAAATAGCCAGGTGGCCTGCAGGAGAGCCGGATTTGCCGGAGCTGTCAACCCAATCCTCCAATTAACGTTAGTCAGTCAACCTAAACGAGAGAACTATATTAGCTACAGATTTTGCTGTGAATTCCACCATCTCCTTGTCTTTCCTTAGTATGCCAGCATCAGCTCGACTCCTGGTATTGGGTGATCCAATCCACTACCGCAGACTCAGTTGTAATGGAACTGAGAACACTCTCACTGCCTGCTCACTATCGACCAGTACATTCGCCTGTATTCATGACTATGATGCTGCCGTCACATGCAAACCTTACTCTAGCAGTGAGTTGAACTAATACACTGTGCTAGGGAAAATCTTTTGCTCCAAATTATCGCTTACAGTTGCTCTGGTAAAGGTCCTTACTTGTAAAATTTTGTGGACAAAAAAACCTTTACAGTTACCCGTGAACAGTATTTGTTCCCTTAAAAAGTTTACGCTACAAGGATTTTTTTCCTGCACGGCCCCCTGTGTTAATGTAATGTGTGTGCTGTAGGTGCGGCTAGAGCTGGAGATGTTAGGTTGCTAGGCGACACTGATGACGGGAAAGGGGCCGTGGAGTATTATGATATGTTTCTCGGGTGGACCGGAGTGTGTGTTGACTCATTCCACTCCAGCGACTGGCTGGTTAACTATGCAGCAGCTAGTATCGTATGTCAACAACTTGGATATGAACGAGGAACACCCATCATCCAACAAGGGTAACCAAGTCTATTACCACAGCTCTTTAGTCTCACTATAATATAGTGGAATCTAGATACCAATTGGACGGACGAGAGGTCCGTAGAAGTGAGGTGTCTGAATGCAAATTGAGTGCAAGAACTATTCATATGTCGAGGGTGTCCTTAAAACAGTGCACCTCTCTCCTTCTCTCCTTCTCTCTACAGTATATCTACTGTGGCAATGGAGAGGAGAGTGGCGGGTAATCTCGGGTGCGTCCTTGGTCAGGATTTTAATCTCGACTCTTGCACAGTGGGGCGTGTAACTTGTGACATCAGCTCTGACCTACCTGCAGGGGGCGTGATCTGCTCCACAACCAGTCAGTAAAATCTCCAGACTTGAATACTGTCATAATCGCGAGATACGTGTGTAAGTATTCTTGATTGACCTGGCAAATAAGGATCATTGCAGGAATACTTATAGGGAAAAGGGAAGGACTAGCTTTGTTACTTTATATACTGGGCTTCCGACACCTGTAACGTGCAGAAGCTAGTTCTTTTATCGGTTCCTCCTGGCAGATGTATATACTGTCACCATACTTTGTGTATGTATGTATGTATGTATGTATGTATGTATGTATGTCTCAGGTGATGAAGATGGTAGTGTGCGGCTGGTAGGAGGAGACGGGAGATGTGGTGTGGTAGAGGTGGCCTACAATGGACGCTGGGGTACCATCTGTGATGACGGAGAGTGGGACATCGACGATGCTTCCATCGTCTGCAACCAACTTGGATATCCCGGACCTACTGCCAGCATATCTGACCAGTTAGCCATATACTTTCTCTGCTGTTTCTCATTTTGTGCACTGTCGAGTGAACATTGCCAGCTAATGGCTTCTCTATCTCTTCTTCTTCTCTCTCTCTTCCAGATATCCTGAATATTACAGTCAGTTCAACAAACCCACCTGGCTTGGTGGGGTGGAGTGCGATGACACCGATCTGGAAATCGACAGATGTCCCAGCTCCCCTCCCATTGGCTATTCCACCACTTGCTCTGGAAATGACACCAGCCGTGCAGAGGTTGAATGTTCCCAGGACCCTCCTCCCCCTGATGATGGGGGACTAAGTGGAGGGGCGATTGCCGGGATTGTCATTGGCTCCATCGTGGGGCTGGGGCTTATCGCCTACTTCATCCACTGGTGTGGGGAGGCCGAAAAGAAGAAGAAAGCTGCAGCTGCTGCCGAGGCCAGTCGGAGTCACGGCGAGGCTGTCGCAGCTCAGCAGAGGAGAGATAGAGAGGTTCAGCAGCGAAGAGACGAGGCTGCAGCACAGCGAGCTCTGGCCTCAGCTCAGCAACCACCAGTGAGATATCCCTAGAGCCCTTTTACTTTATTCCTCGCTTGTGTTCCCTTACTCTCTCTCTCTCTCTCATCCACACACACTCTCTCACACTCCACAGGCCCCAGCTGATAGTCAGCTGGAAGGGACAGAAGAAACAGCATTTCAAGATGCTGAGCTGGTCACTGCACCTCCTCCATCATACCAGGTGAACAACAGTCCATCAATGTAGCTGGAAACCATGGAATATTCCTCAATCCATGCATAACTCTCATTTCGCAGACTGCAGTTGCCTTCCCTGTGCCTGTTCCACCTCCTAATTACAGCTTAGAGAAGTCAGGGGCTTACCCATCCCAAAACTTTCCCTATCCCCCAGCAACAAGCTCTGGATTTGAGGCCTACCCTCCTCCATCTGCACCCTGTCTGGCTGACTATCCTGCACCACCAGTGGGCTTCAATCCGGCATACCCCCCTCCCAGTAATGGTGTATTAACTAATGTGCGTGCACTCATTATTCCCTCCCTCTCTCTGCCCTTTAGTGTGATGATGAAAAGACAATTAACATAGTGAACATTTTTGTCTGTCACGTGTGTAAATTTGCATGGTCATTGTTATGTATCACCAACAGACTTCCTGTTGTGACCGCATCCCACATTAGAGGCACGCGCTACTAAGATCATTACGTAAGTGGAATGGAGAGGGCGTAGCTCGTGTGTTGCCTCTGCATGCTTGAGCGCAATCATCGATAACTGTTGCGAATTGGGAGTATATACACATGACAGTTTGACGACCACTATACGGCCAAAGAGGGAGCTAGCTGGTCCTAGATCCACCATGAAATCTATATTGATAACGCTGCTCTTGGCCGTTTGCTGGTGGGCGTCAGCCAACGCTCAAGCAGGTGAGACTGTAGCTATCACAAGAGAGAGAAGTATGTAGCTAAGATAGGAGATAGCTATAGCGTTCAGTTGCAACTGTTCGCCTCGTCTCTAGTCTGCACTGGGTCCGTAAGGCTGGAGGGACTACTAGTGGCGGGAGCTGGGCGGGTGGAGCTGTGTCTGAACGGAGAGTGGGGCACCGTGTGCTCCATGAGCGAGCAGTGGGGACTCAAGAACGCTCAGGTCGCCTGCCGGAGCCTCGGCTACTACGCCGCAGTCACAGCTATTCCCCAAGAAAGGTGAGATATTCTTAGTTGAACTCTGGTAGACGGATGATTGAAGATAGACACAGAGGGCAGAAGGGAGCCAACTTTGTAAGGAGTTTGACTCATGACTGAAACTCCAGTGTGCTGAGCACTGGTCTAAAACTCCCAGACAAAAAGATGGTCTTTCCCTTTCCCCCTAAGTATAGATAATACTGCTATATAGTAATACTGCTGTCCTCTAAATAAGTCTGTGTTGAAAGAGCGCAGTGTGGGATATTGATTCTAGCACGTTTGGTAGAACACACTGAACCCCTACCCTCTCTCTCTCTCTCCCTACAGTCTGACAGTGTCACTCCGAGCAGCCCCGTCAGTCCCAATCCATCTGTCTGGTGTACAGTGCAATGGAACAGAGTCAAGTCTCACTGAGTGCTTCCACTCCACTGACGTCTCAGATTGCTCCGTCTCTCACTTCAACGACGTCGTGGTGGTCTGCGCCGCAGGTCTGAGGAATCATTTTGTTAATCCTAACTGCCGCGAAACTTGAAGTTCTATGCTGGCAAGTATCATTTGTATGCCAGAATGAACAAGTAATTAGAGAGTAACCCTAGAGAAATTACCTTTCTAGCTATCAAATTTTCGTCCAACATTCTCTTGAACCCTCTATATACCACAATGACAAGTATAATATCCATCCTCTCATTTCCCCACACCCCAGCTGGAACAACACCATCATTATTGACACCCGTTGCTGGGGATGTTAGGTTGCTAGGTGACCCGGCAGACTACCGGGGTGCAGTGGAATACTATGATGTCATTCTGGGGTGGACCGGGATATGTGCCGACTCCAGTTACTCCGCAGCGTGGATGGGCTCCCGAGCAGCTCAGATTGTCTGCACTCAGCTGGGGTTTGAAGGAGGAACACCTTTTGTACAGAGGTACGCAAATGTGGCTTAACCTGCCACGGACACAACAATTAGTCCAGAGCTCCATAAAAAAATTTAAAGAGGGGTTCTGATACTACATATAGGCACTAGTACTTTTACCTTAAGGAGATTTCCATGGCATCCAATGGGTTTAAGACAATCTAAAATTCTTTGTTTTGAGCCCTGACTGTATACTGAGATAGTAGAAGAGGTGCTCTGCTTCAAGTGTTGCTGGTTTAAATCCCATTCAGGACAGCTTCCTGAAGAGTTTTCCAAGGAGTAGTTGTGTCTTGTCTTTGCCTTGTGAACTCACAGTAGTCAATACTCAGCACCTTACTATAGCTGTGTTTGTTGTCACGGACTAAGGCCTCTGCTTACACTCTATAGAAGAGACCAACCATAGAGCTGGAAGGATTCTTGTTTGCCTAGGCGGAGTAATAGTTAGCAGAGTTCATGCCAGAGATTTATATATACCTAGTTATTACACAAAGATTGACTGAGCAAGTGCATTAGTATGTGGCAGAACCAAGTGTGTGTTGTTGAGAGCAGTCCTTTATTCTGAGGGTGTATACTTTTTTGGATGCTTCACTACTTCTTTGTTCTCCTCACTTCCCTCTAGTGCTCCATCCCTGGTCGAACTAGGAGTTGGTAGGATAGACTGCAGTGGGTCTGCGTTCACCCTCGCCGACTGCCAGAGAGAGGCTGTGGTGTTCTCCCAAGGCTCATGTGGCTCTCATGACGCCGGCTGGGTCGAGTGCCAGCAGACCGGTGAGACCTCTCTCTTCTTCCTTCTCTATTGTGTGAATCATCTGAATGAGAGACACCATTTGGCACATGTATACTTACTCAGTGGTGTCCCTTATTCAGAGGTATATACAGTACTACTACGGAACAAAATAGAATAGTGTGCTTTAAGAGGGTCCTTTTTCAGAGGTTTTACTTTTCCTTTTCCTTACGAACTCTTGTTCAGTAGCTTTTTCTCTCTTCAACCCATCGTCATCATCCACCAGGGCTGGGGGATTTCTCGGTGAGGTTGCTACCAGGGACTCGTGAGGGGGTAGTTGAGGTGTCCATCAATGGAAGGTGGGGGACGGTGTGCGACAATTCGTGGCAGCAGTCGGATGCCGAGGTGGTGTGCGATCAGTTGGGACTCGACTCGGAAAGTGTTCCCTCTACCATCCCCAGTACAAGGTCAGGTTCTGAATTACCTAACGGTGCAATAGGGCACAGTGCAAGGATACAGTAGGCTTCTGTTTTAGTAACCTTTCCACCTTTACTGCTGCATTCCCTTATTTGCACTGTGCATGCACTATCAATACTAATTGGTCTATGCGTGCATGCACACTACTGTACTTAAACATCAAATTTTCTAGGCATTCACAGCTAAGTCCTCCATAGATATACTTCCTTCAGGAATTAAGCGGACATGAAGCATCTCAGCTATAATAACAGAAATTTTGTTTCCCATGGTTCTGCTGCAGTTATGTGCAGTATGTGAGTCGTTTGAAGCCGTTCTGGTTGAGCAGTGTGGCGTGTAACGACGACAGTGGTCTTCAGGACTGCTCGAAGAGTTTTCTCATTGGCTACTCTCAGTTCTGCAGTCTCACCTCAAGTATCTTTGACAGTGCTGAAGTCAACTGTGGTAAGTCAGTGCAGTTGAAATCTATAGCCATTGAATCTTTAAATATTGTTAATCCATGATATTAATACCTATTTGTGTGTGTTGTCTGTATACAGGTCCCCCAGTTCCTGATCGACTGAGTGGTGGTGAGATAGCTGGGATCGTGCTGGCCGTCCTGACTGTAGTCGGTGCCCTTGTACTTGGATTCATCTACATCCCCGATAGGTGGAAGAGACGACACTCGTAAGTTTGGTCACCATAGCAACTAACTTGACCACACCCACCAATTAGTTTGCCATGGTGGGTCAAATAATAATATTCTCAAAACTGTTCAATACTCAGGTCGCCGTAGGATCATATAGTATGTCTAGTTTTTCACGTGAATATGGAAGAAACTGGCAGTCACCTAGTGGCTAAAATCAGGAATGTGATTTGTGTACACATTATAATGTAGAAGTGTTCTCTCTGACTCCTGTCAGGTATTCGTGGTACAGGAAACTGACCACGCCCAGTCGCTGGTGTGAGTATATAGGGGCGTGGTGTCGGAGACACACCCCCAGACGACCACGAGTACGACGTCATGTGACTCCTACCCCACCCACACCCACAACGACCAATGAGAATGGAGAATATCCTCCAGCCACAGTTGCCAATACCCCTGCTGCCACACAACAGGTAATTCTGCGCCTCATTGGTGTGTCAGGAGTTCAACTGTACCATCCTCTAGTCATTGGCCACTATCACTGAGACTAGTAGTGAGGATGACTTTGGGCCAGGGGGACCACCACAACCAACAGCTACTGAGTCCACTGCAGGCCAAGGATCAGATGGTGTTCTAACTTCAACTGCCCCGCCCCCTTATCAGGTATATATATATACCATAATCATACAGACTTTTCCAGAAGTTTACTGGAGTTAAATGGCCTTAAACTTCACGCAAAACTTCTTTTTCTGACACCCTATATACCACATTCAGTGCTTTATAATATCATGTGTATTATATCGTGGAGCATCCAATAGATATTGCATATTTCTAGACTGGAAATAGCTACCAGTGACTGACATAACTGAGTTTTCCTCCACTCACAGGCAGCAGTCAGTTACCCTCTTGCCATTGCTCCTCCTGCCTACTCAGGACCTCTGCCTCCCATTGGTTTCTCTGGCGTCAACCTGGCTGAAGGCAAGTTTTACACATGACACCATTGAGCTTCAGTGTGCAGTACTTATCTGCAATGTGCATAACATTTACTCTGCCACTTAACAAAATTTTGGAATTATTTTATGAGACGGTGCAAGTCTTTTTGCACAAGGATATAATCTCCCTATTTCCTGCAGAAAAAGCTCTACCATACCCCACAGCAGTTGGCACTGATCCTGCCTACCCTCCCCCTCTCCAAGGTACGTCTGATGTCTACTGATAATCTGCTAATTACAGGGTTCTCCCCTCCCTTCTCTTCTGCTGTAGGTCAAGAACAGAGCCTGCCATATCCCAGCTGAGAGAAGATGTTTTGTAAACTTCTTTTTACACTTTTTTAGTCATTAATAATTTTTTTTCATTACGCAACGGCTATTAGAGTTGACGCATGCGCAGGAGTGTGCATGGAAGATGTCGGTGTATTTGGACTACAACGCGACGTGTCCGCTGGCTCCCGAGGTGCTGGAGGCCATTACTACTGCCCTCAGAGACGGTTGGGCCAACCCTAACAGCAGTCACACTGCTGGTGAGCGTTCCATGCCAGAAACCCTCTCGACTTGTACTGCAACACGTCATCCTTAGTCCTAGCATGCGACATTTGTCTTGCTGTGTGTGTGTGCAGGCAAGTTGGCTCGAGGCTTCATCGACAAAGCTCGCGAGCAAGTGGCCAGAATGATAAACTGTCAGGCAGAAGGCAAGCGCTATACATGCCACGCCCACCTTTCTTGTGCGCATGCGTGTCACAAGGTTACTTTCTCTTTCAGATATTTTGTTTACCTCTGGAGGGACAGAGGTATAATGATGTACACATTTCCTGTGTAGTGCTAGCAGTTCTTTCTCCTCCTACAGAGCAATAACATGGTTCTCACTTCTGCCCTCCGTTTCTGGGGGAACAAGGAGGGAAAGGGGAAACCCCACATAATTACCAGTAATCTGGAACACGACTCAGTTGCCAAGTGCCTAGAGAGACTAGAAAAAGATGGTCAGGCAGGTAACTGGATTCCTACTGTCCCGTCTCATGTGCAGTCGTAGAACAAGCTTTGAATGTGAGTCTGTTTTAATGTTTGGCATGCGAAACACCTCATTGGTTTAGCTTGTTATGTGCAGTATTGCAAACAGCAGTTCTGGTGTAGTATGATTCTGCTGTAGAGATTTCAACAAAACATATTAAAGTTGAAAGTTGAAGCGATGTTTCATTTTCTGTTGCATATCATAACAGAGGTGTCGGTGGTAGGAGCCAGTGGAGAGAATGGAGCTGTGAGAGTGGGGGGTGTCGTGGCAGCCATTAAACCTTCCACTGTACTCATCTCTATCATGTTGGCCCAGAATGAAACTGGTTAGTCGGGAGGAAATGAGGGGAGTACAGTGGAACCCCTCTAATCAGGGGACCAATGAGACAGAAGAAAGTGTTCATATTACTGAGGTGTACAGAACAAAATAAAGCATCCATATTAGTGGGGCGTGTCCCTATTATTTCAGGGGTTAAGTTGCACGACGGAACTGTTCTTAGGGAAAGAAAAGGTGTCCTTACTAGAGAGGTGTCCTCATTTCAGTGGTGTTCTGAGAGAGAGGTGTTCCAATATGTACATAGAAAGAGAAAGAGAAGAGAGAAGGTGAAAGAAGGGAGGTGGTAGAGTGTTTGTGTTGTGCTCAGGAGTGCTGCAGCCCGTCAGGGAACTGGTGAAGGCTGTCAGGGAGTTTGAGGCGTCCACAGAGAGAAGACAGAGAATTTTCATTCACACCGACGCAGCTCAGGTCAGACCCTTCCCCACAAACTCGACTATCACGATTGCTGGAACTTTCAGAGAGAAAAATAGTTTTAAGTCACCTGGTTTTTCCTCCAAAGTTAAAAAGGGGAATAAAACGTGCCGACAAGTGACTTCGTGCAGTGATGGGTCCCTTCACAACCTCTGACCTCTGACTGTGTGTCTGATGTCTTACAATGTTTCCTCCACATTTCCAATGACTTCGAGGTTCCACTGTATGTACTACTCACAGGCATTGGGTAAGGTGAAGGTGGACGTAGAAGAAATGGAGGTGGACTATCTGACTATTGTTGGACACAAGTTCTACGGACCTCGCGTGGGGGCCTTGTATTGCAGGGGTCTCGGGGGGAATTTGAGGGGTGACCCCTCGTTAAGGGGGGCTCCGCTGACCCCCCTACTCTGGGGAGGGGGGCAGGAGAGGGGACTGCGATCAGGGTGAGGGTAAATAACTCTCACTCCCATAATTATTTACTCTATTTATAGAACAGAGAACACTGGAATGATTGCGGGACTTGGGAAGGTGACGTCACTATCATGATGTAATCATTACATCATTGTGTTGGTAGGCATGTGAGCTGGTTGCAGTTAATGTGGACAGTTATCATGATCATATGCAGACTGTTAGGAATTACCTGGAGCAGAAGTTGGAGGTATGTACACTCTGCCAAACAACAGTATCCAGGAACCTCTCTATGAGGACACCCCTGCAATAAGCTAGGACACCTCTCTAATAAGGCCACCTTTTCTTTTCCACAAGAACGATTCTTGCACACAATTTAACCCCTGAACAACTGATATGGACACTTTACTCTGTCCATTGGTGTCTGGATATATATTATGAGGAGTTCTGTTGCAGGAAACATTTGGTGAGAATGTTTGTTTCAATTGCTGCCATGGCAACACCAGCGAGCGACTTCCAAACACCAGTAACTTCTCTCTGGTTGGCAAGGCAATGATAGGTAAGTATTGGGGGTAGCCCTTGGTATGATGTCATTGATTACATTCTCTGTGTTTCAGGTCCACGTGTAATGGCTGCTCTAAAGAAAACCCAAGTCAGTGTCGGTGCAGCTTGCCACTCTCCCTCAGAGGACAGGTAAATCCCTGTCCTATAGGACGACTTAGCTGGGTGAGCCTCTGTCCTGTAGGACAAGACTTAGTCGGTACAGCTTGCCACTCTCCCTCAGAGGACAGGTAAATCCCTGTCCTATAGGACGACTTAGCTGGGCGAGCCTCTGTCCTGTAGGACAAGACTTAGTCGGTGCAGCTTGCCACTCCCCCTCAGAGGACAGGTAAATCCCTGTCCTATAGGACGACTTAGCTGGGTGAGCCTCTGTCCTGTAGGACAAGACTTAGCTGCTCTATGATGAAGCTTTGGCAAAACCCACAGTTCCTTACTAAAGTTTATTGTCCCAAGCTTTTTCTATGGCAATCCAACGGCACATATTAAAACTAATTGACCTGTACTACTTGATATCACACGTGATTCCATTCACCCAACATACAATACCTCCTAATGCAGACCTTCTCCAATATTGCTGGGATCTGGAGTGACACGAGGCATGGCAGTGAATGCCCTGAGGGTGAGTGTGGGGAGAGACACCACCACCTCTGATATTGACACCTTCATCTCTGACCTCGTTGGTGCACGGGAGGCCATCCTAGGAGATCATGTGACTTCCCACCACAACTGACCAATCAGATCACTGCAGTCATGTGAGTGTATACTGAACGATCATATTAATTGTTACAGTCATCACACAAAATATGACATCATCTATAATTATGCGAAAGTGTTTTTAGTCTCCGCTGTGAATGAGGTACCACGTTATTGTTTTCGGCTCCATCGCCATGGCAACCGCAATATTATACTCCCGATCAAGGTCAAAGGTGACCGGATTCCCTCCTTCGTGGGTTACAATTGCCTGTGAAGACAGAACCCCCCAATTAGAGCCACTAATTAACCCGTAATTGAGTTTACCTTGTTAGATATTCCAGTGTAATAGAGAGGGAGGGAGAGAGTGAAATTGAGGCTGGTGGACGTGGGGTTGAAAACTACAGCTAGCCCTCGGTTGGTGATGAAGGGGTTAACGTGAAGAATGCAATCAAAATCTAGAGGAGAGAGAAAGTAGTGTGTTTATTGCCATTCTGTTCTGCGGTATATACCTTGCATATCTGGTCTTCGGACGTGCACGATGTCGCTGGTTACAATGCCACGGTATTTCTTATAAAAGTCCACCCATTTCCCAGCCACGCCCATTGTTTGGACGTTGTCATAGAGACGAGGACCTCTGTAGCATGCAGCCACACCGTAAGAGAGGTATTGTGCCAGTGCCCACTCATACTCCAGGAGGTAGCGAGACATGGGGTCAAACTCTGCTGCCTCGCCACCTGTATGTAGGAGAAAACACGAAATTTTGGAGAAGAGTTGTATAGTTGGAGGAGAAATGTTGGAGAAGAGTTATAGTTGGAAGGCAAAAGTTTGTTGAGGAAAGAGCAGACTTCAGTGTGAAATAGAGGGAAATTAGAAAGTTTGAAGCAAGATATGGGTGAAAGGCGAACAATCTGAGTGATATATAGTGGGGAAGAGAGAGATAGCTACGGACCTCCGTGGTACTGGATGAGAGGGACCTGCATCCAGCCCTGTGTGGGGAGGTGGTAGTAGGTGTCGTCGTACATTCCTTGCCGACTGACGGACAAGTCCTGCCAACGGGGCAAGTTGTACTGGTCCTCGTTGTACCCCATCCCCACCTTGTTCCCTCCCTGGAAGAAATAGCCGTCCGGTTGGTTAACAAAGATGTTCATCTGCTTCAACTGGTGGTACAGCTCTATCTGCAGTCTGTTCTGTTGGAAGACGGAGTCATCGTAGCTAGAGTGGTGGGTGTGGTTGTGGGCGGAGCAAGTCTGTCCGCCATAAGGTCCGTCAGTCTCCAACATAGACATACCTGTCTTGTTAATAAAGTTGAAGATGATGTCATGAATGTGGTCGTACCTGGACAGAGAGAATGAAAGTAGGGACATGAAATTCTACATCTGTCCAACTTGGAATACACATACATACATACATACATAGGTCTCCAAACTGTGAAAATTGATGCATTATTACACACCTGCTCAGACTGACTGCGGTACAGACAATATCCCCACTGCTCAGACTGACTGCGGTACAGACAATATCCCCACTGCTCAGACTGACTGCGGTACAGACAATATCCCCACTGCTCAGCCTGACTGCGGTACAGACAATATCCCCACTGCTCAGACTGACTGCGGTACAGACAATATCCCCACTGCTCAGACTGACTGCGGTACAGACAATATCCCCACTGCTCAGACTGACTGCGGTACAGACAATATCCCCACTGCTCAGACTGACTGCGGTACAGACAATATCCCCACTGCTCAGACTGACTGCGGTACAGACAATATCCCCACTGCTCAGACTGACTGCGGTACAGACAATATCCCCACTGCTCAGACTGACTGCGGTACAGACAATATCCCCACTGCTCAGACTGACTGCGGTACAGACAATATCCCCACTGCTCAGACTGACTGCGGTACAGACAATATCCCCACTGCTCAGACTGACTGCGGTACAGACAATATCCCCACTGCTCAGACTGACTGCGGTACAGACAATATCCCCACTGCTCAGACTGACTGCGGTACAGACAATATCCCCACTGCTCAGACTGACTGCGGTACAGACAATATCCCCACTGCTCAGACTGACTGCGGTACAGACAATATCCCCACTGCTCAGACTGACTGCGGTACAGACAATATCCCCACTGCTCAGACTGACTGCGGTACAGACAATATCCCCACTGCTCAGACTGACTGCGGTACAGACAATATCCCCACTGCTCAGACTGACTGCGGTACAGACAATATCCCCACTGCTCAGACTGACTGCGGTACAGACAATATCCCCACTGCTCAGACTGACTGCGGTACAGACAATATCCCCACTGCTCAGACTGACTGCGGTACAGACAATATCCCCACTGCTCAGACTGACTGCGGTACAGACAATATCCCCACTGCTCAGACTGACTGCGGTACAGACAATATCCCCACTGCTCAGACTGACTGCGGTACAGACAATATCCCCACTGCTCAGACTGACTGCGGTACAGACAATATCCCCCACTGCTCAGACTGACTGCGGTACAGAACAATATCCCCACTGCTCAGACTGACTGCGGTACAGACAATATCCCCACTGCTCAGACTGACGCGGTACAACAATCCCCACTGCTTAACTGACTGAGGTACAGACAATATCCCCACTGCTCAGACTGACTGCGGTACAGACAATATCCCCACTGCTCAGACTGACTGCGGTACAGACAATATCCCCACTGCTCAGACTGACTGCGGTACAGACAATATCCCCACTGCTCAGACTGACTGCGGTACAGACAATATCCCCACTGCTCAGACTGACTGCGGTACAGACAATATCCCCACTGCTCAGACTGACTGCGGTACAGACAATATCCCCACTGCTCAGACTGACTGAGGTACAGACAATATCCCCACTGCTCAGACTGACTGCGGTACAGACAATATCCCCACTGGGAAGTTTTAACTCCATTGCATGGTGGTTTATGAATAAGCCATCGCAAGTAATTATCATTAATGAGTGGGAAAGAGTGGCTGGTGAAAAAAAGGGGGGAAATGGTGACGGAACTTGGGAGCTTGGATTAAACTATATGCTAACAGTAAACTAGTGTGTATTACAATAGTGAGACTGACCATCCGGAGGCGAAGCAGCCATCTCCAGTGACTCTCCCCTGGGTGTCAATACAGTCCCAGTCCGGACCCAGCCCACCTCTGTCCAGATCAATGAGGTCATATCTGTAACAGATTACATCATCACACAACCATCACTACTTCAAACAATGAAAACCCTCGGCGCACTAGAAATGTCAAACTTATGCACATGTGCGATACCACTAAATGATAGGCTTGGCTATATGTATGTGTTGTCCATTTACTCTCTGGTACACCTTAGCTGTGTATGTGTGCCTAAAGTAAATGGAAGCACAATTGAGAGACCACTTACACATAATACTGGTATATACGCAGAGCATTGATAGAGGAAAAGGCCCAACTCACCCCCCGACCTCGATGTTGTACTGGTGAGCCAGAGAGACCTGCTGGGCTATACTCTGAATGTAGACTGGATCTGTGTTCTCCAGAGTGAATCCTGACCCAAAACTGAGGCACAGACAAAAGTAAAATTGAGATGAGAGAGACAAGAGAAAGCATAAATTTTCAAGAAAGTTCAGCTTTTTTGGAGTGAAGAAGTCAGATAAATAGAAGAACGACAGAATTGGTGCAAAATCTTGAACTCATTTTGCACAACAATTTGATGATTCTGATTAGAGAGATCTGTCATGGTATACCTACATACCTGTAGATGTACATCTCAAAACCAACTGCTGCTAGCTGCTCAACAGCAATCTTGAAACCCTGCAGGAATTACAAAACAGAACGAGAGAGAGTGAGATTAGACAGAGATAGCTGCCTGCCTGTGGGGTGTGGTCAGTTCCGTGAAAGAAGATGGGGTTCTCCTGAGTCTCAGGTGCCAGAAGACGAGTCATTCTGTGTCGACTCAGCGCCACCCTCTCCCTGTCATCACTGTCTGTCACCAACTCCAACACTCTGAATGAATCCACACTCTTCAAAACTCTACCGTCCCCAGAACTGTTCCCCAGCTGAAATGACGCTCCGCTGGTGGAGTAGCTGCAGACAAGGACTTGTTCATCTGCTCCGTAATCCACAGCAGCGTGTGAGTCTGCCACCCAGATACAGTCTGAGCCATGTGGTTGGTCGGTCTGTACGTACAGCCAGGAGCTAGTGGGCCCCGTGTCACTGTGGCTGACTGGTAGAGGGTGCTGGCTGCGGTCCAGCAAATTGTAGGGTTTTTGTGTTGCAAGAACCTCGACAGCGAGACTATCTACTGTTATGGGTCCCCTGCTGGAAGTGTTTTGGTAGTCTAGAGTTACCCATTTCGCAAGGAGAGGTATCCCCACGTACATCTCGTAGTGGACTGTCAGGGCTAGTCCAGAGTGGTCGTGTTTTGCGGAGGGCGGGGGTAGGAAGAAGACTGAGAGACGGAGCCCCTGTGGAGGCCAGGGAGACGTGAGCGGGGAGTGTCGAAGGCCCGGCTCCAGTGAAACGGAGCCGTGGGAGCTGAGCAGTTGTAGCCTGCATACTGGAAGGTGCTGGGGTCGGAGGAAAAGGAGAGCAGAGACCTGTTCAGGTAGGCGTGCGTGTCCGAGTTGGCTCGGAGTCCGCCGACTCCGTATTGTACACCGTCCAGCGTCAGCTTCGCCTCGTCGTTGACTGCTCTGAGGAGAGAGCGAGAGGCCAGCTCGCTGCGGTAGTCAGTGGCACCGAAGGCCGGGGAGAGACTGAACTGACGAGTAATGAGGCCATTGGACAGCGTCAGAGTATTTCCCGACGTCTCCACTGCTGTTACCTAGTAAGGGGGCGGGGCTAGTAAGCTGCTGAACGATCGAGTGATAGACCTTCGTGGTGATGTTGGTGATGAGCCAGTCGCTACCACTGGCAGCCTCAGATGAGAGCTCCACACAACTGACGGCCGCCAGGACCCAGATGAACAGCCTCGCCTTTCCCCTTGTCTTCTCCATTTTGCTGATGCGCACTTCTCGTACGCGCATGCGTAGCACGATCGAATTGCCAACTGGTCACTTTTTCCAACATGCAAAACTTTGCTTTGCAATTTACGATTATTATTATGTTATTGAAAAGCTAATTGTGAGATGTGGGTGTGTCCATGTTTGTATGAGTGTGCATGTTGTCGACTGCACCAGTCTCCAGGAGAGTGTCTCGACTGACATCAGAGTAAGATGGAGGACACACGAACCCTCCACTCTCTCTCCCTCCCCTCGCAGGAGGAGGGGGTGTGGTCTGCGACCCCTTGTGCCTCCTCCATCGCGACCACGCCACTAGAATTACGACATTCAGAAGAACAGCTAGACCCAGTACCACCAGCTGGACTGCACCAAAACTCATTATCACATCCAGTGACACAGAGGAAGAACACTCATCTTGAGACGGTTCCTGAGCTGAGAAAGGATAACAAGAAGCAATTAGCATAGAAAGATAATTCATGGAAGAGATTTACGATTTGCGGAACGGATGTGTGTTTTGAGATTTGCAATAAAACGATTTGCAATTTGTGAGAAGCCCTTATAGCCCACCAGGGAAGGTGCACCCAGCCAGTTAAAGAGAGACAGAGACACCATCATTAACCCTCGGCGCGCATGCCCGGTTCGTATCCCGATCCCGCACTAAAGTGTCAGGTGGTCCAGAGCATTGGCTGGGAACAGCTCTGGTTCCTCCCCTTACCCACAAATCTACCACTGACCCATGTTTCTCAAAGGGCAGCGTATAGTTCGGCATTGCACTACGTCCGTAGACGTCTGTCGAAGGGCTGGCCGTTTAAAAAAAAATATATTTTCAACCTAGGTTGTTTTTTTTGCACTAAACAATCCACAGGTAATACGAAAATTAATAGAGAGATGAAAGGTTGGCAATTTTTCAACCTTATATATTTTTTTGGCGTCAAACAGATAATAGGGCTGGCCTTTTTTTTGATAATAATCCATGGAAATGGTGCATAACATGCTGTTCTTTTTTATGCATGGTCAAGACCATCAATTGTGGTGGTGCCACACTTGTGTATGGGTTCCACATTTCTATAGAGTGTGCCGCTTTTCATTGTAAGAGGTAAGAGGACAACATTACACAAAAATGTCATAGGAAGCCACAATTTTTGGTAGTGGACTCATATAATCACTGAACTAATTGTGGTTTCCTGAGGGACAGTCCTTATATTAAACCTTCATACAATAATTTGGGAAATCACCACTGGCTGAGTCTGAGCTGCAGTCCACTGAGGCGTAGGTTGCAGTGCGACACTCTGAGGAATAGAGAGTGCGATTGCAGGCAAGGAGAGAGACCTCGCTCCCTGAGCAACGGACATAGTTGATTCTCTGCTGCGGCAGTTTCCTGATGACACTAGCATGAGGCCTGCCGAGATTGAACAACAGAACTCATTGGGACCCAGAGCACTCGAGGGTCAACTTAGGTTACTAATACGGACTGTATAAACAATAAAAAAGAAAAATCAGGCTCAGAAAGACGCTAATGTAAAAGGGTTGAACTTGGGACTGTTGATTTCATAGCCCACTGCATTAACGTCTGTGCGTAATCATATGTTTTGCATCTGTTGATGAAACTGGAGTTCTAAAAGGTCTCCTCCTAGTTTCATTGTTAGGGCACACCCTCTGCCTGTCTCTTACATCAATTTTACCCTCTTGCTTGCATGTTTATGGGAGGCTGAAAGCTAATGACCCATATTAGTGGGAATGCTCAAAGTGACAATCATTTTGCTGTGCACGAATACGAATGAGCACAGCTTTCGTATTCCATCCTCTACATGTCAGTACCATTTTATATGAGGAAGTGGATGGATTTGGGAGTAAGATTAAATGATGCAAGTTATGGTGGTTCCAGAGAATTACCCACCATCTCCCACTGAGGATAGTTGGCTACTAGCTACACTCAGCGATGTGTGGTCTGGTATATATAGGAGGGTAAATTCCCTCTATTATTACACTTCAACGCTTTTGATGTTTGGCTAAATCTCACTCTAGTTACGTCTCTAATATACACTGTGGTAGTCTCTCGTGTCTGGAACACATTTTTATTGCAGAGTTTGCAAGCCCTTCTCAACACTTGTGACATCACCTCTTTTGCTATTGTTAACTCTAGCTACATACCCACTCTAGTCTCTAACACCATACTCTGTTGCAGTCTCGTGTCTGAGGTAACAATTTCAGTCCAGCTGGAAATATTATTGCAGAGTTTGCAAGCTTCCCTAAGCACTATCAAGTGGATCAAAAACCCCACCAAGTTGCCAGGTGTATATAGGTAGGTAAACATGAGAATGCAGAGAACTCCCCTTTTTGTGCACCAATAAAAAGGTGAGCTGTCCCTTTTTCAGGAGTTAATTGCATGTAAGGAACTGTTCTTGGGGAAGGAAAAGTGTTCTTATTAGTCATTTGCCCCAGAACCATTATTATTGTATTGTTCAACACACAATAGTGCAGTTGCTCACTTGGTAAAGGTTGGAGTACCAGTGGAGTACCCCAATTGCCAGCAGATTACCCCGGAGTCCTCTTTACTCCAGTCATCAGTACACACCCCGACCCACTCACTCCCCATGTACACCTCCACCACTCCACTGGTCTCTCCTCCCCTCTCATCACCAACATGAATCAACCTCACACTCCCCTCTCCCGGATCTAAGTAAACCAAAATCATACCAGTATTTCCCCTTTGCTATATTATACTTATTCATGTGTGACAGCAGTGTATATATACATAAGAAACCAACCACTTGAAAATATGTTTACTTATGGGGCGGGGGCGGTAGTGTGACAGACGAGTTTCATATATAGCACCCAAAAAGTTTATGTATATAGTTGAATTGTTTGATATGCATTTGCCTCGTGTTGGTTAATGCTGTACACAGTTTTGAATGCCAAACACTTGGTTTCGTGTTCATCGTTCACATAATAGCTTACTGTTTATGCACATGACAATTGGAGGAGGCCCATGGCAATTAGTGGTGGTCTGATTGGTATGGCAGTCAGCCACAGAGGTCTCCAGTCCAGTACAGGTTATTACACGACTGCTACTGTTACTGCTGCCAGGGGATACTGCCAACCTGATGAACACAAATCAAAGCTCAAGATCAGATATCAGTCTCTAAATTCTGGCATTTCAGGTGCCAAATTCTTTCCATCCCTTCCCCCCATAACCCCTCAGTCCTCTAGTACGTGAGTTTCATGAGCATGCAGCTAAGTGCCAACATGAAGAGTTTCCCTACTGCAGGAAACCAAGTATTCCCTACAGTCCCCGTTTCTCTAGACACCTGAGCCCCTTTCCACCCTGATTGGTTGATGAAAGGAAGTAGCTATAGACATATATACTTCAACAGTTTTGCAGCTATTGTTTCTTCCAAATGCAAATGTTTGGGCATAATCTATTGCAACACAGCTGTACGTTACAATATGTGCCAGGTGTTATTGTAGCATTGCAACAGCTCACCGGTCAGTTGTGGTGACGACAGCCCCGTTCGAGAAGCCCAGTTCTCGACAAACAACGACTGCATTGCTCTCTCTCCACCGCCCTGAGCTACTGCACGCGTCTCTCCACTCTCCCCCTTCACAGATCTGGACTCTGCCAACTTCCCGCGACCCCAGCCCCTCCAGACGAACCGCAGACTCTGGGCATCCTGCAAACAAGCAGATGATATTCGAGATTGCAGTCCAGCTGCACCATTGCGGAGGAAAACGTTGCGCGTACCTTCAGTCCTTACTGCAGCAAAAGCAGTTGCAATACTGAAAGCAAGAAATGCAGACAGCTTCATGTTTGCTGGATCCTTGCGAATGCAGACTGCCAACCCGCGTTCTTTTATGTCCGCAGAGCCTCGCGATCGAGGGCGGGCTCTTGCTTGTTATGCGCAGAAATGTAGATTGTGTACTGCGCAACTTCCGGCTGTCTGCATATGCATGCTGCGCGCATGTGCGCCTGCCGCCCCACCCGGTGTCGCGGTACATTTCATCCCCCGAATTTTTATCCGGCCGGATAGGATATTCTATCCCCCTGGCTAAATTTTCCTAGGATATTCTATCCGCACCCGGGATATTTTATACCCCGTGCTATGCGTTATTAGGAGTGTCTAAACGCAGGCGGGGTGTGTTGTTTTGAGGTTCTGTGGGGGATTTCAACGTTACAGAATGCGATGACAGCCTTGCTTGGAGTTACACCAGCGGACTGTAGAACACTACCGGATATCCCAGCGAGCGTGGGGCTCAGGTTCGCAGGTGAAGGCGAGCAGACCCGCGCAACCGCTGTGTCTCGAAGAGAAAGAGAGTGCAGTCGTGCAGATTCAACTCAGTATGAGCAGCGACGGCGCCAACAAAATGGTCCCGCGCGTTTAGATGCGCAACCGTATGCGCAGAAACTTTTCTTATTAGAGGGATAAAATATCCGGACCCCGGATATTCCACACTAAGAGTATTCTATCCGGCCGGATAGAATATACTATCCCCCGGATAAAATACACGGGGGATAAAATATACTGTGACACCGGCCACGGCCACCAGCACCCGTACCCCGGCCACCCGGTATGCATAATTATGGATCGGAGGGGGCGTGTCAACCCCCTCAACAAACACAGAAGGGTCACAAGGCCGCGGGAAGGTGAAGACGTTACACGGTGATGGGGACGGTGCAAAGCGACGTAGCTGGTGTGGAAGAAACAGAAACGGGCAGCGACTATGTCCTCGTCTCGACGGAAGCCGAGAAGACTCTGTCATTTGACCCATCACAGAGCTACCTGGTGGCCTTCTGTATCAACCGCCAGACGTCTCCTCGCTTCCGCCACCGACAGCTGAACGATACCGTCGTCAACGACTCGTTCAAGGTCATGTCTGCCCTGCACGAGAGCGGAGCGCTGCCTCGCGACAATTCCAACCTGATCCAAGCCAGCATCGAGCCGCAGGACTGCACCTTTCAGGGCATGAAGAAGGCCTTCCAGAGAGAGGCGCGAAAGGTGGGGGAGGGTGGCGCGTTCTTTTTCCACTTCTCCGGCCACGGGATCCGAGTCAACAACGACCAGTTCGGCCTGGCGCCGGTGGATTTCGACTACACCACGGACACCTACGTCACTGCCAGCGTATTGAGTCAGTGGCTCTGTGAAGCACAGTGCAAGGCAAAGTTCGTACTCTTCACCATCGACTGCTGCTACGCGGGGGGGATAGCGGAGGCCCTCACGGGAGGCTCTGATATTCTCACCCCATATCCCGGGCTCTATGTCATGGCTTCCTGCACGGCCAACGAAGTATCGGTCATCATTGGAACACTCGGCAATTCCATCTTCTGCTACTTCCTCGCCCACTCCATATCTACGACTCACTCATCTCCGGGACAGTTTCCCATCCAGCGAATCTTTGACAAGTGCAAGAAGCTGTCCATTGCGCTGTCTTCCCTCTTGCTCAGCTATGAGAAGACAAGTGGACTCCACTGGAGGACCATGCAACCAGAACTGACTCACTCAACACTATCTGAGACCGTTCTGCAGTTCACAGGCGAAGGAAGCGAAGATGAACAAGTAGATGCCGGTATTATGAGGTTCAACTACGCCACAGAGCTCTATGATTTCGCTGGTGGTAGAGAAGGAGTGAGCAGGCTGGACCAGAAGTGTCTGACTTGGCTCGAGATGACATATTCAGACTCAAACGGAGGACTGGTCCAACTGAAAGAGGAGGGGGTCTTGGGAAGAGATCGTTGCCTCACTGATACTGTCCTCTGTTGCATGCTCCGCAGCGTAGCCAGTATCCAACTTGCCTGCGATCAATCAACCGTTGCTACACCAAACCTCTACATCACCTCCTACATGCACGTGGTGGCAGCCATAGACATAGTTCAGTGTGGGGCTCAGTTTCAGGAGAGAGAGTTTGCTCTAGGTCTGGCGTACTACCTCGACTGTCTCCTACTGTCTGGTCTCAACATGCAGCCTCTGAAACAGATCTATCACCGTCTCCTAGGCAACCTCCGTGCCAAGCTAGCCGCCGAGACTGAAAAGGAAATGACAGATTCCGGAGATATGGTCAGTGTAATAATAACTAAACACTTTCAAGACAAAGTCAAAAAACTTTCGTCTAAACTCCTTGCAAGAATTGCGTGCGAATTCTTTAGTCTTCAAATCAACATCTTCATTCCTGCTTGTCTTACAGTATTACTAGGAAACCTCTGTGTCACATAGGAAACAGGTGCAGCATGTGTCACCAACGAGATCACCGGCAACTAGCTACATGCATGCACATTCTCAACCAAATGCAGTGCACAGCTGTATTGTGACTTGTGTAGGTGGCACTGTCTGTGCATGTAACTGTATGACCAATTGACTGAGCACCACATCATCCCATTATGTAACAGTTGCAGCAGTCGGAGGTACATCTTGGTCCAGCCTCTGTCTCTACCGCACTACTTACTTGGCCCACCATTCAGAGATGGACACCTCTGGAGCCACACCCACTAGAACAATAGACCACACCTACTGGTACAATAGACCACGTCCCCTCTCTCATTCTGTCAATGACTCACATTTGATGATAGTGATGATAATGCTCTCAGCTGTTATTTATTTATTCCTGCTGTATTTATGATGTAATAATGTTTTCAACTTGCTGTTGACAATAGTCCTAAAGTTAGCAGACACGTGCACCTTACTGTGGCAGAAACATTATTCATACTATGGCGAGTCACATGGCTACTCTTATCACACCTTTAAAGGACATACAGAGGTGACACGCGTGGCTCTGGGCTTTATAAAGAGCTGCTGCCCTGTTAGCTAGCTTGCACAGTAAACAGTCGATTTGAGTTAGCTATATAGTTGTAGTTGCTTACACTCTTTGGGAAGGAATGGCACACATTTTGCCAGGCAGCGATGGACACTACTTACTGGCTGTAAACAGACAGCTCTCTCACATCAAGTACGACGTCAGTCAGAGCTTCATGCTCAGCTGTGGGTCCAGAGGCTACAGGTCTAGTGCCAGAGATGCTGGACTGTTGTCATCGGCACTGGCGGAGGCTGGACTACTGGAGAGAGCACACCTCAGACTGTGTTGCAGTGACGAGGAATGCACATCAGATGCAATGCAGTCTGCCTTCAAGACACAGGCAAGTCGAGTGAGGGAAAACGGACTATTCCTCTTCTCCTATCATGGTCCTGAGATCTCCTGCACTACAATCCAGAGCTGGCTCCGGGCAGTTTCCCCCCAGCCTCCGAAACAAGTTGTCTTCTTTCTTGATTCTCCGTCTGCCATTGAAACAGCCAAGAGCCTCACTAACCCTCTGGCAGTAGTGACTGGCATCGAGAAATTCTGTGTCTTTTGTGCCAACCCTCAGCCGTGCTCCTCCGAGTTGACCAGCACTCTTGGTCACTCTCTGTTCTCCTTCTTCACAGCCCGAGCCATCAGGAAGTGTACGCCAACACCAAACCACCTTTCACAGAGGCTTCTTTACGTCTCGGACATCAGCAGTCTAGTCAGGGAGTGCTGTGCAGCAGTTAGGTCTCTGTGTGTGTCAGAGACAGACAGTTCTGGTCCAGGGGTGATGAGTCTCAGAACACAACCCCTGAGACTACTGCAGCAATATCAGGACGATGGATCTGTGGGTGGTGAAGACATGATTGATGGAGCAGAGGAAGAAGAGGAGGGAGAGGATGAGGTGGATGGGTCTACAGTTGCAAGGTTCAGCTTCGTAGGGAAGTTCTACCAGACTCGGCGAAAGAAGAAGAGACCGAAACTCTGTGACATGGCACACCGCTGGCTGGAGTACCTCAAGCACGGAGACACGAGTCCTCTACACATCCTCCACAATCACGAGCTACTGTGCGAGATGTTTACAGGCCTCCTCAGACTCCTGGTCTACAGCTTGGCTCTCATGCAAGACACACAGGAACACACTAACACTGGAGACCCAAATACAGTGATTGTGGTGTATGTACAGGCAGTAGGGGTGCTGGAGCTTGTAGCTGCCACGGAGCTGCCAGCTAGTGCAGAGCAGTTCGCACTGTGCTGCGAGGCGTACTGCCTGGCACTTGAGCAGAGGAAAGCCAACACTTCAAAAGTCAAGGAACTCGCCAAGAAAGTGATCAAAGAGAACAAGTAGCTGTATAATTATACAAACAGTGGACACACAAGCACATTATTGTTTGTTCAGACAACAAGTTTCATAATGTGTTCCTTTCTCTAGTTGAGTTCACAGTAGCTCCATATGCCGGCACAGCTGGAGATGGTGGTGGAGAGCTCCCCTCTTCAAACGAGCCTCGAAGGAAGGTTGTTCTCACTGAAACTACTAGACAACTGCAGTCGGTACTCGGCAGACTGATTCTGAGCTAGAGGCACGTAGTGACTGAGTTTCCCCACCCACCGGTGCCTGCGAATCTTTTTAAACTTCATTCCAGCCTTAAGCAGCAGCACAACTGCCATATAGACGAGAGGTAGGTAAATGAGAAACACCTGAAAGTACGAGACTGTAACGATGGTTTCCTCCACCCCATTCTGTGCCCAGTAGAAATTGTAGATACTCAGACCATTAATAATGGCTAGGTCGGCAAATATAGTAGTATTGAGAACGTTGAAGAACGGGTTCTGGTAGGGCTGGATAATGGCGTGCACAGCCAGCATGATGATAACTATGATCTCCAAAGTGAAGTATAACTCCATCCCGCTGTCAGCAAGAGCAAAAGCCATCGATATCACGAGGCGAAATAAAGTAGAGGCCAGCGAAATAGCGACAGTTGTCCTTAAAGCAACTCTGGAAGGAGTCAAAGAATGGAGTGAGTCGAGTTTTCCACACGGACAAGAAAGCCATTTTCTCACGTTCTTCACCTGTATCGTCTGACTTCTTCCCACAGTACTTGGTGAGTGCTGGGTGGAGTATGAGGATGATAGGGGGAACAGTCACCAGCACAAGAACAAGAACAGCAGGGATGGCGTACGGGAGGTGACGCCGGCTGAAATAATCCGTTTCTCCACTCAAAAACACGACGTCCTTTACGTGGTGAAAATCTTGACCTCTGAGGGACTGTACTGTCAGAATCTGGAAGGAGACTTTTGCACACTGAGCATAAGACATTATGAGGAATGCCGACACTCCCTGGATGAGGCATATGGTGATAGTTCGTCTGAAAACGCAGCGTTGGAGGCAGGCATAGCAGCGAGGAATGTAGTGAACTGATAGAAGTAGCGACAAGAGCATTACCAGAACGTAGGCTGTAGTGACGTACTTGAACACAAACAGATCCAAAATCTGAGCATTATCCCAGAGACAGAATGAAAATGCCTCAATCTTGAAGAAATCGAAATTGAAAGCACCAAAGATGGCCTGGTAGGCATCGGTAAGGTAGGTGACAGATCGAGGGAACGGCAAACTCCCGAAACTCGAAACGTCAAAAAAGTTGAGGACTTGAGCAAACAAAATGAAGCTGTTTGCAGGACCGGAAGTGAAACTGATCCCAAATATGACAATAACTGCAAACACGAGTGTCAGTGGTAGTAACTCGGCGAGAGCATAGTAAAGAAGGCCCAGATGAGGGTGTTTGCATTTCTCGCACTCATATCTATTGGAGTGATAGTGAACAGTGTAGTTCTCCTTACACGTCCCGCACAGGACTCCCGTGCGGTGCTTCGGTCCACACAACATGCTGTCCAGCTCAGCGCAGCTCTGCGGTAGAAGAAATTCTGTGTTGGTATGATTACAGAATCCGAGTGGACACTGCCCCGTGACAAACCCTGTCCCCGTTAGACACCCTCCCCAGTAGCCTTGTGCCAAGACCGCCTGGAAATCGTCTGCGTCGCAACGGAACACACCTTCATACTGATAACCAGGGACGTTGGCCGAGCACCGACACACAGTCGACGAAGTGTTGGTTTTGTTCAGGTCTTCATAGAAACCCGGCGGACAATCGGCTAACGTGATCTCTAAACTAATCCCAGTCTGTATTGGTCCAGTTGTTTGTAGAGTTACCTCAACTCTGGTCCCAGGGACTCCAGTCAGCTGTATCTGGCCACTGGCTGTGTAGGAATACGTTGAGGCTATGCTAGCATTCTCCGAGCCTTTCATGATGAAGGCATGAAACACGGCATCGACTGTTTGGTTTAGTTCGTCAAATGCCCGCACTCCAGTTTGAAAAACAAGCCCTGGGACAGCTATTAGAGCGTTGTAACTGCCAAAAGCAAGACGATCTACGACTGTTCCTATTAGTCCTCTGGTGTACGGGTCATCATAAATAAAGGGAGGTTTCGTAAACAGTTCATCTAATTTTTCATCAATGTTTGAACCATTTCCATATATTCTAGCACAGGGTACCAGCGTACTGGCATATATTGCGTGCCCAAACCCGAGAGCTGTGTTATTTGAGAACCAGAGGCTCACATTACTCCAATTCCCAGGCTTTACCTGAGCCTTGAAATACTCTACGAAACACGTGTACGAGTAGAACAGTGAGGAACTGGTGCTGTAGAAATATATTGCACCACCAAACTCCAGGGCCTTGTTGTTGGTAAAGTCAAGCTGTGTGTCAGGGTGTATGACTAGATTAGATGAGCCCAGTAGTGACAGGGCCGCACCATTGCCGGCAGTATTATTGACAAACTCTGCCACGGTTCCACTGAGTATGACAGCTGTAGCATCAGTTAAATAGAGAGCAGTGCCCATGTTGTCCTCAAATTTCACGTGTGACTTGAACTCGACTTCGTACGACTGAATGCTGATAGTTCCGGTCTGGAAGGACGTGAGACTGTTCCTCACAAATAAACACCTTTCAAAGAGCGGAGTTGGTAGAAATCCTGGTAACTGTGTACTGAATGCATCTAGAACTAGATCGACTGCAGACGCAGACATGACAGCAGTGTTGGAGTCCCAAGTACAGTTGTAGAACACTGGACTATTTATAGTCGACCTTTCTCCCTGACTGGCAAAGTACTCCACCGCTCCTCCCCACATGGCTGAGTTTGACAAGAACAACGTGTCGTTCACTTTCACCGCGTTCTCGAGAACACAAGATTTACATTCGTAAAATTCATTTGCGATTCTTATTCCTCCGCCATCGCCACTTGCGAAATTCCCCTCGATTTTTGTCCCCACAATGGAAATATTATTTCTCGTAGCGTTGTCTTTCAGGAGTAACTCCATCCCACCACCAAAATGCGCCGTGTTATTGAGAAAAACCGAGTCTTTCACATTGACCGTGTTTTGTGAGCTGTTTCCTGAAAATGAGACACACAGTCCTCCTCCTTTACCCAGAGTATAGGTATAGATCCCTATTTCTCTGTGGAAATTAAGTTCAGCAGAACTTGTGGAGCCAGCAGCTTTATTTCTCTCGAAACGACACGAATCAATGATGATGTTGTTGTTGCTATTGTAGATATTTGTGCTGGGGTCACATGTGATTAGTCCTGGAGTACAGTAGGAGTAATGGAGTAACAGCCCCCCACCCCCAGCTGTAGTACTCCACTCCCCATTACCAACGAAATCACAATCCACAAACAGTATGTTTCCTTTGGTATTGTAGACAGCCAAGCCCAGTCCAGGGTTGGACTGAAAGTGAGTGGAAGTCACAGCCAAATTTGTAACATTGATGACGTACATCGCCACTCTTATCTGTGTCATTGTAGAGCTAGTGAAATTGAAATTTGCACTCTCAAACAAAGCCCCACAGCCACTTATAGTGAAGTAGCTGAGATTCAGGCCTTCCACTGCTGACACATACAGACCTGCTGTATTATTCTCCGTACAAACCAATTTAAGATCTTCATTCCCAACGATGCCAATATGGGAATAGCCAGTGATATTGAGCACCTCGTCTAGCGGACAGCTCCGACTGCCTGGAATTGATATGCAATAGTTGTTCCCGAGAGCACGGACTGCAAGGGCGAGCGTCTTGCAAGGCTCCTCCATATTTCCACAGCCACGGCTTATTGAGCCGTTCTCGCAGTCCACATATATCACTGTCGAGTATGTGGCACCACCACAGTCGACTGCACTGGTGTTTGTTGCAGCAGAAAGAAAGAGTAGCAGTAGAGCTAGCGAAAAGATGGGACGAGCTGAAACCGAACATAACGGCGGTAAACACAACAAACTTGAGGACGTAAAAGCAACTCACTCATCGAGCCACACACGCAACGGTCCATGGCTCTGCCTCCTCCTTTTTTGTTTTTGCTGACGATGCAGCTTCTGCGCATCGGTGTTATTACGCAAGAGAGCGCTTCAACACCGCTGCGCTAATTAGAGCGCTTAAAATTCTTGAGGATGTCGGCAGCAGCGAGGAAAGAAGAAGCAGTGGACGGGGGTCTGTCCCAGCCGCCACCGACTAGGCTTGTGAGCCGTTTAGACGACTCGAGAGACGAGAATGGCGGGCCAGCTACCGTCTCTGAGACGGGGAAGAAGGAAGAGAGAAAGGTGCAGGGAGAAGACGAGAAGGAATACTTCTGCGGCTGCGGTCCCTGGCATCCTCACCGGCTACAAATATTCAGAGATGCTCGTTTCTTCACCTTTCTCCTTTGCCTCTTCGCCACCATTGAGGGAGCCCTCGTCTCTGGTACGTGCAGTAAATAGAGGAATGAGCTTGTACGTTTTCAAACATCTTGTCAATGTATTTGTATGGGATGTAAAGCTGTGAATATACAATAATATATCGCTACTAGAGTGTGTAGGCTAGAGCTATTCCCAAGTGGGGGGTGTTTGGTAGAATGTAGCGTATCCAACCTTTATGGTTCAGCAGGCACCCTAGCGCTGTGTGAAGCAGGAAGATGGTACATCAGGAATTTGTGTAGGTGATATCTCTCTCTCTGGCGGCATTCCTTCTCCTACATATCACTGTAATTGCTCTGACATCTTATTGCATTCTTCACCTTCTCTTCCTCCCCCTCTCCCCCTCTCCCCCTCTCCCCCTCTCTCTAATCTAAGGTTCACATCAGTAGTACTCTCAACCCTAGAGAGGAGATACGGTTTCTCCAGTACTGCAACAGGAGCTATCGCCAGCACTTTCGACGTCGCCGTTCTCGTGTCTGTCGTCTTCATCAGCTATTTCGGTGGGCGTGGTCACAAACCTCGTTGGCTGGGGGCGAGTCTCATCATCCAGGCAACGGGCTCGTTCATATTCTCCCTGCCGCAGTTTGTGTTTGGTCGTTATCGAGTCGGGTCCTCAGGAGCCCTGTCCACAGAGACTTGTCTTGACGGACAAGATTTCACTGACTGCAAGTCCTCCACAAATGCCGCTCTTTTCTTCTTCGTACTGGGAAATATTTTCATTGGAGTAGGGGCTGCCCCTCTATTTACCGTGGGAACGACGTACCTTGACGAGATAGCTAGACCGAAACACGTATCTCTCCATCTCGGTGTGTTCTACATGCTCTCCATTGTTGGCCCAGCGCTCGGATATGCTCTTGGAGGACCGTTTCTGTCAATCTACGTCGACCCCTGGGAGGAAACACATTTAACCCCTTCTGACCCAGGCTGGGTGGGAGCCTGGTGGCTGTGTTTCATATTCTGCGGAGTCGTATCACTCGTGATTTCTGTTCCGTTCTTCTGCTACCCTCGTTTGCTGCCGTCCAGCAGAGCTATACGGGAGGAGAGAGAGAGGGAAATGGCCAAGCGATGCGAGGATGCCCCTAAGGTGATTGAGGGAGGGAACAAGATTCGCAGCGTCGTTCTCTCATTTCTCTGGGAGATACGAAGGCTTGTAGTCAACCCCAGCTGGGTCTTCATGACTGCGGCCATCTCCTCGTCGATTCTCGTTGTGTCAGGGTTCGCCTCGTTTGGACCAAAGTACGTTGAGACTCAGTTTGGCCTACCACCTTCATTGGCAAGCCTTGCAGTCGGAGCTGTTGGTGAGCCTCTAACTTAGTGTGGGGACACTTTCCAAACTCAGTAAATCCCAGTAGTCTAGTTAGTAAATGCCCTGTTTATCAAGTAAGTAAACCCCTGTTCCTCAGTAAATTCCTATAATCTAGTCAGTAAACTCCAGTAATCTAGTCAGTAAATTCCACGTTCCTCGGTAAATTTACAGTAATCTAGTTGGTAAACTTAGTAATCTAGTCAGTAAACTCCCTCTCTTCCAGCGATCCCTACAGGTGGGGCAGGTGTAGTCGTGGGAGGTTTAATCATCTACTGTCTGAAACTGAAAGGAAGGAGGGTGTCCCTGCTACAATTAGTTATCAGTGGAGTGGCGGTGCTACCGTTGCTAGGGCTACTGCTCCACTGTCCGACCTCTGACATCGCTGGTATTACGACATCATATCCAGATGGGTGAGTCCTTTGACTTACATAGTACCTCCAGTGGTATTCTCTTCATGTTCATAAGGTGTTTATTATCTCAGGGTAACTAACCACTCCATGTGATGTATAAACATAATTGTGTACATTTTCAAGTGGAGTTGTTTCACTCTCTTACAGTTTTTTACCAATGATAAAGACCTCTCTGTCTGTCTCCACCCCAGGGCCAGAGATCTTGGCGACACTCGATTCCTCAACTCCAGCTGTATCTCCAGTTGTAACTGTACCTCTTCAGTCTTTGAGCCAGTCTGCGGAGCCGACAATGTGGTCTACTTCTCTCCGTGTCGTGGTGGCTGCGATCCTACCGACAATACCACCGTGAGCTCCATGGAGGAAGATTTGGGAATATTAATTCTCAGTATCCTACTGTAGAGAGAAATAATACAATTGTGCATGAGAAGGCAAATAAGTAAGATCGACACAGAACTTGGTCATAATAGCTGTCGTTAGTGTCCTTGTTGCTAATTGTATTGTGGATATTTGAGGAGAGATAACATTATTGGTCAAATTCAAAACTTGAAAAACAAGTCACACCCTTATTTGTGGTCTCATTCCGGTCCAATTACAGTGTCATTAAATTACAGCTGCCAATTAAGGCAGCATTCTCCCTAATTAGATACCATTCCTCTCCCTCCCTCCTCTCTGTAGGAGGCAGATTATGATCAGTGTCGGTGTGTGGCCGAGAGGCTCCATTCTGTAGCCCCCAACTCCTCATTCTCCACTCTGCTGGCTGGGAACAGCACTGCCAGTGACGGCCTCTGCGACAGTAACTGTGGGATGAAGCTGATCTTCTTCCTCCTCCTCATTGGCCTAGGATTGTTCACTGTCTTCATGCTGCAGATACCCAATGTCCTGGTCACTATTCGGTGGGTGGATAATGTACGATTCTATCTGAATGACTTGCTTGTGTACTGCTGAGGGGTGTGGTTATATCGTGCTTGGGCTGTATTTGGAAATTTACTCAGGGCATTGTACTTATTCTGTTGATAGTCTACTGCACTGCACTCTCTAGCTATAGTCAAGGTATTCAGGATGGTTTGTTGGCCTGTCCTTCCCCCCACTTGCTTGCTAAAAGTACAAAGTTTAGGCCACCCTATTACTTCCACTGCACTCTCCAGCTATAGTCAAGGTATTCAGGATGGTTTGTTGGTCTGTCCTTCCCCCCACTTGCCTGCTAAAAGTACAAGTTTAGGCCACCCTATTACTTCCACTGCACTCTCCAGCTATAGTCAAGGTATTCAGGATGGTTTGTTGGCCTGTCCTTCCCCCCACTTGCTTGCTAAAAGTACAAGTTTAGGCCACCCTATTACTTCCACTGCACTCTCCAGCTATAGTCAAGGTATTCAGGATGGTTTGTTGGTCTGTCCTTCCCCCCACTTGCTTGCTAAAAGTACAAAAAGTTTAGGCCACCCTATTACTTCCACTGCACTCTCCAGCTATAGTCAAGGTATTCAGGATGGTTTGTTGGTCTGTCCTTCCCCCCACTTGCTTGCTAAAAGTACAAGTTTAGGCCACCCTATTACTTCCACTGCACTCTCCAGCTATAGTCAAGGTATTCAGGATGGTTTGTTGGTCTGTCCTTCCCCCCACTTGCTTGCTAAAAGTACAAGTTTAGGCCACCCTATTACTTCCACTGCACTCTCCAGCTATAGTCAAGGTATTCAGGATGGTTTGTTGGTCTGTCCTTCCCCCCACTTGCTTGCTAAAAGTACAAGTTTAGGCCACCCTATTACTTCCACTGCACTCTCCAGCTATAGTCAAGGTATTCAGGATGGTTTGTTGGTCTGTCCTTCCCCCCACTTGCTTGCTAAAAGTACAAGTTTAGGCCACCCTATTACTTCCACTGCACTCTCCAGCTATAGTCAATGTCTGCCTGGTTGTTGGTTGGTCTGTGCTTTCTCTCAGTTGCTCACAAAACTTTAGGCCACCCTATTTCAAGATGAAGAACACTTTATGAAGTGCGTTAATGTTAATGACGATAGCACAGAGTAAGAGTAACTGTAGGTGACTGAGACATTGTGCTCCACCCGTCCTGCTAGTGTCAGTAAAGACTGAGATATCCAGCTGCTTTTCTTTCTCTGCAGATGTGTGGCGGAAGACCAGCGAACCCTCGCCATAGGGACACAGTCGTTCTTCTGGCGGCTGCTAGGGTCCATCCCCGGGCCGATCCTCTTCGGAGCCATCTTCGACTCCACCTGCCTCTTCTGGCAACATGAGTGTGGTCGCCGTGGCAACTGCTGGGTGTATAACAACACAGCGCTGAGTCAGCGTGCCGTGGTGTTGGCAGCGCTGGCCATGGCTGGATATTTCACGTGTGTGTTTCTCTGCTGGTGTTCTACCCTCGACACCAGTCTAGTGGGGAGGATGGGAACATTGCAGTGACTGAGATGGAGGCAAGGGAGGGTGGAGGGGAGAGAGGAGAGGAGGAGAGGGAGGAGAGGGAGGAGAGAGAGAGACGTCAGTAATTGGGATGATGCAGAATAGAAACAGCACGGTCCAACTGTTGGAAGTCTCTTCTTCTTCGTCTTCTTCAAACGGAACCGAAACCTGATTGTTCCTCTCCTTCTCAAAATTTCATTCTGTATCACAGATTTTTATTGTCATCTATATTATGATTTATCTTTTTCGTCAATTTTTATTATTAAAGTGCACTGAGAAATTAAAAAAATAATCAACATGACATCGATGCAACAATATTATTAATGCGCATGCTCGCCTGTGGTAACTATTTCTTATTAAGCGAAAGTGGGCAAAAGGAAAATTGAACTGGAAAATGGCCGTTAGAACTACGCAGGACCTGGTGAAGATGGTGAACAAACTGAAGAGCAAGCTGCGAGAGGCGACCAGTCATGGCCTCCAGGTAAGTAACACAAGAGTCTAGGATCACGTACCAGTGGCGTGTCGGCTGCAGGAAGGCGCGGTGCAAAAGATACTTCAGAAGTTGGTAGGTGTACCAATGACGTTGGAGCTGCTTCAGGTTAGACAGTTGTCCTGGCAGTAGTTTGTCTCCTTCGCAGTATATGCAATACTGTCTTCTGCACGCACTATTGTCTTATTGTCTTGTCTCTCTTCCTTTTCCATCTTTTCTTGATCTAGAGAAAGTGCGAACTATGTGTGTGTCAGCCTCAGTAATTATCCCTTGTATCTCTTTCCCTCAGTTGACTCATATTGGCAAGGAGGTGAACGGTTTGAGAAAAGCCGAGGGAGATGTGGGGAGGGCAGCCAAGCAGCTGGTGAGGTCTTGGAAGCAACTATTGACTGAAGCCGGTGGGGAGAGTGAGGAGGGGGAGAGGGAGGAGGAGGGGAGGGGAGGATGGGATGGGAGAGAAAGACACAGAGCCCCTGTACCTACAATTCAACCATCTTGTTCTCTACTAGCTGCCCCTCCTCCCCCACGCCGATCGCCATGTGAGAAATCAACCATCGGTCACTCATTATGTAATGGTTATATCGTTCCTGTAGCGCCGTTGCCATGGAGAGTTGAAGACACCGCTACCCCTGGAGTTTTGCCTGCGGAACATTCTCCTCAGAGAAAGAGAAAAAGTCTGGGGTTCATATTAACTCCGATCTATAATCATACTAGCTAAGTACCCTAGTGAGTCTATAAGTGCACAAGAAGTGATCAAGCCTGCCTCCCTCCCTCCCTCCCCATGTTGGCTGGCTGCAGCAGCGGTAGAGGAGCCACCAGCCGATGCAGTGGCCCACACAAAGAGATCTCGGACCCAGGTCTACTCCGGCAAGAAGGCATCTGGTCCTCAAGGTATGTGGAACTGCCGCTGTCCAGTGGAACCTCTGAATAAGGGAGCCCTGAATGTGTCCTTTATTGAGATGTCCCCTTGTTCAAATGAAATGCTATGGTAATACAGAACATTATGCTACCAAGTTTCAGAGGTAATGGTATTAGAACCAAGTGTGCTGTACTAAGATGTGTCTTTTGGGTGGAGAGGTTTCACTTTATACGGCTTCCTCCTCTTCTTGTTTTTCTCTCTCAACAAATCCTTCACTGCCGCCCTCTCTCTTCCTCAGTGGCGGTGTCACTGTTTGACCTATCAATGAAGGTTCTGATGGACAATATCGATGGTAAGAACACATGATTGTGTGATGTCAAAAGTGCACGTATTGAGAATTGGCGTCATAATCTCCAGCAATTGAAGAAGTGGGTGGAGTCCCATACCTAATCCTGGAACCATTGCTACAGAAGTAAGTCTAATCCCATGTTCTGGTCCCATTCCCATTCCATTCTCTGTCTCTATTCCATGTCAGGTGCTCCGCAACTCAACTATTGCGACTGGAGGAGTTTAATACTGTGAGCACTATATTATTATGATTTGGCGTTTGTAAAGTTGTGGTGTTAAACTTCTAAATTTAACCCCTTTGCCACAGCATTTCCTGGAGGACAGCGACGTCCTGTGGAAAAAACACTGTGAGAAAGACTTTAAAGGAGCCCGTCCCCATGGCAACCAGGAGTCATGGCGACAACTCTACCTGGTGAGGGGTTGCCGTGGCAACGGACAAACAAACTGGTGTCTATATAACCAGTTTTGACGTGTGTGTGTGTAGAGCAAACTGAGTGACAGGGAAGAGAGGCTGAAGAATATCACAGCCAACATCAGGAAGAGAGAGGAGGCAAGGAAGGAGCCAGGTACAGGTCACCTGATCTCATGTGATTAGTCATGTGACTGGTCATGTGACCACCTCCAGTGAGGCAGGTGAAGCTGGCGGTAGCTACGAGGGCCCCAGGTAGGAGGAGACAGGTGTCGTCTATCCCTCTTCCCTCCAGACCTTCTCTTCTCAACAGCAGCAGACCCTCTCACATGAGGGCCCCTCCCACAAGTTAGTAGTGGACCACATGGGCATGTGGAATTTGGGGCTTTTATTTCAGTTACTCTAGTGTGTGAGGTAGAATGCTTGGTTAATTTCCAAGATTAGACGGCTAATGAAGGAGTAGTAATTGTGACCTGTTCTCAAATATCTTTTACCACCGCCTCCTAAAGATGCCAGTAAACTGAAGAAGCAGACAATGAAGATGATCAAAGAGCGGTAAACATACATCACTAGTTTGTCCTGAATACCTGTCCTGAAACCTTGTCCTATAGGTCACTCATGAACATGTCCCGCCCTTCCAAGAGATGACAGCTGTAACCCCACGTCATGTGACAATCATGTGACAATCATATTTAATTTGTGTACAGTGACCCAGCCATACAATGCATGGCTTTTTTGACACACGGCAAACATGAATTTTCAGTTTGAAAACGTTTTTCAGTCTTGTGACGCTAACTGCTACGCCTTTCTCTGTTCAACACTGCTGCCTGGCGACTTGGAACTTGATCTCTGAGGGAAAAGGAGAGAGCAGGGGATGTGTGTACAAATGAAAGGCTGACATAATCTCACGAATGGGGCTGATTTACAAATCTGGACAGTGAGTGGGAATACTTTGATCAGTGTGTGGGAGTGCACGAAAACAAACAGAAGAACTGAAAGAAGGGTAGATATAGAACCATAACTTCCTTTACCTATGGTGGACTAATGGTGCAACCACACGCCACACTAAACGTGATACAGTTGAACCATACCTTATTGAAGACTCCTCTTCCAAAGTACTCAGCCACAACACTGAACCCATCTGGTGACCTCTGCAGCTGTGGAGGGGTCAGAGTACATCACCATGGCAACCCAAGACCACACCCACCAGTCCTACCTGGGAGTGGAACTGTTCGTGCAGACCTGCCGTCTGCTCCTGTCTCTGGATTATGTCCAACACTTTCCTGTATACAATACAACCACCAGATGATGTAATAGTGATGTAATCAGTGTACCTGTTGTCACGGTAACAGAGGGGGCATTCGTGCTCCAGCTCGTCTTGGAGGCAGTCCTGATGGAAGGAGTGTTTGCAGAGGAAGTGGATGGCCGGCAGACTGAGCCCTCGTCTGCACAGACTGCACTTCATCATCTGGAATATCTTGGCACTGAGTCCACGGGGAGAGAGAGGACAGAGACAAGAGAATTCGCAAGGACGTGGGTGTGAAAATGGCACAAACACTTTGGGGCTATTGTTGCGTGTGGACTAGACATGCATATGATTTTAGTAGTAAATTTTAAAGAATGAAGCACACCTGGTCTGCAGTTCCTTCACGTTCTCTCTGATTCTGCCAGTCTCATCCCGATACTGTCTGATTGACTGCTCGTCCTACAGCACAGGGACAGAGGTGTCCTATAGGACAGGGAGTGAACAATGTGTGCATACCTTTGCAATCTGCTCATTCTCCTTCTGAAGGTGTTTCACAATGTATGGCTAGAGGGAGAGAGGGTCCGAGTCACACAAGATACAAGTTACGCAACATTTTTCTTAGCTGGAAATGCAGTTAAAGTGAACTGGTGTGTATGATGAAAACAAATTTTGGCGGATTTCAAAGCTTACTGCAGTGTAAGGGCACCATGCATGCTGCACGCTCAAAGTAAGGTTAGCCAGAGTATCAATGGTATGTATATACAGTTGAAGACCTTGATGTCGGAGAGAGTGGAGAACTGACTGTCTGCGAGCGTCTGGATCACCATCAGTGGAGGCATCAGCTGGTCCTCATCAATGTGTTGGAGAACCTCGGGGATTTGACCCTTGCACTCTCTCCGAGAGGAAAAAAAAGAGAGAGCCTGGACCCACAGGTTCGGGTCTTTTCGCCTGAGGATTGACAATTTTGAACGGTTTTTGCATTTTTTGCAGGGACGCAAGAAAACAAAAGGACAAACCAACCACCCCTAATACTTTGACATAGTTGGAGGGTGGAATAGCAACACTATCTCCCTGTACCTATACACTTATTTATCTCGCCTTTTCCTTCATTACCAACAAGGGTTTGAACAGTTTTGCATTTGTTGTACGCACATGAGTAAACAAAACGACAAACCAACAATGCCTAACACTTTGAATATAGTTAGAGGGTGGAATAGTGGTACTATCTCGCTGTACCTAAACACTTATTTTTCCCACCCTTTCCAACAAGGGTTTGAACAGTTTTGCATTTGTTGTACGCACATGAGTAAACGAAACGACAAACCAACAATGCCTAACACTTTGAATATAGTTGGAGGGTGGAATAGTGGTACTATCTCTTTGTACCTAAACACTTATTTTTCTAGCAATTTCCGTCTTTACCAACACCACGTTATGCGCCAAGAGAGTAATTTGGGGACTTGCTCTAAACGATGTCCTAACAAAGGTTTACTGAGCACAGCATGGAATATAGAGTTGCAGTTTCCAATTTAACCAAACCTCACCCATGTCTTTTGCAGGTTGCCATGACACTCTGGTAGTCATTGTGTTCCATGTGGTACTGCAGGATCTGCTGGAACCTGGGAATGGGGTATGGGGTATAGAAAAATGGAGCATGGAGGAACGGGCATATGGGGGAATGGAAATACAGCTTACAGTCCAGCCTTCTCATACAGGAAGAGTATTCCAGACTTGAAATCATGGATCTGTGCCAACACTGTGTGTGTGTGGTGGGGTGGGGGGGAGAATGCACAAACTTTATTCTTGGTGATAATCATCAGTTTGTAAGAGAATGATAAAAACTACTGCTGCTCTCTAGGAGAGGTGTGGTTGCTAGGGGTTACCGAGGGCGTGGTCCAGATCAAAAGTGGCGTTTTTCCTCTGCATTAGCTCCAGAGCTCTCTTCTCCTTGGCTGTCCGTTCCTCGGGCGTGCGGCAAGCCCCAATCTCAGCCAGGTACAGCTCCAGTAGAGTGGTGAATATCACATCTCTCAGGTTCCCTGATGTCTATAGTTGCCACATACACACACATTTTATTAACACAACACTTTGAGGAAGGTTGCTGTTACAAAGTTCACTAAGAAAATAGTGTCAAATGTGTGATTGTGTCCCAGCACAGACGTGGACAGAAAAGAAAAAGGGTGGCCCAAACTTTTCGTACTTTTAGCGAGCAAGTGGGGGGAAGGACAGGCCAACCAACCATCCTGAATACCTTGACTATAGCTGGAGAGTGCAGTGGAAGTAAACCGTTCGTACTTTTAGCAAGCAACTAGGGGGAAGGACAGGCCAACCAACCATCCTGAATACCTTGACTATAGCTGGAGAGTGCAGTGGAAGTAATAGGGTGGCCTAAACCTTTCGTACTTTTAGCGAGCAAGTGGGGGGAAGGACAGGCTAACCAACCATCCTGAATACCTTGACTATAGCTGGAGTGTGCAGTTGGTGAATCACCAGGAGTAAGGAAGAGAGAGAGAGAGAGGGAAAAAAGAGGAGAGAGAGAGAGACACACATGAGTAGATATCTGGTGCTCCAGGAAGACGGTCAAGTGGTGACGATGGTTGACAAACAACTCAATGTAGAGGGCGGGATCCGACCAATCAGGTACCACATCCTCTGGGGAAACAATCAACACAGTCTCCATCCATTCCAGAGGGGGTTGGTACCTGGTCTGGGAGTCTGACCGCGAGGGAGCCAGTCGGTGCAGAGGTTCTGCAGCAGTCGTGTGGTGTCATCAGGGAGCTCTGTCAGCAGCAGCTTCCCATACTTTATCATACTGGCCTCCGCCTGAGGAGAGAGAGAGAGAGAGAGAGAGTAGAAGAAATGCTAAACTAAAAGCGAAAATGGAAAGAGAGAAACCGGAAATTGAAAGTGAAGGTAGACGGTAAAGAAGGGATCAACATACGTACATCTCTGAACTTTAGCCTTGCAATGTACTCCATGGCATCGTCACAGTCATGGAGGTCTTCCAGTTGAATCAGTAGATATCTACAGGGATGGGAGTTTCAGTCTGTCGTGACAGAGTTAAAGGTTGGACTAACGAGTCGTGTTTCTTGTATTTCTTGGCAAGTGCCAGAGCGTGGCGGTGGTAGTTGGCCTGGCGACACACGTGTATTGCCGTGGAGACATCGAATGTGGGACTGTGAGATTCCTGCAGAAAACATCTTCATCTCTATCATTTTATCTCTGAATTTCTCTATTATGTGCGTTGTAGCAATCCACTTGCATTATAAAAGGTAGCCCTTTAGTGTACTGTACTTATGTCACTGTTTAGTGTTTGCAGTCCTGAGTTCGATTCCCGACGTCACCGCTTTTTCCCCTTTTCCCAACCACTTTCTTTGCCTCTGCTAAACCCCCAGACCAGTTTACACACACACACACATGGGAACAGCGAGATAGGGGTGAGATAGGAATAGGAGAATAAGATTTTGGGAGATATGCACAGGGACAGTGAGGTTATCAATGGAGGCGTAACTCACGGTAACAAAGGCATCAAGCTGGTCGATGTCTCTCAGTTTAGTGTAGCAATTGAGAAGAAGTGTTGTGTGGTCTGCGTTGGCTATCCCCTTCTTATGGAGAGCCTGAGAAATATTATATCATTACAAATACAGGCCTTCCTCTGCCAACCTTCAAGTAGTCTGTCAAGTTGTGGATACGTTGAGCATCAAGGAACTAGTGGTCAGAGGTCGTCATGACAACAGTCACCAATGGCAACCACAAGCCCTACCTTTCTGATGACGTAGGAAGGCTCTAGCTTGCCGATGGTGAGTATGTACTGCTCAATAGCTCCATCAAAATCTCCCTTACTGTTAGTGGGTGAGAGTTAGTAAACTAGCTCAGTAAACTCAATTTCTCTGATCCCTTAACATACATAAGGGCAATATTTTAGTGCCGCCATAGGCCTACTAATCCTTTAGGATAAAAATGATCCTGTCATAAGGCAGAGCTCTTTCAGCCCAAATAGTTCTCTGTACACTACTCAGTATACTAAGCCCAGCTCTGTAAACTATTACCTGTACAGGTGGTCTCCATACTGAGTAAAGATGTCGATTAGTCCATCGTTGTACGACTGGCTGCGAGCCAAGCTATAGGGGGAGGGAGAGCATCTCAACCCTGCCACTGGTCTAGACTGACTTGATGGCTGTGGGGTAGAGGTTTTTCTTGAACAGCGTCTCCAACTTTGTCTTCGTGTCGTTCTCCTCCAATCGGATCAGCTGGGTGGGGAGGTGTGTTACCATGGTAACAAGGGAGGGGGCGGAGACTCACACGTCCGTCTCGCAGGAGGATGTAGAGAGATCCCCACTCGCTGACGACGTCCACCACCCTTCCGTTCAGAGTCATCTGGTAGGCTGGGAGACAGGATACTCTCAGTAAACTACTCAGTATACTACCGGTCAGTAAACTACTCAGTACACTACTGTTGGTTAGTAAACTACTCAGTATTATTAGCATACTACCTGAGTACTGTCAGTTTCCAGAGCACATAACATAGGCTGGAGTATCATTATTATAGGCTCTATGACTCACCAACAAACTGGTTCTGGATGTCATATACTGAGACAGTCATCACGTCTTTGGCACCAGACTTTGCAGCTGCTCGTGCGGAGCTGCCTCGTGCCCCGTACACAACTGAAATCAGGTAGCCACGGTACCATCGCAGCAACACCTTCTCTCCTGCATTCCAGTCCCACAGTGGAAAAGAGTTAATTGCCGTTAACACAAAAGGGTTAAAATAACCTTCGAAAGCGAAAGCCTGAGCTCTTCCTTCAGGAGTGTAGAAATAGACAGCCTACGGAATGGGAGAATGGGGTATGGAGACATGGGGAATGGGGTAATGGGAATGGGAACCTACCTCGGATCGAGCGATGACAAACTTGTAGTCCTGGGTGTGGTCTGTCATGGTGCTGCAGCCAAGCTCACAACCTATGCTGTCCAATTTGGTCTGGAGAAAGAGAGAGAGAGAGACGTTTTTGAACAATTACCGAGTTGCCAATTGAAGATGTGTATATATTACCTCAGTTTTGAGTGTGAGGTCAACGGTATAGACGGCATCACTGGTGGAGATCAGGAGAATTGTTCTGTTCTTCACTTGTCGGAACCCCAGCCCTAACAACATTGGAAGACAGCGAGAGATGCTTTATTCAGATGAGCACTGTTTTACGTACACCTGCATTTCCTTGCCAGTGATGTGTAAATGGTAGTATACAGGCCAGGCAGAGAGTTAACCAGCTCACCAGTGGCGTAGACTCCTGGAGTGGACTCAGAGTGGACCACCTTCATAGTCGACAGTCTGTCTCGCATGAGGTTACCTCTGACAGTCACCACTGTCCCATCTTTGAACCCCACAGCCATCAACGTCATGCTCTCGTGGGCACACACCACCATTACCTGTGGTCGACATGGCAATAATGACTGTCTCCATGACAACGACCTTTGTACTCACAGAGGACTGTCTCCCATTAGGAATGAGAGCTGGAATGCTCCGTGACAATGTCGGAATCCCTTCCTTTGTTAGTTTCTCATAGTTCCACACCCTGTGTAAGGGGGTGGAGCTAGTGTCTGAGACCACACCCCGACCACGCCCACCTGATAATGGGCATGAGGTCTTCGTCGTCACCGACAGTGATAATTACATTCCGCTGTCTCATTTGGTACACGAGGCTCACTCGCAGGAGGTAGGCCGAGGTGCTCAGAATATCAGAGAAGCTGGTGAGGACGTGCAGACTGCCCTGGGAGTCTAGACCACTGTCAGGAACACAACAACTGTCTGGACACCTTACTGTAAGCCCCGCCCACCTTTAGTATACAGTATAACTTGTTTGCTAAAAGATGGAAGGTAAAGTTTAGACCCTAGCAACGAGAGGATACCGCCTAAAACCATCTGTCCTCGGCCACAGGTGAAGCACGTGATCCCGCAGTTCTGTGGGAACGAGGAGGGAATTCTAGCAGGCAAATCTATCCGGACAGACTTACCGGACGACTCAGCAGGGAGTGGAATGAGTTGGTGCTGTCCGGGTCTTTGAGCTCTTCGCTCTCGAAGAATTTAAAGATCCGCCACGACATTTTGATCCTGGACCTTACACAGCCCCAGCTCTTCGCTATCTCCGCTTATCACTCGGTGGGCGTGGCTTACGATTTCAATATGCGCATGCGCGTTGTAAGTTTGATGTGAAAAGATAATGTGCACGAGATATTTGCTCACAATAATCTGTACAATATGGACTTTACACACACTGACACCAACACATAAATACAGTGGCTGTATAATAACACAACAGGTGATGCCAACACGAAGAGATGAGAGATGTACTCAGTGTACAAAAACAGAGCTGGAGGGATAGCTAGCAGCCCACCTGCCTGAATATTGGCACTGCTGTGATTTAACACACACAGGCACCTGTCAGATTAATTTAAAAGAAAGGCTTTATAATTTGGAGACAGTTTGGCTCTAGCAGTTTCACAGATAGAGATGGCAGAAAGGGCTCTAATTAGAATCAGTGTGCTCTAATTAGGGTTGGTGTGCTCCAATTGGGATTCACTCTGTTTCGCTACTGGAGGAGCTCTGGCTGGAGAGACTTCTCTTGCTCTGTGTGGAGTGTTGTGTGGGGTGCTGTGAGGAGGAGTTGGTGTAGGGATAGAAGAATGGATGCTTGAGGGCTTCTTGTGACGTGAGTCTCTTGCGAGGCTCGTAGATGAGCATTTGCTGGATGAGGTCAAACAGCTGCTCGTGCTCCGGGTCAGCTGTGATCATGTACCGCTGGAAGGGAGGGGGAGGGGAGGAAGTGAGTAGGAATGAAAGTGAAGTCAGCCAAAACAATTTCCTACTCTACTTCCTAAGAAGTGAGGCTGATATTAAAAGAGCAGGATGTGCTGCAGGGATTCTACCAGAGTGTCCACCCAAAATAGACTGTGGGCTCTATCGCGGGATAACCAAGCATAAACCCAGTAATTTTGAGCGTACCTTTAGTTTTCTGAGCTCCCTGACGTATCTGGCATCAGGTGAGTCAGGATCCCAGTCTAACTGGCCGTGCCAGAAATACTTGGTCTTTCTCGTCTCTCTGATGAACCTGTTGAGACAGGGAACACTCAGATAGGGGTATGTGTGGGTGTGTGTGAAGACGTACTTTGTAGGGAGAGGGCCTAGAATAGCCTCCATCATGGCGAGGTGCTCCAGGTTATCATGAGTCTGAGAAATGATAATGAGTACGTTAGATCTATGAAAGAAGTAAATGGGTGTGGTCTAACCTGGAAGAGGGTGTGGCCTCGGTACAGTTCAAACAAGATGCAGCCGATGCTCCACATGTCACATGGATGGCTCCACCCCAGCTCTGTGGAGAGAGGGAGAAAGTGAGGTAAAAACCTCTACTGGCCCACCAAATTTATAGTGGGATGGGCATCATTTGCCGGCGAATTCAAGCAAGACTGGTATGGAGGGGAGACATACCTAGAATGACCTCTGGAGAGCGGTAGTGTCTGGTGGAGACGACCGTACTGTGGTGCTCATCGTCGAATGTGGCAGACCCAAAGTCAATCAGTCGAATATCTGAGTTCTTCACCACTCGGATGTCTTGTTTCTAGGAGTTGGGAGGGAGAGAGAAGAGTTAGACCTCTAAAAGTCTCTGAGAAAAGGACTCCTCTCTATTAACGACACAATGGTTCTGCCCCATACCAATACATTAGTTCCTCTGATTAAACTATTAACGACAATTGGTTCTGCCCCATACTAACACATTATATGTGCCTCTGAATTCAGAGTTTCCACTTTAATTATTTCTCCCTCACTTTTCTTGCATCGTAGTAGATGTCAAAATCGGAGGAGACGAAAAGAATGTTCTCTGGTTTCAGGTCTGTGTGTGTGAGTCTTGTTCGGTGAAGATCTGGGAGAGACAAGAGGCAGATGGGAGGGGAGAGACAAGAGGTAGATGGAAGGGGAGAGACAAGAGGTAGATGGAAGGGGAGAGACAAGAGGCAGATGGGAGGGGAGAGACAAGAGGCAGATGGGAGGGGAGAGACAAGAGGTAGATGGAAGGGAAGATGAGAGGCAGCAGGAGAAGCTGGAAAAAAAATCTGGTGGGAGAGGTGGTAGTGGGCCTGTTGCTAGGGAACATTTGGAGTAGAAAGATAGAGTGGCTGATAAGACTAGAGTAATTGTGGTTTCCACCACATCACAACAGTACACAACATTTTTCCAAGAGGGGATGGCATTTTGCTGAGAAGTGGCCTGCATGTGCCCCCAAAAAAAAAAAATTGCAGATGGTTTTAGCTAAAAACCTTGGAATTCGGAAAAGCTCACTGAAGTATGGTACAGTACACACCAACAACGGAGTTAGAAAGAGAGAGAGAGAGAGAGAGAGAGAGAGAGGGAGAGAGAGAGAGAGAGAGAGAGAGAGAGAGGGAGAGGGAGAGAGAGAGAGAGAGAGAGAGAGAGAGAGAGAGAGAGAGAGAGAGAGAGAAGTACACTCACATCTGACGGCCTTGATGACCTGGTAGGCAATGTGGCGGACCTGGAAGAGAGGGTAGGGATGGTACTGGTTGTCCTTGAGGAAGTCGAACACGCTGAGTCCCAGCATGTCAAATGTGAGGCATATGTGGCCACAAAAGTCGAACCAGTCCAGCATCTGAACACAGATACTGAGGGAGGAGGAGAGGGAGGTACAGTCACATGGGCCAGGGTCTGCCAGCTACCGCTGTCACGATACACAAATGCCAGCGACCAGCCAAGAATGCAACATCCGCTATGTGGCAATTGGCACCAGTTCTCAGGCTACCTGCCAAACTTCTAACACTCTACTAGGACCTAACTCCCTCACTCTACTAGGTCCTAACTCTCCCTTCTTCCCCAATCTTCCTCCCTCACTCACTCTTGTCCGTCAAGCTGCATGTCCCTGATCTGCTCCAGAACTCGTATCTCGATCTTTGCTGCCGCTCTGAGAATGGGAACAGGACCTTGTCTGACACGGAATGGAGACAGAGAGACCGACTACTCACCTGTACTTTGGTACGTTCTTGATAATCTTTACTGCTACCTGCTTTCCTGTCAATCTGTGAGAGAAATGCAGAGAGAGGACAGGAGACACATAGATCTTTACTACAAAGCAGCCAAATTTGCCAGGTAACATCAGGTCATAATGCCACAACCACTCACTACCTGTCTAGCTGGCAGGATGGGAGAGAGGGGTGTGTGATGCAACCACCAACACATTGCCACACATCTTACCTGGCCCTCTCCATATTACTCTAAAGTTAACAAGATCACTTTTAATTATCACACTAGATATAGCAGTTTGGGCACAGTCTATTGTTCTACCACATTAGAGAACTGCCTACTCATCCCCTCACAGTATATAGTACAGAGGATTATGTATACACCCACTACTCCCTACAAGTAATACTCTTATTCTTTTATCTCTGCTTACTACTCTACTACTAGAGAGCAGCCCCACACACACACACACAGTCTCTCAGGCTGGCTTCAGTCCAACTACTAGCATCCTCTACAGTGTATGGCTTAGCTCCCTTCATTTGACGTCATGTCGGTGACTTATGTACCCCCCACCTGGTGAGGTTAGTTTAGTAACACCATAGTGGAGGCAGGGAGAGAGAGGTGGCAGGGAGGACCAGGAAGAAGAATGGTATATAGCTAGCTGGTAAACCAGCCCACGCAAAGGGCAGTGCATGCAGTAGCAGCTGCCAAGGCTGGGACTCTGCGACATGACCAAATGAAGCCAGTGGAAGGGAGAGAGCTTGGCAAGGCAGTATTGCGTAATTGTCACAGAGAGGCGGCAGTTAGAGGAGACAGTAAGACTGGCTGCCCTGCCAAACCGCAGCTAACACAGTCACAATAAACAGCTCTCCCCTCTCTCCCTCCTCTCCAGACTCTCCTTCTTCTTTCTACCCTTCCATCAGGAACAGGTGAGATGTAGGCAGATAGAGGTGTATACAGTGGTAATGGAGAGTACAATAGATGGCCTTGTGTGAGCAGCAGCCACCAACATCCACACACACAGAGAGTGAACTGTCACCATTTCCAGCCCTCAGTGGATTGAGTTGGGAAGACAAGAGGAGAGGAGGAGGTGGAGAGAGAGAGAGAAAGGAAACAGTGTGGGCTAGTGCACAGCTGGCATGACATGTCTGCCTGGCAGATTCCCACTATAGAGACACTCTCCAGCACACCGCCACTCCATTAACTACCATGGCCTCTGTGTAAATAATGCTCCACCAGTACACAAATACAGGCAATTGAGGGCCACTCTGTTTATCCTGTACCACACAAAAAGAAAGACAGGAAAACAGCTAAGACCAAGCCAAGAAAGGGAGGGAGGGAGGGGAAAGGGCCCTGAAAGGAGCATTTTCCCAGCCTATCAATCCTGATCAGAACCACAGGAAGTTACCAAGCCACAGCACACAAATCTTTCCCTGCACACAGCTCCTGGAGTCATGTGAGGCAGGGAGATGACAATGGGGCACAAAGGGAGAGTGGTAGTCACTTCCATTGAGACCATTCACAGACACAGGCATCTACACGATCCTGAATACTGCCCCTCAGCTGGCTGGCCAACCACCTATCTCACACAACACACTCCCATACTCTCTACACAGCAAACATGTGGAGATTTTGATAGGGCAGTGGAGAGATGTCCAGCTGCCATAGTGACAGAACACTATCTCTTGTCTCCCCTTCTTTTTATTATATATATTTTTGATCCAAAAGGAACACTACAGGCCTAATGCTGGGAGTACTTCCTCCATACACAACACACACAGCCATACTCGGGCTGTAGTAGCACGCACACACAGTGGCAGGATCATACCTGTCTAAACTGCATGTAACTTTGCCAAATGTGCCTTCTCCAAGTGTTCTCAGTATCTCATCTGTGGGAAGGAAAACACCTGGCTGATAAAAACCCAACTTCCCTCAATTGAAAATGCTCAAACTGAAACTGTCAACAAGCCGTCTTCTAAAAACAACATACATGTATTAGGTCAGGGTTATAGGACTATGGCTGGCTTCAAGGCAGCTCAGTACCGGCTGAACCATGAATATTATCTGTACCGGGCCATCAGTTACAACATCTGATATCCTAAAACACGGCGCTCGGGGCCAGCAAACCACCCAGCGTGCGGCGCGCTGACTTACATCTCGTCTCGAGTCGATCTCCTCTGGTGTATATGAGGTGGCCTTCTGGATCGTCTCTCACTTTGGCCGCGGCTGGCGCGGAGGAGGCCGTCACGCGAGCGCCCGCTGCGGTGGTGGACGTGTGAGAAGAGACCGGAGGCGCCACGCGCGAGGCGGGCGGTGGCTGAGGATGGGAGTAGGACAACTCGGTAGTCAGAACGCGCTCCGCGTCACTTTTGCTGCCTCTCTTGAAGGCCTTGAGGCCCGAGTTCTTCTGTTTCCTCGTCTTGATCTGGACGGTGGCCGTGGCAGACGTGGTCCCGGCGGTAGAGTGGACGTGGGACTGGAGAGACGCCGTGGCAGAGTCCCCGGGTTTCCGCACACACATAGCCAACATGGCGAGAGGCGGCGGGTGAGAAGAGAGAGGAGAAGAGAGGGAGAGCAGCTGTTACAGTCTTCTAGTAAAATCTCTGTTGCAATCAACTTATTATACGAGGCGCAAATCGCTCTTCGGACACACTGGGAGCCAGAGACTCGCAGATCAGAGAAAGTGGACAGCGGGCGGCCAGCGAGACGAGTCTTTCTCTCTCGCGCGCGCAGCTGAAGGTGAGCCGTCAGCAGGTCAGAACCAGGCAATTCACTGCTTCTTGTCTCTTATACTACGTATCAACTCCATTAGAACTAGCTAGCGGCTACAACTCTTTGGACAATAACACCAACTACACGTATAGGACATTTCCGCTAACAGGGTGCTATAATTGGAATAAACACGGCGGAGCGGGCGCGCACTGCACACGCGCACGCGGTTTTTACGCGCATGCGCATAAGCCAAAGTTTTCTATCTCAGAAGATTCGAATTACAAAAGCCTTTAAAACGCTCCACGTGCCACAGACAGCAATGAGAGTAACTAAAAACAGTGGCCCAGGGGCAGACTCACATACCAGGGAGTTTTCATTGGGTGGCGCATGTCTCCGTCTCCGTTTAGTGGGACTGGGGCTGGGCTGCTGTCTGCGTCGTGTGTGTGACGAGGAGTTAGACAGCCTCTGCTGCTGGTAGTTGAGGGAGAAGGAATGAGCATTGCGCCATCTTCCCTGACTCTTTCACTGCGTTTTCCCTTGTGCCTCGTCTGTGCCCGTTCACTGGAGGGTTTGGTGGTCGCGGTGGGCGGACTCGGAGGTCGTATCTATGCTGATGTTGTTGACTGATGGGAGGGGCGGGGAGGGAGAGGGGGTCTGTGGTGGGAAGAGAGAGGTAGTCCCTCTCGTGAGGCAGTAATGGGGCCAGTTTGGGTCTCTTAGAGCGCAGTCCAGGGTAACCCTCTGCAGTTGATGGTGCGATTCTTCTCTTGGCCATTGTGTGTCTGAAAGATGAGCAGAATAAGAAGACAGGGAGAGAGTAAGAAAGTGAAAGTAGGAGAGAGGACACCGACTGGCTCAGTGCAATAAACTTGGCACACCGACACACTCTCTGGTAAACTTATAGAGAGGTAACTAGAAGTCTAAGACACAACAGAGAGTCAAAGTGAGGAGTACAAAGTTACAATAATGGTTTCTTCACACTAGGAAAACCTTTTTTCTGACACCTTGTAATATACTTGTTATTGAGCAGTATACAAGAAAAGAGCTTATCCCTGCTACTACTAAGATACTCTCCCTCCCCAGTGGTGCATGTACGAGTGGCTAATAAACACACATTCCCCTTCTTCTAAACTTGAGATGTAGAGCGGCGGGCGCCCCCTCCCCCAAGGCACGCCTCAAAACACAACATACGTAAAAAAAGCTTTAGTAGGTACAAAAGTGTAGAGTAAGTTTTTAGAGAGGTGTGAAGTATGTTTCTTACCAGAACCGTCGTTCAGGGAGTCGATGACTTGCTGCTGAAATACAGGAGAGGCGACAAAACAGAACCGGGCCGCACAGCGCTATACCGCCATTTTGAGTTCAAAATTCCGGCACGTGACCAGGTTTCGGATAAATAGAATCGAGAAGACGGGTTGAGCCAGAGCATGGCTGCCGTTCGTGGTTTTTCTCTGGGGAAGCTAGCCAGCGTCCGCATGATATTCTCCGTTTTTGACAGTAGATCTACCTCCACAAGGTGTGTGTGTGTCGGTGTTGACCTATTTAGTTTGACGAGAAAAATTTGCTCGGTCGGGATGCTTACACACACACACAACCCACACACTACCCCAGAGAGTTCATGCGTAGAGTGACTGCTGCAAGAGTTCGAGAGACCAACTCCAAATGTGACGTTACACACGAGGTCAGAGGCGACCAAACCCCGCCTACAGTGCAAGTCAGATTTAGTACGTCTTACATTAGGATACTATGTGTGTATAATGTTATCTTTGTTCCTCTTCTTTCTCTCCTTCTGCTGATTGCCTCTGTTGTAAGCTGATGGAAGTGAGTTTGTGTTGGAAGGAGCTTCTCACACTGCTCTGGACATTATAGCAGCTATCAACAGGAAATCCAGAACACTCTAATGCTCATCGTCATCATGACCCAGCCAACTAGCAGCCGTAGTTGTTGCACATAGTGACTGAGCTGAGGGTCTCGAACTTTAGTGCTTCCATTGATTGTGCAGATTGAGCACCATGCATGTCCCAACACTTTATTTCACCACTGATATGATATATAGTGTGCCTGAGACATGCAGAAAGTGATGACTGGGCTAAGACTGCGTTGTGGGTGGAGTTTCATGCTTTCAGTTGCTAGGTGGCAGCTTCCCATGTTTTTTCTGGAGAGACTGGATGGTTGCCGTGGGAAACTGGTCAGCGTGGGCCTCCATGTACTTGAGAACGTACTCATCTGCATCAGTCAGAGTAAACCGGTGCTTCAGGACCTGATGAGAGAGAGGGGTGGGGGAGTGGTTCAGTGTTGTGCGATACTTGAAGAACACCCTCCAAATGCTCTATAATGGCACTATGTTCTGCTCCATGCTGAAACGTTAATGACAATAAGGGACACCTCTGAATAAAGCCACTTTAGATGTCCCAAGGTTTCATTCTGTTATATAGAGATCACCTCGATGGTAGTTCCAATGGCAAAGTTCTGTGGCTGGTAGAAAGATGGTTGGTCGGGGGAGCTGTTGGGTTTGGCTACTCTCATTCTCTCTAGAAACTTGCCTCCAAGGATACCTGCATTTCTGCTCCACACACACACACACAGAGTATATATATTATGGTGAAGGACTGTGGTTTAATAGAGATTACCTCTGTGGTGGTTCAAATATGGCCATAGTGTCGTCTGACAAGTAGTAGGAGATTATGAACTTGCGATGTTCATCTTCAGCTCTTGGAGAATCCTACATGTGTACACAATACACTTGTTTGCACCATAATTATTCACAAAAATGCTCTTTTTTTTGGAGTAATGGTTACTTTATGACGTGAGAGCAACAATAAATTTCACACTCACCATGACTGCGGCAAATCTGAGAACTTTTCCATCATTCTCCAACATCTTGATGAAGTCTTTTTTGGGAGGTTGTGGGATGAGAGAGAGACACGACTGTTTGCTGTCCTCAAGACTCCCAAACCCATTGTAGGGAGGGAGAGGCTGCAGAGATTGAGTTAGTGGCTGATCTTGAAGAGAAAGGGAGAGAGAAGGACTGACTTGCTCCACTGCCTGTGGCGGAAGCTGCTGGACTTGAATTGGAGTGAAATTAGTGACGTTGAAATTCACTCTGTAAAACTCTTTGGTGAACCCATCGCAGTCATAGCTGTAGGAGGAGAGGAGGGGAGAGAGAATCATAGTGGTGGTATAATAATTATAATTATACTGCTTACAGGAGGAACCTCCTGCCCATGATGTTGATGGTCTTGCCAATTCCAAGGTCTATTGGAGACAGCCATTCTTTCACCTCGTTCTCTGACACCTCCATCACTCCAGCTGGGAAATTTGCTGCAAATATGTACAGCAGTGATCTGCTATAATGATGGTGTGCTATGAGCTGATAAATACAGTGGAACCCTTCACCAACTGGACAGCAACATTAGTGAGTTGTCCTTTCATCAGGGGTTAAAATGCATGCAAGAACGGTTCTAAGATAAATTGTTTAATAGAGAGGTTTCCCCCTTTCTCATAGGGATCCATGAAGAGGGATTCCACTGTATAGAGCTAGTCAGAGCTAGTCTAGTCACCAGGAAGGCAGCTGCGATCTTTGGGCAGTCTCTGTCGACACAGCAGCACTGGGTAAGGGTCTCTGCCATCATTTGGTTCGTGGATCTCTCTTATCTCCACTGTGTCATCCACCAGGTAGTAGTGTAGGATCTAGAGTTGGATGAAGTTCAAAATGAGCCCGAGAGAAGAGGGGGGGGGACTTACGTAAGGTTTCATCTCTCCGAACATGCTGTCTCTGTCGTCCCAGACGCAGAAGAAGTGGAGGACATGGCGATCCATCTCAATAAACTGTTTCAGTTTGTCGTAGGTGGAGGGAGTGGTGTATGAGTAGGTGGGGAGGTGGCGGGTCTGTGTGTATGGGTCAGTTGGCATCGCCTCTGCAGCTGACAGCTCTATTCCCTCACTCTCCATGAAGTCCTGTGTCATGTGACAATCACATCAAGGGTGTGACACATGGTACTGTAGCTTTAGGCCAAAACGCTATATCGCAACTCTGTTGTATGACATATCATACCCATATACTTTGTATGCAACACTTTATCTCATGCAACAAGCAATACATTGCTAGGCTGTCTAACTACTCACTGCTGTGAACTTGTCACAGTTGAAGATGTGGAAGACTTTGCCATAGAAAGTGACGTCGATTCCCAGGTTGAGGTCCTTCCAGTGCCACAGTCGACCCAGCTCATCGCAAGGAATCCTCTGTCTCTTGATCAGCTTCCCCTGTGGAATACCACTGCATGGGAGGCACAGAAGACCTCACAACTGAAGCCAGCCAGAGAACAGAGAGAGAGAGTGGACCTGTTCTCCACCATTGGCTCCACGACGGATATAGAGTCGTCCTCCAGGTAGTAGAACACCCTCACATCTCTGAGTCTGTAGTGCTCGTTTGGAGACTCATGTACCGTCTGTTTGAAGTAGGCGTCAAACCTTAGGACCTGCACATGAAACCATACGTGTGAGCTGCAATACAACTACAATCCTGCTGTTACCTTTTTGTCAAATGCAACGTGTGCAGGCACAAATTCTACTGGAGCCGGTTTTGTACTGTTTCCGTAGGTGAGAGTTGGTTGGGTGTTGGCCAATTCGTCCAGAGCATCGTCTGTCAGTTGGTTTACAAGCAGAGGATCGCCCCCTACCGCGCGGAGAGGTCGCGAGGCCAAAGCATACCCGTTCTTGAAGCCAAGCGACTGACTCACGTGATACTTGGTCCTCTACACAGGCAAAACCCACACTAAAATCAAATTCTAATACAATTTCGACTCACAGTTGGGTCTTTGAAGCTGTTTCCTGGAAGAAACGGCAGGGACATGATGACCGCCGAGAAGCTTGTTTACTATGTTGCTCCTGTAACTATGGGCAACCGCTGAAGCGCACACGTGAGCATGCATGGAGCAAGCACGTGAGCTACACGTACTTCGAACTTTTCTCGAGGTCTGCACGTTTTTTCCCGCTTTTTCGGAGAGCGAGATTAAAAAAACTGACAAGCCCCACCACCAATGGCTGGTTGCAAGGTAAGTTGGAGAGCCAGTTTGCTGGGCAGAAGTTGACCCTCTACGTCTCTCTCTCTCCTGCAGGATTACATCATACTGTGTCTGGACACGGGTCCGTCCATGGACACTGCTCCGCTGGACGAGGGAGAGACGCGGCTAGAGACGGCCCTCAATATTGCCTCTCGTGTCGTCCAGCAGAAGGCAAGTCCACTCCTCTGTCCTGCATGCTGTTGACCACTGTTTTACATTTTATTGCTGTTTCAAAGATGTTTGCAGGCAGCAAAGATTTTGTTGGACTAGTGCTCTTTGGAACAAATGGTCAGGAATTCTACCTTCTGTGATTTATTTTCGTATGATGTCACAGATACTGATAATGAGCTTGCCGTTGATGGGGAAGGGTACCAACACATCACTGTTGCCTGGCAACCAGCACAACCATCGCTGGAATTCCTGCGCTATCTGACCAATCAGATTACAGCGGGCGACACACCTGGAGACTGTATCTGCCGTTATAATTCATGGGCTCTGTGTTGAGAGGCTCTGTTGCATTACCTATACCTAATGCTAGATGTAGTTGATACATACCGCTTGGCTAAAGTTTGTAGCATAAGTCTCGTAGCCAAACAAGTTTTGTCTTGGGGTAAATCCTCGATGCATAAAGAGAGAATGTTGTTATTCGTGACTGGTAGATCCAGTTATTGATGCTCTGGTGGTTGCCATGGATGTTCTGGTGAAGACTGTCTCCACGGCAAAGAGGGTGGGGGAGAAGAAGATTTACCTCATCACAGACGTGGGGTCAGAGTACACAGACGATGGACTGGGGGAGATAGCGGCAGGTCTGAGGGACAGAGGCATTCAGCTGATTGTCGTGTGAGTTAACCCCATGGCTACTGGCATTGCAATGCTCAGGGAGTGACGGTGGAGCCTAGACTTTTCACCTGGACTCAAGCTAATCTTATTCCTGTGCTTTGCAAGAATCAAGACGAAATGCCAAAGCTCCCTTAGCACTAGACCGCTTATGCAAATTTTTTGAAAGAACAACACCTCACTGTAGCTATAGTCTCTGTCAAAGCAATAATTCGAGATTGCCTCAAATTCTATCGATAAATTTGGCTACGGGTGGACGAGACCGCCAAGAGGCTATACCAACAGGTTCGGTGCTACACTGGTTGAAAAATTTATGGCTTCAAAAGCAAGTAAACCAGCCAATATGCCATTGAGCACGGCGTACCTGGACTTAAATTCCGCCCATGTTCTGCACTGTGGGTTGACTAACCAATCTGATTGGTTGATTCAAAATGACCTCTGCACTAAGTGGGTGTCCTTACTATGAACATAATTAACCCTCGGCGTGCATGCACAGCGAGGGTTATGGTAGTTGTCGTGTGTGTCTATCTGTCCGTCTGTTACTCGACTCACTTCACGAGCCAGCAATCGCTCCAAAAATGAAAAAGCACTAAAGTGCAAATGTTTTCACATAGGCTATAATTCTGGACTCTGGTTCCACACTCAATTAGGGTATGGAGAAGTGGAAGTGTGGGGTTTGGGTGTTCGGAGGTATGGAAGTGTGGGGTTTGGGTGTTCGGAGGTATGGAAGTGTGGGGTTTGGGTGTTCGGAGGTATGGAAGTGTGGAGGGTTGGGTCTAAGGAGGAGCCCTCAGGCAATGCAATATATTATACGATGTTCGTGCCTATAACTTGCTTATGGTGCGTGTGAGGACTGCTCAGTGGTACTCCAGCGGCTGTTGAGGACTGCTCAGTGGTACTCCAGCGGCTGTTGAGGACTGCTCAGCGGTACTCCAGCGGCTGTTGAGGACTGCTCAGTGGTACTCCAGCGGCTGTTGGAGGACTGCTCAGCGGTACTCCAGCGGCTGTTGGAGGACTGCTCAGCAGTACTCTAGTGGCTGTTGGAGGACTGCTCAGCGGTACTCTAGTGGCTGTTGAGGACTGCTCAGTGGTACTCTAGTGGCTGTTGAGGACTGCTCAGTGGTACTCTAGTGGCTGTTGAGGACTGCTCAGTGGTACTCCAGCGGCTGTTGGAGGACTGCTCAGTGGTACTCCAGCGGCTGTTGGAGGACTGCTCAGTGGTACTCCAGCGGCTGTTGGAGGACTGCTCAGTGGTACTCCAGCGGCTGTTGAGGACTGCTCAGTGGTACTCCAGCGGCTGTTGGAGGACTGCTCAGTGTACTCCAGCGGCTGTTGGAGGACTGCTCAGTGTACTCCAGCGGCTGTTGGAGGACTGCTCAGTGGTACTCCAGCGGCTGTTGAGGACTGCTCATATGTGTACTCCAGCGGCTGTTGAGGACTGCTCAGTGGTACTCCAGCGGCTGTTGAGGACTGCTCAGTGGTACTCCAGCGGCTGTTGGAGGACTGCTCAGTGGTACTCCAGCGGCTGTTGGAGGACTGCTCAGTGGTACTCTAGTGGCTGTTGGAGGACTGCTCAGTGGTACTCCATCGGCTGTTGGAGGACTGCTCAGTGTACTCCAGCGGCTGTTGAGGACTGCTCAGCGGTACTCCAGCGGCTGTTGAGGACTGCTCAGTGGGTACTCCAGCGGCTGTTGAGGACTGCTCAGGTGGTACTCCAGCGGCTGTGAGGACTGCTCAGCGGTACTCCAGCGGCTGTTGAGGACTGCTCAGCGGTACTCAGCGGCTGTTTGGAGGACTGCTCAGTGTATCGCGGCTTTGATGCTCAGTGGTACTCGCAGCGTTTAACTGCTCAGTGTACTCCAGCGGCTGTTGAGGACTGCTCAGTGGTACTCAGCGGCTGTTGAGGACTGCTCAGCGGTACTCCAGCGGCTGTTGAGGACTGCTCAGCGGTACTCCAGCGGCTGTTGAGGACTGCTCAGTGGTACTCCAGCGGCTGTTGGAGGACTGCTCAGTGGTACTCCAGCGGCTGTTGGAGGACTGCTCAGTGGTACTCTAGTGGCTGTTGGAGGACTGCTCAGTGGTACTCCATCGGCTGTTGGAGGACTGCTCAGTGGTACTCCAGCGGCTGTTGAGGACTGCTCAGCGGTACTCCAGCGGCTGTTGAGGACTGCTCAGTGGTACTCCAGCGGCTGTTGAGGACTGCTCAGTGGTACTCCAGCGGCTGTTGAGGACTGCTCAGCGGTACTCCAGCGGCTGTTGAGGACTGCTCAGCGGTACTCCAGCGGCTGTTGGAGGACTGCTCAGTGGTACTCCAGCGGCTGTTGAGGACTGCTCAGTGGTACTCCAGCGGCTGTTGGAGGACTGCTCAGTGGTACTCTAGTGGCTGTTGGAGGACTGCTCAGTGGTACTCCATCGGCTGTTGGAGGACTGCTCAGTGGTACTCCAGCGGCTGTTGGAGGACTGCTCAGTGGTACTCCAGCGGCTGTCGGAGGACTGCTCAGTGGTACTCCAGCGGATGTTGGAGGACTGCTCAGCAGTACTCTAGCGGCTGTTGGAAGACTGCTGTTCATGAATATTGGGTTGCATTGTGTCCAACCTCTTCTGTGTGCAATGTAAAAAATGTTGAACTAATCAACTAGTCAGTGGTGATGTAATGGTAATGGTATTAGTGGTCCAGATTTGGGTGATGATAATGGCGATGGAGGGGGAGGTGGAGGAGGGGAGAGGGAGGAGGGGGTGGAAGCGGGAACAGTGTGATGAAGAAGACGGCTCAGCAGTTGGCCGGAGAGGCAGTGCTGAGTAGACTGGTGGCAGAAGTTGATGGAGCTAGCTTCTCTTTCCAGTCAGTCACCACCATTACTTATTACGTGGCCTGACTCTCTCTCCTGCTCTCCCTCTTCCCCTCCTCCAGAGAGGCGTCTCAAGTAGCAAACTTTATCAGGAAGACAGGAAAGAGACAAACCACAAGGTTTGCAGGACATCTGGAACTTGGCTCTTCCCTAAAGATTGCCTGCAAGATTTTCACCAAGGTCAGGGTTGACCTCAGAGGAACAGTTGTCATGGTGATGGTTGTCTAGGTGATGCACGAGCGTCCGGCAACGTGGAAGAAGCTGAGTGCAGTGAGTGAGGCTGCTCGTTGCCAGGGGCAACAAGCAGCAGTCCAGATACAGCGGTCGTACTACCTTAACAATGAGAACGAGACGCAGGTGGAGCATGACAACATCGTCAAGGGTAACTAGGGTTTTGTGGCACTTGGCCCCATTTTTCATCTTAAAAGTAAGTGCACACCGACCCAGTGGTTTGCCCCCACTTTTGCGTCGTCGGCCTTTCTTCGGATCAATTTTCTGAAACGAAGTCGTGGTAACATCTGACCTCTGACCTGTGCTGCAGGGTACCGATATGGGAAGAGTCTGGTTCCCATCACAGACGAGGATGAGTCTCAGATGAAAGCCTCTTCCGAGCGCTGTCTCTCTCTCCTTGGCTTCTCCCCCGAGACCTGCGTCTCCACCCACCAGACTCTCGGCTCCTCTGTCCAGGTGGTGGTCCCAACCCCAGATGACCAGGTACATGTACTGATAGTAAATAATATCACGGGCAGATGCCAGCTCCTACATGTAAGTTTGAGGATCAACACTTTTGAAGCACTTTTGTTGAAAGGGCCTATTCCTTGGTCCAATTTAACCTAAAAGCATGTGTACATATCCAAGCCAAGTTTGAACAGCATTTTTGAGCTTAATTCCCATTTAGCCTTGTGGTCCTTTTGTTAGGCTTCATTATCCAAGCCTATAGTCTGCTGATTGTGATTGTAGATGTGTTGTTTTGCCTTGTCTTTGCCAAGTGACATTGTCAACACGGCCATTGTATGGGTTCATGTTGTGTAGGAGCCATTGTTACAACACTGCACAAACAGCATAATTTCCGGCTCTCTCCCCCTTTTTCGCTCTCAGAATGCTGGTGCCGCGATGTCTGCTCTCATTCATGCTTTGTACGAGACAAAGAATGTGGGTGTGGCCAGATACATTGCTAGGAAGAATGCAGCTCCACGTCTAGTTGCTCTACTGCCCCAGATCAAAGCTTCTCACGAGGTAATCATTACTGGAGATGATGTAATGATGAATTATGTCTTGGTAACAGTGTCTCCTAATGTTACATCTGCCGTTCATGGAGGATATTCGCCAGTACACATTTCCCTCTCTCTCTGGACCTAGTGGATCAGCCACACCCTCAGGTAAGATGGTGCATTGGTCGCCAGGTATAATGCAGATGTGCAGACTTACACCTCAATCTCTCTCTCTCTCTCTTCAGCCGAGCAGCTGGCTGCTGTGGATTCTCTCATTTCATCCATGGACCTCATGTCTGCTGACAGGTAATGGGGAAAGGGGTGTGGCAGTGGGTGTGGTCCAATTATCTGCAGGGACGAGGATGGGGAGAGATGCGAAGCACTGAAACCAAAGCTGACGATGAATCCTCTGACACAACGAGTGTTTCAGTGCATTTCGCAGCGTGCTCTCAACCCTGATTCCACGTTACCTGACATGGACCCGGGACTGCATCATGTGTTGGAACCAGGCCAGGCCCTCCTGTCTCTCTGCTCATCTGCTCTGGCTGGAATCAAGGTCCAATTGATGTCACTTGTTACTGCATATCATATCGTGATTGTGAATTTGCTATGCAAGTGTATTATTATGGAGAGGGCCTGTCTCTACAGGAGGCCTTTCCCCTGATGAGAGTGGAGAAGAAGGACAATAAGGGGACAGCAGTCTGGAAAGAGAGGTACATGACCTCGCTCTGTCCTCTGATCACCTGCCACCTGACTCCCCAGTTCTGACCTTGATGTGGAAGGTCAGGGTCCGTCGGTAAAGAAACCACGAGTTGAAGAAGAAACTGACTTCAGTATGGCTTCCCTGGCGAGGGGAGAGGTCACAGAGGTCAGAGTGAGCACATCATGTGACTGTCATGTGACTCTGTAATTGCAGGTGGGAACGCTGGACCCAGTTGCAGATTTCTGCAGGATAGTTACCAGAAATGACTACGACTTCAACCATTGTAAGGGCTGTAGACCACCAGAGGAAATTACTCTGTAATTTGTGTGGGGGAGATAGGCCTGTGGGATTATTCCTGAATAATTCTGGGAATAAAGGCAGTGCAGATAAGACCAACATGCATTACCTAACCACAGAAATGGTGAGAAGAGACAATCACAGGCCTATCTAAGCATAGGCCTGTGCTTGTCTCTTCCCACCATCTTATCCATTTCTGGGGTTAGGTAAGCATGTTGATCTATCCTTTCATGTACCAGTAGTGCATTTGGCAGTGAATGTGTGGGAGTTACACATTGCACTGTACTACAGGTTGCAGACAGCTGCAAGGCACCATGATGAAATTGGTGAAAGAATCATTTGGAGACTCCCAGTACAGAAAGGCCATGGACTGCCTTCGCTGTCTCCGCAGAGAATGTCTCCAGGTTTCATACTAGAAGTGGTTGCCATGGTTATGATGTTACTCCCTGCCACAGAGGTCGGAGGTGAAGATATTTAACGATTTTCTACGACAGGTCAAAGGTGACCTAATCGGCACTCGCTACTCCTCCTTCTGGGAATGCATTGTTACAGGTGAGGGGGGGAACCATGGAAACTGTACCTTACCTTGTTTGTGTGGTAACAGATGGTGTTACCATGGTGACAAGCAGTGAGTGTTCTGTCAGCAGTGTGTCTGAGAGTGATGCGAAGGAGGTGAGTGGAGTGTATCAGTCTTTCTCTATAATTATACTACCTCCTGTGTTCGCTGCAGTTTCTGCTGAATCAGCAGCAGCAGGAGGTGGAGGAGGGAGAGGGAAAAGAGGGAGATGAAGCTGATGATTTGGTGAGCAGTGTCCCCAATGGATGGAGAAACTTTGTTTGGCAGCGTGGGCAAGATAGTGCATACACCACAGAGTCTAACGGAAAGTCGGTTGTTTTTGAGGAAGTGTCCGTTATGTGAACTTGCCCTCTACATGCCAACATATTAAAGACAGTTTCACATGAGTACAGCATGCCATTGGTGGGTGGGAGCTTTCCTGCCTTATGAAAAGTGACTATAACCTACAAATCTGACAGGAAGTCACTGTGGGTGTTCACATATTCAGGGTTCAATTCAGTATGTGGCCCTTGGTAGGATACTTGCTGTGGGTAAACAACCTAGAGTGTGGTCCAAACTGTCAATTACAAAGCCATGTTTTTGTGTAGTGTACTGCAAGAGTTGATGTTGTGGTAATGGTTGTTGCAGCACCTTTTGTTAGTGTGGCTACTTCTCTGTTTCTCTCCAGCTGGCTATGATGTGACACACAGTCACCATCCTCCATGAGTTGTTCCTTTGTGTTTGTGGAATTTTAAATGTTGTGAAGTGAAGTGAACCGCGCCCGCACCTTTTCTCCGCGCGTTATTTCACAATAAATTACGCATCGCGCGTATTATATATATAGCTGCGCAGTGCGAATGCGCATGTGCAGAACGACCTATAAAACACGTGCGTGCGCCTGCGTGGCATCATCTTTATCCCTGGTGGTTGTTTGAGCAGTTGGCTTGCGCAGCATGGGGGGCGGTGGTTCTCGTCCGTCTACTCCTGAGCCGCCTGAGCCAACACCTGGGCCGTCGCAGCCTGGCCCAGTCAGTGCACGGCTGGAAGTCGACCCTGATTCGGTGCAGAGCATCTGCAAAACCGGTGACTGGGACGTAGACGGCTACCTCGTCGTTCGCAGAGCTGTCCAATTCCCCGTCACTCTCATTTCCAGAGTGCGGCTGCAGGTTACGCAGGTGCTGCTGGTGGATGCCAATGACCCTCGCAACTCGGTGCAGCTCTCCCACGAAGAAGTCGCCTCTCGCACAACGGCGTCGGGGATCGAGGTCTGCGTCACTCTTCCTGCTGACCTGCCAGTTGGCGAGTACGTCCTGCGAGTGAGCGGCCGTAGCGGTGATGGCCAGGAGTTCCAGACAAGACTGCGGAGGAAAGTAGCGGTCTTCTTCAACGCCTGGTCCACGGAGGATGCGGTGTTCATGGAGGACGAGAAGCTGCGGCGGGAATACGTCCTCAACACGGACGCCCAGCTGTATGCAGGGAGCCTCTACGGAATGCCGTGGAAGCTAGCTCTCTACCGCGAGGCTACGTTCAACGCGGTGCTGCTCTTGCTGCGGAAGGCGCCGCTAACCTTCGAGCAGCGGAGGAGCGTCGTGCTGGTGTCCCGCGATATGTCTGCACTGGTGAATGTGCAGGACGACAGCGGAGTGCTGGTAGGCAACTGGTCTGGGAATTACACGCCCTACACGAGCCCGTCCGCCTGGCGAGGGAGCGGCAAGATCCTGCGGGAGTACTGGGAAAGCGGCGGCGAGCCTGTTCGCTACGGGCAGTGTTGGGTCTTCTCTGGCGTGCTTCTCAGCGTTCTGCGTGTGCTGGGGATTCCCTCTCGCTCCATCACCAACTTCAACTCGGCTCACGACACCAACCGCAACCGCACCATTGACGAGTACTATTCTGAGAATGGGAAGAAGATCTCTTACCTCAGCAATGGCTCTGATTCCATTTGGTAAGTGGTTGTGTTTATGCACCCCTCTTCTTGGTGTCTCTGAGATAATAAAATATTCCCCTCCTAGGAATTTCCACGTGTGGAACGAGGCATGGATGGCCCGAAGTGACCTTCCCTCAGGATTTGGTGGCTGGCAGGTGGTGGACGCCACTCCACAAGAGCAGAGTCCCCAGGGAGGAGGCTACAGAACTGGGCCCGCACCTGTCAAGGCCATCAAGGAAGGAAACTCAGTTGTGTATGATGTCAACTTTGTGATAGCCGAGGTTAGTAGCCGGCTCTCTCCATTTCTGACTGACCAACTGACTGACTGACTGCAGGTGAATGCAGACATCAAGAAGTACCAAGTGGACAGCAGTGGAGTGCCAAAACTGACGAGTGTGGACAACAGAACTGTTGGAGAGACCATCAGCACCAAGTCAGCCACCTCAAGACAACGAGAGGATGTCACTAATGCTGTGCGTTTGACTGCTGTCTTTTCTACCACATTCTTCTTCACTCTCATACTTTTTCGACACTATCCTTTTCCACTCCTATTCCCCTCTTTACTTTGGTCCCTCTGTGTTCTGCAGTACAAACACCCGGAGGGGAGCAGAATGGAGCGACGAGCTCTCTACCATGGCTATGATGATCTCCTGAAACAAAGCCACGATGTGACGTTCACAGTTCCCGAGAAGAAGTTCCGTTTTGGTGAAGATGTCACTCTGGATGTGGAGATGACAAACAAGGCCAAACAGCATGTAGTGAGGGGGGACCATTCTGTGTGAGGCTGTGGACTATACTGGCAAGGTATCTATGGAATGTCTGATGTTGTGCAATTGGTCCAGTAATGCATATTGCTAAGGGTGAAAATTTTGTACGACAGCACCTTTCCCTCAAAACAGCTTGATGCTATAGTGTAGCAGCTATGGTGCAAGGAAAGTGAATGTTTGGCTAGCAAGAAGTGGGCATGAGGCTGACGGGTGTTGCCATGTGTTGTTTTCCCACAGGTTCTGAGGGAAGTCAAGAGTTTGGATGTGGAAACCAAGATCAACAAAGGGAAGACTGAAACCGTTTCCATGACAATCAGCGGCAGTGTTTTCAGCGAGTATCCCGGAGACAAGGTAAGAACTGTTGAATTTCCCGAGGTTGCACGTGATGTGAAGCTCTATCCGCCCTCCCTCCCCCCTCCCTGCAGGTGTACCTGAAGTTCACTATCTACCTGGCAGTGATCGGAACCAGTCAGGTGTTTGCAGAGACCAGATCCATTGCCCCTGACCTGCCTCCTCTGAAGATACTGGCCCCCTCCCGGCTGGCTCTGGGAGTCCAGTCTCAGGCAACGGTTGTCTTCAAGAACCCTCTCTCTGTGAAGATGGAGAACATCGTACTCACTGTTGAGGGAGATGGACTGCTTACTGGTGAGTTGGTGGGGCCTGTTGCCAGGTAACCTGTGACACTCCTCCAATTCCAGAGGACATTGAGAATGTGGTAGGGACTATCGATGCTGGAGCCACTTTCTCCGACACATTTGACATCGTGGGTATGGAGCTTGGGAAACAGGAGCTGGTTGCTGGGCTCAACTCAAGCCAGGTTGAGCTGGTTGCTGGGGTGACGGAGGTTGTCGTTGACGAGGGGACGGAGGAGACAGACTCTCCGACTCTCCCCGAGGCAGTCAAAGTCACGTCTGTGGAGAGGAACATTTCCGTCAACAAGAGAGTGAGTCTCTACACGTGTTGCCCAGGCCAAGTCCTTAGAGGGGCTACATGAACTGAGACAGAGTTGGTTTCACGATCTTCCTGCAGGTCCACCACACTGATGCCTATGATATGGAGGGCCTCGTTCTGAGGAGAGGCCAACTGTTCTCTCTCACTCTCCACCTGGCCAAACCCATCTCCGCAGCAAACCTTGTTACCACAGCGATGTTTACTCTCCTTGGAAGCCGTAACCGATCTCTCAGATCGTTTGAAGTCGCGACAGTGTCGAAGCCGTCTGGAACGGAGCTGACTGTAGAACTGACAACTCCATCAGATGCCGAAATTGGCAGGTGGGCGTTGAGAACCTGAGCTCTGTTGTAATGCAGGTAGTTCGTTAGTCGTGCTATTCTCTACTTCACACTCATTCAGAATTTTAGCAACGCTCAGTATGTGTGTCTGTGTGCAGGTACAAGGTGTTGCTGAAGGTTGGAGTGGGTGAGAATGTGACGGTAGTCAGCGATGGACTCACTGCTGTGCTGCTATTCAACCCGTGGAATAGCGGTCAGTTTCTATAACTGATATTCCCAACGTACCTCTTCCTTCCCCCACCATGTTTTAATTTTACAAACTACCTCTCCCCCATCTACAACTTATCCTCCCCACCCCTCCTCCACCTCCTGTTTTCTCTCTACAGAGGACAAATGCTACTACTCTGAGACAAGGGAACTGTCAGAGTATGTCCTAAACACCAGGGGCAAGATCTGGGTTGGCAGTGCCGACAGTAACTACGGGAGACCGTGGCAGTTTGCACAGTTCACTCCACAGGCTCTGGATGTGGCCATGTGGATGTTGGAGCGTCTCCCAGCACAGGACAGGGCTGACCCCATCAAGGTATATATAATATCCCCACGGTTAAGTGGTTAGGTAAGAGCTTTTGTATACTGTGTGGTTTTCTAGCTTTTGTATACTGTGTGGTTTTCTAGCTTTTGTGTACTGTGTGGTTTTCTAGCTTTTGTATACTGTGTGGTTTTCTAGCTTTTGTATACTGTGTGGTTTTCTAGCTTTTGTGTACTGTGTGGTTTTCTAGCTTTTGTGTACTGTGTGGTTTTCTAGCTTTTGTATACTGTGTGGTTTTGCTAAAGAAAGCACCCCCTGCCTCTTTCCTGGTATATAGGTGTCCCGGCACATTGCGGCTATGGTGAATGTACAAGATGACAGTGGTGTTCTAGTTGGGAACTGGTCAGGTGACTACTCAGGAGGAGAGAGCCCTCTGTCGTGGACTGGCTCCGCAGAGATCCTCGCTCAGTTTGCCCAAAGAAAGAAGCCAGTCAGATATGCTCAGTGCTGGGTGTTCTCTGGCGTCCAGACCTCATGTGAGCATATCCACCAGTCAACTTCCCGTTGTCGTTTAGGGTTAACAAACATCACATTGCTCCAGTACAAACACACCACCCAGCATGCAATGTTTCGTTGTATTGACTTATCCCTGCAGTGCTGCGATGTGTTGGTCTGCCAGCTCGCTCCATCACCAACTTCAACTCAGCCCACGACACAGAGTTCAACAGAGCAATTGATCGCTACTACACCGAGGAGGGAGAAAGCATTGATTCTGGAGACTCCATTTGGTAGGCTCACCTACCCCACCTACCCCACCTACCCCCGAAATGAAACACTTTTTTTCCTTGAAGGAACTTCCATGTGTGGAACGAGGCATGGATGTCTCGACCTGACCTTCCTCCTGGCTTCGGTGGCTGGCAGGTACTGGATGCCACTCCTCAAGAGGAGAGTCCTCAGGGAGGCGGCTTCAGACTGGGGCCCTGTTCTCTGAGGGCTGTCAAACTGGGCCAAAGAATGAACTACGACGTGGAGTTTGTCATCAGTGAGGTAATGACGTACTCTGTGTCCTCTGCACCAGAGTTGAGCCTTTTCACATCAGGTGAATGCAGATATCAGGACGTACATTGTGAAGGAGAATGGGGAGAAAGTTCTGTCAAGAGTCAACACCTCCCACGTTGGCAAGAACATCAGTACCAAGGCTGTGGGGAGCAGCGCTGTTAACATTGTCACCAATGAATACAAGTTTAGAGAAGGCTCGGCCTCAGAAAGAGCAGCTCTGCTGGGTGGGTAGCCTTTCCCCTCCCTATCTCCCTTCCTACACCCATGTCTCCTGCAGCCTCAGAGGTTCAGAGCGAGGTGGAGGTCGAGATCTCTGTCGATAAGGAGGTTCTTGTCGGGCACAACTTCACCGTTGTTGTCAAGGTAACCAACAAGACGAGGAAGAGCCATGACTACCGTGTGAGGATCAGAGGACGTGCCATGCTGTACACCGGCATTACTGGTCAGGTGGTGAAGAGTTCGAGTGCCAACATTACCGTCAGAGGCAGTCAGTGTAAGATGCGCGGTCTGTGTGTGTCTCTGTGCTAACCTGTCCACTCTCTCTGCAGCTGGTGAGGTGAGCCTCACTGTGAATGCTGCCGACTACCTCAAACTTTTGGAGGGAGGAAATTTCATCCATTTCGTTGCCATGGTGAATGCTGATAATGATGTGTCGGCTGTGGAGACCCACAATCTTCGTCTGAAGGTGCGTCCTGTTGTGTGGGGTGTTTCATATTACGCCTGTCCTCCCCTCAGACCCCTGACATATCCATCTCCCTCCCTCCGGAAGGCCTGAAGCTGTACCAGCCGGCCTCACTGGAGGTCTCGTTCCGCAACCCTCTCTCCAAGACCCTCTACAATGGCCGCTTCGAGTTGCGGGGAGAGACCTATGTGCAGCCTGCCACCGTGACTTTACCGTTAGTTCCTTCTTCCAAACATACGACATGATAGTGACTAAAGTTGCTTCTCTCCCCAGACCTGTTCCCCCTCGTAGCCTGGCAACTGGTGTCCTGACAACCATCCCAGTCAAGAAAGGCTCAGTTGAGCTTGTTGTCAGGTTCTCTTCCAACCAACTCTCTGACATCTTGGGAGACGTGGAGGTTGATATTGCTGGTCCCTGAACATTGGAATTCACTGATCTTTGGAACTTTTGACTCATTGTAGAAAATGTAGCTAGTCTTTCCTTCAGTATCATGAGTAGAACGAAGGTTCATTAAAACAAATCCTACACATCTCAGCGAATGGCGAGCCAGTGAATGCGGTGCAAAGTAATTATGTGCCACCGTCTTGAGCTAATGCGATTGAAGTGGGCTTGGTTTGCCTAAGGCAATAATACAGCCCTGACCGAAAAGCCTGTCCCCTGCACATGGGTACGTTTGTCAATCAATGGTATTCTCCGTCGTCACTAAAATTAATCTGTGGACTTCCACTAGGGTCTTCACATTGTGTGACAATATCATCAGTACAATAGAACATGTTCATTTTCACATGTCGTGACTAAATCTGTGGACTTCAGGGTGTGCATTAGTGAGGTCAGAATTAATCTTCAGTCTTCATAATTATATAATCACTGTGTGAAGACTTTAGGGTCTTCGCATTGTCAATAGTAACAATGGCAAAGTACAATAGTCATTTCACAATAAACCACTGAATCTGTGGACTTCAGGGTGCATACATTGTGTAGACACAGTGGACTTCAGGGGTGCATACATTGTGTAGACACAGTGGACTTAGGGTCTTCCCATTGTCAATAGTAACAGTAGCAAAGTACAATGGACCATCAAGTTCATGAATATTGTTTCGCTAATAATATTGACGTGGCTGGCAGCAGAAAAAGAATGCAGAGGAAATTATTCACATTTTTATTATACGATGCAATAGCTAAAACGTCTCATTTTCCCTTCTTTGATTTGAGCTTCTTCTGATAGAACTCCAGCTCTCTGCCCTCCAGTAAGTAGCCGTCACACCTGCCACTCTGACCTGGTCTCGACGCCACACACGCTGTGGGTACAAAGGTCAGTAATCACCAGGAGAGCTCTGTAGTTACCTAGCAACCGTCCAGTCAGGAACTGCTCCTCAACGTGTTGCTCGACCTTTGCATGAGACTTGCGACTGGCTAGTTTCCTTTGAATGTGACTTGACCGCTTCCTGTTGAGTACATCCTCTTCATCCTGAAACAGAGAGTTCAACTAATGGTGACTGAGGCAATAGGATGACAAACTCACCTCCTTTCGCTGCTGGCTCTTCTTACGACCAATTGGCAGACCGTAGTGTTGTTCATACCTATGGAGAACCCACACCAGCTGTACAACAGGCTGATTGGTACACTTACCACTGTCTGAAGGGAGTGGCATCTATTTGGACGATGCAGTTCTTGACTAGTGTCTTGGTCCGAACCAGCTCGTTGTTGCTGGCATTGTACACAACATCCAGCAGTCTTGTCTTTCTAGTCATGGCTGTGCGGGGAGTAAAGGTTATGATAATCACTGGACACTCCTCCCTTTCCCCACCCTCAGATCCCCACGAGAAGTTCCCAGAGTCCAGCCTCAGTGCACGGTACTTGATGTTGCCTCCTCTTGTACGGACCTTGTGGATCCTCTTGGGCGCAAGCTGAAGCACAGCTTTCTAACACACGGCCCCAGCTCAGAAAACAACACACCTTCGTGTTTGCTGGAGGTCTTCCCATTTCAAACTTCCTCTTCTTCCTCAGTGCCTTTCTCTTACCCCCAGTAGCCCTCCGCTTATGCCAGCTATCGCGAGAGATCCCTAGGGACAGGATCGAGACAATTTTCGTGTAAACGAGGGAAAAGGCAAGCATAAGCAGATAGGTACAGTGTTCATCTTGCTAGGACGGCAAACAAGTAGGATTGAAGTAGATAATCATGCCCTACTCACCCATGCTGCCTCACTCGCTTTCTTGGTCGGTCGCCGAGCAATGCGCATGCGCATGTTGTATTCTATTTAACGCCCACTTCATCACAAGACTGAGCGTAATACTGTCTCTAGAATCTAGAGCAGAAGGCAAGAGGGGGTCTTCCCCATTCTAGCGTCCAGTGTCTTGTACGGACTATTTGGCTGGACGTGTTCCGTTAGGAATGCGGTGATATCTCTCTTCAGCTCGACGTGCACGCTTCCAGCAGTGGCCGGTCTCTGCCAGGCCTCGGGCACCGTCTCGGAGGTGAAGTATGTGACGGCGAAGAGTTTTCGTAGCTCCGTCTTGTCTCCGGAGGCCGTAATGATGCCTCTAATGAAGGAATCTCCGACCTTGTGGCCGTATGCCGTGCCGCACACTGTAAGAAAGTGGTGGTCGTGGCAGTGGTGCCAGGCGAGCTCAGCCAACTCTTCCCCAGTCAAAAACACCTTTTCGTTCCCCTCTGTGCCGCTCAGTTGTACGCCTTCTGGGAAGCCGTGTCCGTTGACCACCAGAACCTTGTAGGAGGCCTCTCTGTGCCAGTCCAGCGTGGCCCTCAGCTGCTCTCGTAGTTTCTCCAACTCAGTGTGCCCTTCAACCAGACAGCTGTTGTATGGGTTACCTTCTCGCACCGAAACTCCATCCGGCAGGCCTTCCGCGGGTTTGAACTGGGAATATAGCTGTGTGCGTTGCTGCAGGTCTCGCTGGAAGGCAGGGCACTGGAGGTAGATAAGGACCGGTCTCTGTGCTGGGAGCTCGTCTCTCTCCTTCTGCCAAAACTCCACCGTCTTCTTTCTGAACGCCATTTATTTTTGCTGCCGACTTGGCATAAGTGGGAACAATAGTATTCATAACTGGGTTTGTATACTGTGTGGCCTCTTGCTTCTCAGTGTGTGAATATAGCAACCAGAGTATAATATAGGAGAGTATGCCTCACTTACACTTGTAAGAATTAGTGCCACAAAACTACTGCTCTTGTTTGATTATTATAGTGGTGAGGATTGTACACTTGTCGCCACACATGTGCAGAGAAAGTTTACAAACAAAAAGGCATGGCCCAGCCCATCAAAAGTGGTACTGCACATGTGTACCACATCCAGTGTGCTAAATGTTTGCACTTTTTGCTGCTTTTTCATCGTAAAAAGTTCCTGATCAATATGCCCAACTATAATACACTAACAACAATGGTGCAAGAGTTTCATTCAGAGATTTAAAAGGCCTTGTTGAAGTATGACTGATGCTGTGGCTGAGCAACAGAGGACTGCAGCATAGGCAGTGGATATCCGTCAGTGCTGCTGATGATGACTGGCTGCTGGTAGGGCCAGCTGAACCCCGGGGGGTTATGCACCGTGGAGTGCTCTGAGACCGGGGAAGCAGGGCTGGATGGATGCGGCATCCCTGAGGGCAGGTTGTGAGAAGAGGTGTCTCTTGTCCCGTCGACAATCTGAGCCACCAGTGGTTGGTAGAGAGAGGCCGAGGAAGGATGACTGCGGATGCCAGATATGACAGAGTTCTTGTTGCAACTTGACCTCTGCAGTGTGGGCTGAGGGGCAGTAGGTGCATGTGACTGCAAAGAGTGTTGTCCGTGGACAGCTGCAGCCTGATGAAGTAGTAGCATGTGCTGACTGGCCTGGTGCCCACTGAGGAGGCCCGACTCATTTGGGACATGCTCAATACGAGTCATTGCCTTGTCGAGTCCTGCCTGCTCCGACCGAGGGTCTGCATGGGCTGCTGACTGAGCATAATGTAGCATGGGCTCTGAAGCTCCTCCCACATCCCTAGAAGATTGAGGAGTTGTGTGAGGTATGACAATGTGACCAGTGCCAGAGGTGCCGGTACGAGGAGGAGGAGCGAATGCGAATGTCTGAGGGTCAGTTGGAGTGGCAGCAGAGAAACCAGTCTGGCGAGACTGTGGGGTAGGCGGAGCTTCAGGAGCAGGGGTGGCACTCTGTCTTGCCTGCACACAGCTCTTCATATGCTCCGGCCAGTGTGCCTGCTGACAAGACTCGTTGCAGTAGTTGGCGTTCCAGCAGCAGTTGTATAGGGCCTCCTTCATGCAGTAGCTACACTGTGTGGGCAGGGGACAGAGCTCCAGATAGGTGCAAACACATACACATGAACTAACCCATTTCTTCTTCTTGGTCTCAGCTATAGCAATCTCTTTCTCCGCCTCAGCTTGCCTCCTGACTTCACTCACTACCTGTTCTCTCTCCATGTCTGCAGCAGCTCGCACCTGCATCCACGCATCATAATTATTGTACGAGCACCATCAGAGGCTCGTCTACCGACCACTTCCAACTCCTGTTTGAGCTGTTCCAGCAGTTCTCGTCTCAGCTGGTCGTGTGACGAGCGAGACCCAGGCACCGGCCATGCACTGTGCAGCTGCTCCCGAATGACCTTTGCCCCCAGCTTCCCCTTGGCCTCAAACTGAGAGAGCATCTCAATCAGGACTGTCTTGATGGAGGACATCAGCTGCAGAGGTCACCTGACCTCACTTCTAGTTCCAAACACCTCAATTCTCTCTCACCTTCTCCACGAAGTACTGGTAGCCCAGGTCCTCAGCTGAACCTGCCAGCAGCTTGGCTCTGAAGGAGCGATCAACCTTTCTCATGGTCTCAGCCAGAAGCCCTGTTCCCTCCACCCCCTCTCCTCCCTCCCCTCCCTCTCTCCCCATTGCTAATGCTGGCGAGCCTCCAGACAACATCCGTCGCACCTGCATACCCAGGGACATCTCAATAAAGTCTCTCCGTTAGTTTCTGTACCTCGCTAGAGTCATGGGAGAGAGTGCTGACTGTGGAAGTGGGTGTGGTCAAAACCGAGGTGGGTGTGGTCATAACAGGTGGAGCAGGGAAGGTGATGGGTGTGGCTTGGGATTTCGGTGGCTTCAACGGTCTTTGTTTTGGAGGCCGACCTCGTTTAGGTTTACCTGCAGAAACACACTTCTCTGAAAACGCTCCGTTGCAAAGCTAGAGCGGGAAAAAGCCAATATTCAAATACACAACGGCTTACTACGGCGCGGCATGATCGATCCGCGTGCTCTGCGTACCCCAGAAGACGCAACGCAGGGCGTGTATCGCCTCTCGCATGCTATCTAGTAGTGTAGTTAGCCCGCGTCAGACTCTGCGCGAGCTGGCAAGAGGCCACGAGTAACAGCTAAAACTAAACCCAGCCCATCAATTAGTGGTACGGCGCATGCGTTTACTTACGCGCGCGCGTCACAGTGCGCCCAGGGTTTGCACTTCAGTGCTTTTCATTATGCTCAGGAGACATGCTTCTTCCAAGCTACAGCAAATTCCTCTCTGCATGTGCAACAAGTGCCACTGTGTTTAGCCAAACAATGCTGTCAGTTTAGTTTACTGAATGAATGGCCATTATCAGCTAACAATGGGCTGGGACACTACACATTGTTCATTGATAAACCAGGATTACAGGATAATGAAACAATGCCTGTGTGGGAGCAGTGACACTCATGCACATCAACACAGTCAAGCTGTTAAAAACCCAGTGTTTGCAAAAGAAAGACAAACAAACTGCAGACAAACCTGCAGTGCTGGTTTTCGGTTTCTCTTTGCGTGGATTCTCAACCCTGAGACTAGAGAATGAAGAGGGTTGTGGGGTGGTGGAGGGGAAAGGAGCCAGAGGTACAGGCACTGGGCGAGGAGAGGGGGAATTCCCTGGTTCAGGCGTCCCTACCACTGGCTTCAGACTCTGAGCTCTGGCTGCCTTCTTGGGAGAAGGCTCCGTATCTTTCTCACCCGGTTTCTTCACCTACAAAAACAGCTGGTCAAGCCACAGAGAGAGAGAGGAAAAGGCTAACCTTCCTGACTGGTCGCTTCGGCTCCGGGTCAATTTCTGCTATTGCTGTCTTCCCCTGGTCGTCATAGCACCGACTGAAGAGGGGGTGGTTGTTGCCTTCCTCGTAGTCGGGGTCTCCGTCCTCAGACAGTGCCAGTTTCTTGGAGAGGATGCTCACCACACCGGCCAGTCCTCTCTTCTTTGCGCGAGGTCCCGCTACACCGCGCGCACCAGAGCCTCCTCCCAGAAGAGGAGTGCCAGGAGTGAGGGCAGGAACCACAGGCCCTAGTTCCACAGTGTCCAACACCGACTGAAGAGAGTTCTGTGTTCTGCGACCGACACTCATGAACCCCTCAGTGGAGGGTTGGGGTTTGGCAGGAGAGCGTTCTTTCCTTCTCCAGCTGGAGTCGTCGATCTGTAGCCCCCCCTCACTGGCCGGGGAAGAGGGGGTGGAGCCTGGCGGACTACTCATTAGAGTGGCAGCGTTGCCATGGCCGACCTCTGCCTCCGACATACTGGGAATCACCTCCACAAGCTGTGGGGAGAAGGGAAGGTAGCTAAGGATCTGGGCTCCCTGATTGCTAGGGGCCTCTTCCTCCTCTGTCTTCTGCAAATTTGGTTCAGCCATCGGCTTTGCTCTAGCACCAGGCTTGAGACTTGACGGCTCTGGTGCCTTTGTGGGTGTGGCTGGCTTGGTCCCGCCCATTTCCCTGTACATGGCGTCGATGTTTTCTCTGTACTTGCGGAGTTCGTACATGGCGATGTTCCAATACTGAGTCTTGGAGGAGGGTGTTGGCGGGGGGCCTGTTAGCTCCTGGATACAGGACTTGGGGACAAGAGACCTGCAGTGACAGCTGGTTGAGTGACTGAAGCAGATTATGTAATCATCGAGTACTCACCTATCATGTTGGCCAAAGAATCTGACGTCACACTTGTCAGTTGTCTCACTGATAAGTTTGGCAGGCCAGAGAGGGTAGCCTCTCACCTTCGCCAGAACCACTCGGTGAGGAGTACTCTGCACAAGGCACAGTACAACATCCACTAATGTTATTAAGAGGATGAACAACATACACAGGGGATGCAGAACCACTCCTCAGGCTGCACGACAGTCAGTTTATAGCAACTCGGACACAATTCAATTTCCCTCATCTGCAGTTACGAAATTACAAACATCTCACATTGTACATGCATGTGTGTTTGTGAGTGTGTAACTTACATCTTCCTTGCAGACTTTGACAATGCCTTTGGCAATCTTTGTGAGAGCGTGTTTGGCTGTTGAGACAAGCTATTACACTGGAGGGTCTAGTGTTGGCATGTACAGGTGTTACCTCCATTGTAGATAATGCAGTTGTGCAGAATCCATTCTGTGTCATGTAGGAACTGACGAGTGGTTCCGTAGTGTTCTTCTTCCACTCTCTACATCCCGACACACAGTATCACGGCAGTGCGGTCGGAGATGACACAAACCTCTTTAATCTTATTCAGGTACATTGGGAAGAAAATGTATTCCTTGTAGTGCTTGAGTATGTCAGACGGAACAGGATGCTGGAAGATCTCGGTCTAAGAGAGGGAGGGGGCAGGAATGGGGGTTAGGGAGGCACAGTGTAAGGGCTCACCCCAGGAAACATCATCCTCCGTACGGCCAATAGCAGCAAATCCCTCAGATTTGGGGGTCGAGATCTCTTTGTGCGACGGTCAATGTTCTGTATTCCATCACAACACCACATGGTTTACGGAGAGAAAAGCTGGCTTTGCCAACCTTACACACGGGACAGAACCACTCCTCTTCTCCCTCGGGCTCTTTGGGAAGACCTGGACACACACCATTACTCACTTGACACCCGTCCCCCCCCCCCCCCCTCACACACACACAGTAATGGTATACACCTGAGCACTGGACGTGGAAGACCCGAGGGCAGCGATCACAGCAGAGGACATCTCCCCCATCATGACACACCCAGCAGTAGGAGTCATTCTTGCTCGCATCCTGAGAAGAGCGGTGTTGAATATGAATGGTTGGCTACTAGCTGCTTATCAGCCGAGCTTAAGGAAAGACATCAGGCATGGAAAAAGGAAGTGTAGACTAAATTTGGCTCATAAAAGTGTGAAAAAGACGAAAGTTGGCACAAAAGCACAATGGGACAATCAAGAAAATTTGGCAGTGTAACACACCACCAGTATACATGTTGGGCCCATAAAAGACTCTTTAACCTACCGCCCCGGTTCTCAAGGCTGGGCACCCAGGGTCCTGCCTCTTTCGTTATGTTTATATGTTATTGTCTGTGTTTTGTGTGCTTGGGTATGTTATTGTCTGTGTTTTGTGTGCTTGGGTGGGGGAGGTTTTTCTTTTCCTCTCTTTTAGCTAGTATGCTATGAACATGTTTTTTCATGTAGCTACTGAACTCACCTGTTTCTCAAAGACAACATTCATCTCATCTCCTTTCTTCTTTAGCCTGAGAATAGGCACTTTTCGAGGAAGTCCAAACCTGCCAGGAGAGAGAGAGGGGGGAGGAAGGAGGAAGGAGGAAGGAGGAATGGCAACAGTAAACACACTTGAAAGGTTATGTGAATGCCAACACAACAGTAGGACACACAACAGGAAGTGACTCTAACCCAGGAGTCCTTTTGCTCTCTGCCTCTTTCCCTATCCCTGCTCCCTCCTCCTGGTCCTCTTCCTCGTCCTCTTCTTGCTTATACTCATCGCTGCCATTAGAGCCAGGACTGCCCACAGACCCTGTCTCTCTCCTCACCACTCCATTAGAGGGGGAGGAATGAGAAGAGGGTACTGCTACATGTGAAGGTGTGGGGTGGGTTGGAGGTCTTGGGGAAGGTGAGGGGGTCTTCTGAGTGCTGGTTGTAGCTGGAGGATGGTCAGAGAGTCCGGGTGGAGGAGGGAGGGAGCCTGCCCCACTAGGACCCTCAGTGCCACTGGCAGCTGTGTCCTCCCCTGTCTGGCCAGGTTTCTCAACTGCTGGGGGCACAGTGGCAGTGTCTGAGGATATGCCACCTGAGCTTTGGGCGACTGCTTCCGTCTATCAGAGGGTGGGAACTCCGTTGGTACACGTACAGAATCGCGCGACAGGCGTACGCCCGCTACCCTTTTCCAGAGCTTTCCCCCTTACCTCGGCCATGGATGAATTTTTCCTGTAAGATATAGGTGTAATACTTCCGTGTACCCCTATTAGGTGAGTGGCAGTGCAACACAGCACGAGCAGGGAGCGTTTCCTTCCACGGTAGCCGGCAGAGAAGACATTTACAGAACCACGGGTAAGCCGCAAAATTTTTAGATGATTCCAAAAATATTTTGAATTCCTCAGACCGCGAAGTGCAGAACCAACAGACACCTTTAGAACCGGAGTTCAGCCTACACCCACCGGTTTGGTAACCGCTTTTCACAGAGAGACATGTACAACAGTATAAAGACCTTCTCAAAACGACACACGAAAATGCAAAAGCCCGGTGCGGGGCGTTAATTAGAATCGTGTACTATTCATCACGTTGGCGTGCACCTGTCCGTGCGGGGATCGAGGAAGATAAATGCAGCGGATCAGAAACCGTGGAAACAAAGGCGATGGACCGCCGTTGTTCAGCTATGAGTTCATCATTCAGAACCACGCCGACATCGTGTCGTGCATCTGCATGGTGATCTTCATGCTCCTCATCCCGCAGGTGTGTACGTGTCTCCCCACGTTGCGTTTTGCCTCATGGCTTCCATTCTTGCAGGCTACAAACTCCTTCGCCTCTGGACTCATATTCATACACAACAACGTGACGGTCCCAGTCGAGGGTAAAGATGCTGCAGGTATGTACTATGACGGAGAGAAGTGGTGGTGTGATATACAACTTGTCTAGAAAAGTCCTCAGTCCGTCTGGACAAACAGAAAGCCCTGCAAACGACCATGTATTACCATGGTACCGAGGACGTATACAATGTGGTATTCTACTGCCTGGTGTGGATCATAATCCATGCTCTACTGCAGGAGTACATATGGGAGGTATGGTAGTGCAATGGTGTCTGTATATGAGGAGACTGCTTTTGCCACAGCGGACGGTGAAGAGACTCCACCTGTCGAAAGTGAAGACCAGCAAATACTATGATTCAGGGTGTCTGGTGGTGTTCTACCTGGTGTCTGTGGTGTGGGGTCTCGACATCATCATTTCCAGTGGCTATGCCACCAACCCCCCTCTCCTCTGGACCAACTACCCACACTCCCTCATGAGGTCTGTCTTTTGTCACCTCTCAGTGAGACACTAGTTCATGGCCTCCCTATACAGTCTTTCCCTCAAGTTCTTCATGCTCACTCAAATGGGTTTCTGGCTGCACTGCTATCCCGAGCTCGTCTTTATGAAGGCAAAGAAGGTAGTGTGAGTGTTTACCCCCTGTCTGCCAAATGGATATGATATGCATGGACAGGACGAGATCTACTCAAAGGTCGTTCTCTACACATCTTCACTGCTCATAATCGCTGGAGCTTATTCCATGATGTAAGTAGGTTGGGAGTTTGGGCCATTTATTTTCTCCATCATGTCTCTAGGCTGCAGCGTGTGGCAGTCGTACTGCTGGTGTTCCACTATGCAGTTGAGTTTCTCTATCACTTGTGTCGAATGCTGCACTACTATGGGAAGAGCCAGCTGGCTGATCCTGGGTAGGTCAGGGAGGCCCGGAACTACCTCAGTAGTGTTGGTGCGTCCCATTGCAGATTTCATGTGTGGCAAGCACTGTTCATCTTGGCGAGGGTTGCCACTGTTATCATAGCTATAGTAACTCTGTGGTAAGACTGAGAGAGGCACTTGAGGGGAGACTTCTAGTGTTTAGTGTGACAGGTTTGGGATTGACGCAGCCAAGGATGAGGCAGAGGACTTGGAGGTGGAGGTTGAGGAAGACGGGGATGTGGAGGGAAGCAGGGGTGGTATTGATCTCACCCACTCTTTGTACAGGTGGGGGCTGGCTGCTCTCTCTGCCTCAGGAAGGAGGAAATGTCTCTTACTGTATGTAGGTTGGGAGGACTGGTGTTCTTGCTGGCCATCCAGATGTGGGTGGCGTGGGCCTTTGTCTCCTCGCAGCTCGAGAGGACACGCAAGAAGAAAAAGACCTGAGAACATGGACTTCATAGGCTTTGAGTAGTGCTGAATTTGTAAAGCTGATCATTTTTCAATTATGCCTGTTAGCATTCAGTTTCAATTTCAATGCTGTCAGATGAGGGAATGGAGTTGCCTGGAGACAGTATGAACCAATCACAGCAGGGGAAGGGGGATGGTTGGTACTAACCAGAGAGGGACATCTTTTAGCCAAAGTGTTTAGGTTGATGACAGGAGCCAGAGATGGTCTGTGGGTGTATAGCTATAATAGTCAGTGTGGGTGGTTGGTTGGGGTACGAATGCTAACCTTCCATGAGCACATTGGAATGGGAGAGAGCATTTGGCCAATGAGTCGATGAGTTGCCGGCACTGTCTTAGGTCCAGATGGTCTCCAAACCTTATGGCTCCTGCAGAACACATCTTTCAAATGATGGGACTAAACTGCTCATGGGAGTACACAATAGCAAAGATCCTGGGAAGAAACTAATACTTGTTATTATAATAGTCCTGCCAGCAATAGTACCATGGCAGGCCTGTGAGTGTAGCACTGCAGTCAGACTGGATGGCAGTCCAGCTGAGCCTCCTCCTGTACTCATTAGGACCTGACAAAATACAACATAACAGCCAAAAATAACTCAAATATTTCGGTAGCCATACAGCTACAATCAACTGAAATAACAGAGAACGAACTGGAAACGAGGGCAGGAAAAAGGAATGCATCAACAAACGACGATTGTGAAATGAACAATACATTTTTGACTATCATCTGTTGTATTGTTCATTTCACAATCGTCATTTGTCTGTTACAGAAGTGGCTTACCTCCAGGTAGGATTGCACCATCTCCTGTTCAGGGAAAGTTTGAATTTGTTAGAGTCTAGTTTGAGGCATACCTGGAGCAGGGCAGGGGAGCATGTCTTCTTCTGAACGAGGACAGCTGGGACAGAGTGGGCCAGTGCCAGGCCCTCTCTCCACACCAGTGACACACCAATGGCCTCCAATTTGCCAGAGAAGCTGCGAGCCACTCTCTTCTGTGCAGGGGAGAGGGGGAGGGGAAGAGGAGGGACCAGACGGGCCATTTTGACCGTTTCACCATCACTGTACAGGTCTGGAAGTGGGAAGGGCAGTCAGGGAATAACTAACTGATCAGAGGACTGTGCATATACCTTCTAAGAGAGCCTCCAGCCTCACTCGCTCGTGAGCAGCGTGCTGGTCCACTACAACAAGAACGTGTGGGGAATCTAAGAAAGAAATGGGAAACACCTTGCATGCAGCCAACTGTATATTCGTTACAAACGTACTGTAGGTTCCAAAAAGACAAGCAATGAACTTGTTGTCCACTTGTCCCAAAACCTATATGGAAGGGGTGTATATACAGTTAGTATTTGCATAAGTATAGCGACTAACACTTGTGTTCTTCAAGGATTCTTTGGAGAACTTGTATTGACTTGAATTGTGAGTCTTCCTGACATTCAGAACAGCCTGGGAAGTGGAGCCAGTGATAAGGTGCAGCAGTAATAAGAGGTGATACCTGCTCTCCAGCTGAGAATGTTGGGTTAATCCAGGTTGATGCAAGAGATGTGGTACCAATAAGAGCTTTGGCCGATGATGTAAGGGGAGGTACAGTTCGAACCCGTGATCGAAAGCTGCTAGGCAGTGACTGGAAAGCACAATGGTAGGAATTGTCACTCTTCTTGTTGTCATCACCTGGCAGCGGAGAAGGTGTGGGTTGCAGAGATGAGCCAGAAATGGGATGGATCTGCAGTTGACAATTTGTGGCTGGGTCCACAGCAAGCTTCCAGTGAGCAGGAATAGAGATCTCGCTAGAAGGACAAGAAGGTGGAGAAGAGAGGTATACAGTGGTGGTAGCAGGGGGGAGTTGAGAGGAATGAGAAGGAGGATGAGGAGGAGGAGGAGGAGGAGGAGGAGGAGGTAAGCAGTGGCTGATTGGGAGGTGGTTACTGTAGAGGAAAGAGCCAATAAGGGAGGTAAGAGCCTTTGCAACTCTCCTCTCCTGCTCCAAATGCAGGTGTGTTCTTTCCGGAGTAAATTGTGAGGCAAGCTCCATGTTGCACTCAATGGTTATGACATAGAAGAGGTGTAGTGTTCCTGTTGCAGTCTTCATGACTGAAACTGGTTTCAGGAGCTTGCGCACCAGCTCGTGCATCGACTGCCACTCCACAGTTCTTCCATTCAGGAATATCAGCTGCAGGTTGTTCCGACCAAACGACTGGACCGCAAACAGAGCAGAAGCCTTGACACGGTCATGCTCTAAATCTTTCTGTTGGACGGTCTTGTTCCCAAACATCTGGTGAAACCTCATCAACAGAGAAGATGCTCTGGGAACATGCAGCAGTCGCAGCCCTGCCTGGTCGTCATGGAGTGAGAGAGACACCTGAGGCAGCACTAGGAAGACCCTACAGAGAGCACTTCTCAGCCTCTCTATTTCCAGCGAGGGAGACATGTGCCTGCGACGAACTGGCAGGTTGTAGAACAGGTCGTGGGCTGTCACCACAGTTCCTGCCTGGTTAAGATTGACAGGGGGAGGGACGAGGCCCGAGTTACGCCCTCCTTTGAACAGTTTGCAGCAGGTGAGCTGAGAAAGACGGTGTCGCGAACTGATCTCCACAGTCTGAGCAACCTGCACAATGCTAGCCAGTGCCTCTCCACGGAAACCGAATCGAGGGCAGTCTTGTAGACCGGGTTGCTGGTGTTTGCTGGTGACGTAGCGCTCTCCCACCAGCGACTGCAATTCTTCCCTCGAGATGCCTCTTCCATTGTCAGACACCTGGGCAAGCCAACGGCACACTAGTCTGCCTCATGTGCATGGGGTGAAGGTAATGTGCGTACCTTTACTGTCCAGGCAGCAGTGTCTACCTTGACAACGACGGACGAGCCCCCAGCGTCCACGCCGTTCTGCACCAGCTCAAGACCACACTGAGCTAAACTCTCTAGGGACTGCGCAGAGCGAACTCGAGAGCTGACTGAGGGCTCCAGAGAACGTAAACTCCCACTCATCTCTACGGGGGATGTTTTGCTCAGCAATACCCCAGTGTATAAAAAATATTCAACAACAAACATGTGTGCTATAATTATACAAGTGGATGTTCTAAAAACAATGCGAATGAAGTGATTATTGCAGTGCGCCATTGACACAGTCAATAGCGGGAAGCACCAAAGGATGGTGGGGGTGAGGGAGTTGTGTGCATCATAACTGGAGGTGCCAGACACGCCCCTTCTTGTGCCACCTTCTCTTCCAAGGCTTTCAACATGAGCTTCTTTGGGTCCTTCTTCTTTGCTGGGTTCTTTACATGGATGGGCAGCTTCTTTTTCTTCTTATCAGCTTTCCGCAGCCTACAGCATAAGACATAAGGCAATATTGCCTTTTTTCACTTTTATTATAATGGATAATGAACATCATGACATTAAAGCTGGGGTGGTGTTGTTTGCAAGGTGATGAAAGACCTGTATCATCATGCAACTGAGCCTAAGTAGACATAAACTCTTCCAGTTTCTTCAAAATGAGTTCATAGTATTTCTGACGATCTTTCTTGGCTGCCGACTGCGAGTGGAACTTTCGTTTCTTTTTTATTTCACTCTCCCTCAGCCTACAATACAACAGTATGGACACACACACACACAGGTCTCAGCCTACAATACAACAGTATGGACACACACACACACACGTAGGTCTGTCTCGAAGCAAACATAGCTGGACCCATGAAGATCTGTAGAGAGAGGGAGAGACAGAGAAGGGAACACAGACTGACCTGGTGAGCAGGCCGTGCACCATGTAGGGAGCCACATGCTTGTACTTGTCACTCAGCGATGGGTACTCTGAGATGAATTCCGACCAATTCTCGTTCACAAACAGGTCCACCAGCTTTGAAACACTGGCATTAGGTCAAGATAAAAAGTGGTGTGTCTGTGTGGGACCTGTTTCAGAGGTTCGAATGCCAGACTGGCATCACTTCCCCTCAGACAGTTGTAGCTAGAGACAGTGGACATGACAAATCCTGCAGCACACAGACGAGTGTTAACTTTGTACAGCACACACCATCCATACTCACTCTGGCAGTGCATCAGATCGACATTGAAGTTGCGGATTGCTTCCATGGAGATGCGAGGGTTAGTGTCACAGAGCAGAACTCTCTCCAGCTGCAAGGCCAGGTTCTTGAGGGCCTGTTGAACAAGGTTTGACACCACCTCTTCCTACATATAGTTAACAACCATGACTAAAGAGAGAGAGAAAGAGAGGGGGTTAAATGGTCACTGGCAAGATGTGGAGGGCATGGAAGGTTGTTTCCAGGAAATGCAAGCAGTCGTTGATGTAATCACTCGGCTTGTCCTGGGCATCTTTTGACGTCCAGTCATAAGATGCTCCCTCAACCACCTCCGCACACTTGGCAGTCAGTCGTACAATGATCTGCTGTTCTGCCGTCACTTTACCGTCCTACAAAGATGCTCATACAGTATGAAGTTACAGCTGTTGGAGTGTGTACCTTGAATGTGGAACCTCCATAGAGCCTTACAGAAGCAGCTCCCTCACTGCCTGTCCTAAACCATACATATTAGTGTAGAGGAAGAGATGGGGCAATAGTGAGACAGACTTGGTGACATGACGGATGAAGTCCTCGAGATGAGGCACAGAGTCAGCGAGGTGACTGATGTTTACCCAGATCTGGCCGAGTTGAGGAATAGTCAATCCCTCGTCGTGAACCAGGCGTGACAGACAGCCTGCAATAGACGCAAAATTAGAGTATGGATGGCTGGCAGTATAATAATATAATTATACCTGTTACAGTTCTGCTGAGTAGTAGGTTCACTGACTTGCTGACAATGTCACACACTTCCATTTGACTGAGTGGCCAGACTGACACAGTAGCAATACGGCAAGGTCTGTACATACCTCAAGTTAAGACCATCTGCATAGTCACTGCAGTTGCGGATGAAGGCCTGGAGCTGGCAGTAGACCTGCCCCACCACGCCAGAGAATGGAAACAGCCGGGGGTAAGGAGCACTGTCAATCTGGACATTGTGGTAGGGAAAGAGTTCCAGAACTCCGCGGTATTGCTCCTCTGTCTCTGCCACCATGGGGGTGTAGTTATCACTGGCAAAGATTTGCCTGCAGAGAGGGAGAGAGGAGCTGTATGAGGTTGAGGGGTTAGTTGAAGTCTCACGTGAAGGAGTCACCCCAGGCCTTCATCAGCATCTCGTCATACTGCTCCCTGTAAAGGGTGGCAACAGCCATGCTCAGTGGATCCCTCCAGGGAATGAATCAAACCTGATCTCTAGGAGAACCTCATACAACTTGTCCACTGGAAACCCATAGCCTCTCAGAGCATGGCAGAGCCACACAACCAGCTGTTTCACCTTCAACAACAGGTGGTAGTCGCGGCAGGAGTTCTGGTAGGACAGAGGATGGAATAATGTATAATAATTATATAGCACATTATTATACTGCCCCTCACGCAGTTGTTCCTGAGGACAGCTAGAACCTCGGAAAGAGCCATCTGCCAGAACTCGTGTACAATGTGCAAAGTAACAAGACCTTCTCCCTCTCCTTTGTGTGGGCGCAGCTCCTGGGTGGTGTGCAGGATGGTGTCCTCCACGACAAAGAACCTGCAGCACCCATCAACATACATACCCTTACAACAGCTATCCCACTCACCCCATGATGCCATAGAAATAGCATTTGAAATCATTGATCTCTCCTTTCTGCAGGAAAGAGGGGGAGATGTTGTGATATGTACGGTATTGGAGGATCTTACCCAAATGCTGCGTGGTTTGATGGCCAGTCTGACCTGACTTCTACGACCACTGCGATAGCTGTCGATGAACTGCTCTCTCTTGCCCTGCGCACAGCTAGTCATGTGGGGTGGAGGGAGAGAGAGGGGGGAGAGGCTCACCAGAACAGTGTGGATGTGTAGACAGCGGTAGACGGGGCTGAAGTCAATGAGATCCTGAGCACACACCTCAGGGTCAGGGGCCTGAGTCTCGTCCAGGAGACAGCAGATGTCTGGAGCTAGTTCCAAGTTCCACTGCCTCATGGCCTGCACTAAAGACTAGCAGAAAGCTTCAAGACACCTTGTCCTCTCACCTGGTGCATGGCAACTTCCCCAATGAATATTGACTTCTCTCTAACGTCTGCAAGGAAGTCCTGCAGATGGGCAGAAAGGGTCATGCAGCGACAGTAGTAACTAACACTCACAGTCAGTTCAGCATTAGACTGGTCTTGGATTGATCGCCTGAGCTTTGGGATTTCACGACTCAACAAGTCAGAAAAAGTATACCTGGTGAGAGAGGCAGAGTTCTCCAATTTCCAAGTTTGGTAACAAAGATACCCTTTCACTTGTGGCAGAGACGTGTGCTCTAAACGTCGTTTCAGACAACTGGAAGAGACACGACTTTACTTTCTTCAGAAAAGAAAGTGAACGTACTGGAGACTCGCAGGCTGGGGACTCAAACTGCTACTGTATGGACAGCTAGCAAAGAGGACGACAGAGAGATCATGGGAACAGATAATGTGAGGCAATGGTGGATAGAGCAAATTGTCAACTTGAAGCCTTTCCACAGGATTGCAGTGTCTTGGGTAGGGATTGGTACGTTTGGGAAGGTGGTAAGGGGGAGTGGGCATATGCTGGGGAGGGGCCAGTAGACTGATGGTGGCACGTAAAAGCCCTCTGAAGGGGTAGTCAGAGGCAAGAAGCTGTCAGGTTTCGCAAGGGCAGCCATCATGGGCCAGTCCGACACCCCAACAGTGTCGACTGAGGTTGGGGCATTGGAGACTTTTCGTGATTGGAGTGGTGGGGGTAGCAATA